GAACGGCTTGGCATGCACCCCCCGCCGAGGAACGGCAGCTTTTGAAAAATGCGTCCTCGGTGACTTTCATGCGCGTGGATGGCATTTTGGAGGCTTTTACCGGCACAGTGCCAATCCCACTCAAGATGCCTCTCAAAAGGGAAGCCCACCCCTATTTTTACAAGTTCCAAACCGCAGACATGACAAAAGTCAAGGAGGCGAAATGCCGGACAGCTGAGGTCCATTTTTTTAATGAGCACTTCGAATGCACATTTCGCACAACCTTCGTGGGCCACCCAAAGGCCATGCAAGAATGGCTGGCGTATGTGAAACAGGACACGAACGGGATTCGTGCGACACATGGGCTGGCCAGAACTGTCCAATGCCCAGAAACGGATGGCCCAGAGCTTTTCCACTGGCTCTATGATGCCTTCACGGCTTTGCAGGGAGTGCACGCCGAGGCGGGCTTGGACCACGGGTCCATGACTCTTGGTGGCTTTTTCAAGGTGGGGGAGATCCTATTCATGGTCGGACTGGATGGCTTCTACGCCCTCAAGCTTAGAGGCTCCGAGGAAACCGTGATCCCCGTTGACGAATTCATTGATCGTTTTGCTTCCTGCAAGAAGCAGGCCGAGGAGGAGACAGAAGATGCGACCAGTTCAAGCAGCCACCAAGAGGTGGAAATCGACTCCACCTCGCACGAGGAAGACGTAGCGAACGCGGACCAAGATGCCATGGCCGAAATTTTTCATTGGGCTCTGTACAGCAGGGCAGACGAGCCTGGGTGGTCCAGGCCAAAAGACCGAAGAGCCCTTCGAAAACAATTTTCCGAAGAGCACAAGGCCTTCAAGGAGGGCAGCTCTCGTAGATTCCGTCGTAGATGAACCCCACCTGAGTTTTAGCCGATGTGTGCACCTGCACAACGAATGATCTGCTATTCTTTCCCCAAGTGCCATACGGCCATAAGACTCACAACACTGATGCGACACCCCACGACAGACTCTATGGTACTACACTACGTAGAGACGTAGAGTCCTTTGGGGCAGCGGTTGGAGTTGGCACGTCGGGGATAGGATTTCGGCAGAGGCCCCGATGCGGAGCCAGTGTAGATCGGTCTGGTCGAAATGACTGGTCGATGGGTGTGAGCTGGCATTGGTATGTAGCTGGAGGGTGGGACTGGATTGTTGGTTTATGAAGCATGAGTTTAGCTGCTTTAGCTTTGGTGGTGCGTATGTCCCTACCTCCTGCCTCGTCACCGCCACTTGCCTGAATGGTTTCACTTGGCAGATGTGGTTCAGATTGGCTGTTGGGTTGAGCCTCACTGTCGCTTTGCTGAGGTCGGATATGCGGGCGTGCGTGTGTTTCTGCACACACACGTATATATATATATATATATATATATATATATACACACACATACATATACACACACACACACAGAGGGTGTACCGGCAGGGGTGTACAGGGCAGGTCCCTGCCGCATCTGACCTTCGTGTTTGCAGTATACCAGTCGTTAGTGTTCCCGACGGCTGCGAAGAGGCTTGCAAGTCCTTTGAATCAGCTTGGAGGCCTTCGGTCCACAGGTTTTGGGATGGCTTGATGGTTCTGATAGACTTTGAGCTCCTTCAACATTCGGCAAGGGCTTGCCGGTGGCACTTTTCTGCGGCGCGTCCAATACGGACGGCAGCTGGGCTCGCCAAGCCCGTCTCTCCCGACTTGGTGAGCCGCGCGGCAACCTGCTGTGCGCTCACGGCGAAATGCATGTACCGTGCCACCTCCGTCGTTGCAAATAGATATCTGCACTTTCCGAGCACAGGCAGGGACGTAGGTGGGTGGGCAAGGATAGGAGCTGAGGTGCCAACAAGTGCGTCTTCTGCTGGCGCCATCACAAGAATCCAGTGGGCTGGCACCTGAGAAAGTGGCACCAGCCATGCCTACACCATTGGTGGAACACTGCTCGCAAAGCTGGTGCATTCTCAAAGACCTGAGCAGATCTCGTCTCTGATCGCAGCTAGGAACCGAATGGAAATGGTCGATGGATCCTCCTGATCAGCGCCTTGCTCGCAGCACTGCTGTCTCTCCGAGCGTTTGGAGGCCAAAGTGTTGAGCTTGAGTCTCGAGGTGTTCTGACCTAAGGATTGTGGCCGAAGGCATCGATCAGCATCGGAGGCTCCTGCCAACTTCCCTCTTTCGTAAGCGTTTGACGATATCCGCTAAACCTCTGAGCCCCGACATGACATGAGAGGATGATCCGGGAGTGCAAGGGTTCGTGCCTCAGAAGTCATGACTCCGTGGTGCTCCCGCAACGCCCGCTTCGTGGCACGAAGGCATTCCTGGAGTCAAAAAGGAACGCTTCGAAGAAGCGATGACGGTGAGGCAGTTTGAATGGAATGCCATGGGCCGGTCATGCAGGACGGGAGAGCCGTCAGATGTTGACAATGCTGCAGAGGCATTGTGCTCTGTCACTCGTCGGCGAGCCGATCATGTCCGCCCCCGCACTCGATGATGCACTTGCAGGCTGCATCTAATCTCCAGTGGAATGACAGGTATCCCAGGATAAACGAGCTTGTGGGGGAGCTGCATCAAAGGAAGCCGGTGCCTCTGATCCATGTCGAAGTGTTTCGAACATCTGGCTTGCTTGTGGGAGTGCTTGGGATGGTCGCATGTGCTGAGAATCAGCACTTTCTTGGTGACGAACGCCCAGTGCCGGCCCAAGCGTTTCCCACGAGAGCTCTGCAGGTGAAGCGATTTTGTCCCTGCATCCCTGCTCGAAACCTCGAAATGTCCTCTGAGGTTTCCGGAGGCTATCCGAAATCTCGATCCCATCACGCAGCTCTATGTCAGTACGCAGCCAAGCGACTTCACGGACATTCGTCTCTGACTCGCTCTCTTTGCCGCTGCTGCTGCTGCTGAAGCTGCTGAAGCTGCTGCCGGCGATAACGATTGCAGATGCCTTTGGCTGGGTGGTGTGGGCGCAGAGGGCGGAGGCTTCTGAACAGCATGTCAGTGCTGCATGATGCTCACACTTGTTACACCTCTGAACCAGCAAGCGTCTTACCACTGGCAGTCCCGAGGTGTGGACGCTGGGACGCCCGAGACGCTTAAGGCGGTTGATAGGCCCCGATCAAAATTCCAAAGAAAACTTGACGACAAGTTGAAAGGGTGAACGGCTCCGGTCTTAACCTGTCGTCATTGGAGGCCGCTGTTCTCCGACTTCTGGCAGAGATACTTGGACTCCTTAAAGGTTGGGACCACATGGGACCCCCGGACCCGTCATTTGCACTCGCAGAGGCATTGAAGGCCAAGAAGCAGCGAACAGTCTACCGACTGACCCTGGTCAAGGATGGGCTTTGCTCAGAGTCTGGCAAGTTGTAGAGTGGTGCAGCAAATGAGGTGCTTGTAGCTTGAGACATTGACACAGAGACATCAATTCCATATTGCTGGAAAAGGATGTGAGCAAAGTTGCATAGCCTCAATTTCCACTATTCACGTCGAAACTACAAGACGCTTAGACAGATTGCGCTGGAAACGAACCTTAGCGAACAGCAAACTGTACCTCATTGGCGGCAGGGCCACAACATGGAGGAGGCGGCGAACTATGCCAAGCTCGTGGCGCCCTTGCCCGAGTCGGGTGCTGTTAATGTGAGTACATCATAGTACTAGTACTATGACTACGGTTCTCAGTAAGCATCGAGCACAGATAGCATTCCTTCTGCTATCGATGCTGCTTTTTCGGTTCTTACCGCTAGTACCATACTACCAAATTAAAAGTCACAAGAACAAAGCCCATCCCTCCCCGTTCCATGTTTTTGGAAAAACGTAGAGTTAGCCGAGGTTGGGAACCCCGGACTTCATCGAGATCAAGTCCGTAACCTTCTGCGGCGAGTCTAAGGCCGGCTTAAAGGAAGCGGAGCACGTTTTGGGCTTGGGGTGCCCTCTCCAAAGTCTGCCAGGCCTCCTCGCTCACGATCGGATGCACGCCCTGGCACGAAGAGGCCGGCTGGGTTCAGCCCCGAAGCCCTGAGCAGCTCTCCGTGGCCGTCACGATCGGCTGAGGTTAAAGCCTTCTCGGAAGCCATGCTCTCGAAGGCCGGGGCGGAGCTGGAGCTGGCCGGCCCAAGCAGCAAAGCTCTCTGTTCACCGAGCAGGAAGGTCTGGAGTCCCAGTACGAGCTCGCTTGCGAGCACCAGCACAGCTGCATCGAGCTCCCGGCTCGCTTGGCAGACAGGGGTACACCACGAGTTTGGATTCCTCTTAGAGACGCGGGATCCTTCAAGGTGCTGCTCGCCAACAAGCGCTACAAGGCTGCGGTGCCCCTTCACCGTAAATCTTCTTGATCTGTCTGCGACTTCATTGATAGGTCGATGGACGCTGGCATACTTGGATCGATTATGACCGCTTCCACGAACTTGTCAAAGCAGGTGCACAAATACGCTTGCCAGCGTGCTCATCGCTGGCGTGGGTTCGACACGAACTTGTGCAAAGGTGTGGAATTTGATGCTACTGATTACTGGGCTCCAACACCGGAATGGGCCCTGTACGGCTCGGAAGAGGCGGAAAGATAAGACAGACAGTTACACTAACTTGCACTGCGTTACGCTGTCACACGCTATTAGCTCCTGCCGGTTTTTCTGTTTGGATTGCCGGCTCCAGTGACTTGCTCCTCAGGCGGGATTTGACCCCAACGAGCCAGGGACCTGGAGCCAAGGAGACTTCCCTTGTCGACATTCGCCAGCCCCCGCATCTAAGGACGCGCGTGTATCACAACCGCACCAAGAAGCGTGCCCAAGCCGGCCTCCTTTCAAAGGACATCCTTCGGCTCTCGGCTCATGGAAAGCAGCCTTGGCTGCTCTGCTCTGACTGCTCTGCTCTGCAGGAGCAGCTGAAGATGTACCCAGACAATCCGGCCAAGCAGTAAGCGCCGATGTACAGCCCGGAACTGCGGCATGCATTTTCCCCGCGGTCCCGATGGGCACCGGGTTCCTGCATGTTGCATGCGCACAAGGGCGAGAACCTTTCAGTTTCGCACATTTAGCCGAAAGGACCTGGACTTGTGAAAGATCAGGCAGCTAAGCACAAGCTCCCTCTGTCACACTTCGTGAAACGTTTCGACAGACTTCTGCGGAGTTAGTCGTTCGTGGGACCATGGAAGAATAGCATAGACGCATAGAGTAGGTAGGTACGCAAAGGGCTGGACCTTTGCAGACCCTTGGATGCCGGCCTGGCCAGTGCAGCCCAGCGTGCAACAAAATGCATCTCGCGATGCCCGGTCCCATCTTCGCCGCCACAACGAGTTTGCGCTTTGCGCTTGAAGACTTGCAGGCGGTACGTCAGCTGGCTTTCGACTTCCTCCAGCGTCCCATACACGTTCACATAGGCCATGTTTGCAGCAGCTTTCTCGTTGCGACTCGAGCTTGGGTGCTATTTTATTTGGTTCCTGTGCAGCCAGCACAGGCGAGATGAACACTGCGAAAGCGAACACAGACGTGACGCAGCATGTTGTTCTCCTAGACAGGCCACAGCAGTTGCTTCAGCATCGTCTTTTAGTGTGCCATGCCTGACCAGTCTTCCCAAACAAAGCATTTGTCATGTTCCGTTGTCGTGCGCACAGGCCGTTCGACAAGGATCAGAAGTCATCACCTCAGTCTCGGTTTCGCAGTCTCGTGGCAGAGGGAAGCCTGCGGTGCAGAGACGGCTGCCAGCTGGCATGAAATGAGGGACCGTGCCTGCACACAGACATGATCAACTGACAGAGCTGCTTTTCTGAAGCTAGGCTGGACGAGATGCTTCTGGAGCATCTTGGGGAGGAGCCAGCAAATCCAGGGAGTGATGGGTTCGGGAGATTCTGTAACCGTGCGCCCAGGACGAGCTGGCCATAGTGTTCGTATCCACCAAGAGATCTGTCGAGGACAGCCAGCGTGATGGTGCCCTTGACCGGGCAGCAGAGCAGCTTCTGGCTTGAAGCGCGTCCTGGTCCTAAAGGTTCGACAGCTGTCGCTTGTGGTTCAAGTCCTGCCTGGCCGGAGGAAATCGCCAGACTCTTGATGAGACATAGCTACGGCGTCACCGAGATCCATGGTGACAAGGCCTCCGTTAAAGTGACTTCTTGTCGAACTTTGTGGAGGAATAAAGTCCGGGCTGCAGCTCCGGATCACGCAATCTCACTTTGCTTAGACAAGCAGCGGTCCCCAACAGTTGCTGATTGCGTCAGCTGATAAGGGATCCCACATCAGTCTTGCATGCACGTATGCCCTTACTTCGCCTCGACTCTGAACTCTAATGACTCTCGACTACATGTAGACTCCCGCTGGTTCTCAGGACCAACGAGAGCGAGACCTCGCCTTGCGGTCTTTCACCAACAAGGAGAAGCGCGCCTGGCACCTATGGACCCATGGTATTAGTATCATGAACTACGACTCTGCCAAAACAAATCTCAGCTTCCCGTCAGCGAATGCCTTGCATGGCTTTGCTGACGTGTGTTCTGGGCAGCACATGGCGTGCAATTAATCCATGGCCTTTCGGCTGCTGTGGCCCATCACTCTCTTCTGCCGCTGGGTGTTTCGCTATGACTGGCTACACAAGACTTATCAGTCTCCAGAGTTGCACACACGCGGGTGTGTCTGCATGATGTAAATGTGTGGAAGTTGTGTTATGCAGCATGATGACATCACCTCAGTGCAGCGCTACGTAGCTTTATTGAAGATCTTGGACGGCAGCTCCACTGCATAGTTTCCTTTCGTTGATGGGACGTAGATCACGGCTGCGGCTGGGAGTCCAAGATTGGAATACAATTTACGTTTGGTGAGATACTCTATGCAATGAGGTCATGATAGCCACTGACGTGGCTTCACGCGGCCTGGACATCAAAGGCATGGGCCTTGGTTTTTGCAGGGCAAATGCTCCGAGACAGAGGAGCCCACGGCTCAACTTTCTGGATGCTGCGATAGTCTGCACGGCAGGGGATTTCCATGCATCCTCTCCGAAACTGCAGCTCCAGGCGTGAAGTTAGTCATCAATTACGATGCCGCGAACACGCCCGAGGACACTTCTCTCGATTAGGACTTCAGGCGTAGCCAGGCACTGGGCACGGCTCGTTTGGCTTGAGCACTTACCGCACTTCGAAAACGGCACCCACGACGGTAATCACGGTTCGGGAAGTTTGGGCCGAGTCCAAACACGTAGTCAGCTAGATGTGTGACACGAGCTCGACCTATCTTAAGGCCTTCACCTTTCGATTGTTGAAGCCGGCTTCACCCGCACTCCCGTCGTGTCAAGCTGGGCCAAGCGCTGAGTACTGGGACGGAAGTTGGATGGGTCCAACTACTATTCCACAACCTTTGGATGGGTTGCGTCTAAGCGGGAATCGACGAGCAAGACAACGAGCACCCGGCCTTCGCAGGATTACGTGCACCGAATAGGTCGCACGGGCCGCGCCGGGGAGAAGGGCATCTCGTGCTCCGCAGTCTGACATGATGTGGCAGTCATAGATCCTGTCGATACTGCTGGTTAGCTGGCCAGCCCTGCAGCTGCCACCCAGAAGCAGATCTTCGCAGGGATTGAGGTTTTGGAGCTATCCAGCGAATGAGTTCAGGTACACATTCCTTGTGCGAGATGACCCAACTGACGTCAAGAAAGCAAAAGCCATCTTAGACGTGTGGCACTCAGGATGCTCAGTGTCTTGCGCCAATCGTAGTTGAGCGAGGAAATCCCACAGCTCAGTCCGTTCGCCCCTCCAGGTCATGCAAACTGCAGATCAGGCAATACCTGAGGCTCGCACATGCCTGTACCCTTTCAGCATGGCCGCCCTGGAGATGAGCGTCCTCCGTTCTTGCCCCCAGGAGCTGCGACTGCTCGTCGGGGTGAAGGCCTCCAAAGGCGCTCTGCTGTTCTGAGCGCGGGGAGGGAGGGTGACGGAGGGTGGGGAAAATGAGCAGATCAAGTGCAGCAGACCAGCTGACGTCTCCCGTAGGAAGTTCAGACTGCTGACTGCAGGTGGTGGCAAGGGAGGCAAGGCCCACAAGGCCGCGCAGTTCTCTCCGTCTCACCTTGGTTCTGTTTTTGTGGGGCTTTTGGATTACCGCAACTCCAGTGTGAATGTCGAACACCACTCATTTGCCTTGCACGCATACGTTTGCTTTCGTTCTACGGCTCCGAAGCATGGAACAGATCGATTTTCCGCCCGTGAAAGTTTGAAAGCCTGCAGAGCTTCGTAAGGGCTTGGGCTGCCCGATCAGTACTGTAGGACTGTAGGAGGTGTTCGGACCCGAAGGTCCCTAAACTTCCCTTAAAAGCATGATCTTAGTATGATTGCACACTTGCGGCAGCAACAGGGGGGCGGCAAGAACGGCGGAAAATCCGGCAAGGGCAGCTTCAAGGCACGGTCCAGACCTTCAACGTATGTCAACGGCCTATTCTGAGCAACTGCCTGATTCGAGCGTCGGGCTATTGATTTCATCCATCGTTCTGCCAGGGCAAAGGCGGTGGTAACTATGCCCGCTCTGCCGTGGACCTAAGCTGCTCGTAAAACGTCTCCTCGCCTCCTGTCAGGATACATCAAGTCCGCATAGCTATTTTGCATTCAGTTTCCTAGCAATGGGGTGGAGAAGTCGACCGCTCGGAGCTACTCGCTTGCAACCACTCGGCTACAAGTCGCTGCCTGCCAAGGGCCCTCCCCCTGGTCCTCTTGCCGGCGTCGCGCCCATGCAGCATCCTGAGTCATGTCAGATATCACCAGGGTAGGACTTCACGGTGGCTTCGAAAAGCAGACTGCGAAATGTATCAGGAGACGCTGACAGCACTGACAAGCTGTTTTGAAGACGAATCGCTTTGCAGACTTGAATGATCTTTGTAGTTTCGTCTGTGTGACGGGATCGTATGGAGAAAGGAATCTGTGAGGGATGCACCACGCCCAATTTACCTGTCTTTTGACTCTACTCGGAAGCGACAACAAGCTGTGACCTGGCCAGGCAGGGTGGCCTCATGGGCGGCTACGGCGGCGGCAGCAGGGCACTCGGAGAGATCAGGCGCTTGAGAAGCCGGATCGAGCAGCCGCAGCGGTTGAAGCATTCAGCAAGCTCCGGGTCAAGCAACAAGGTCTTGTTCATGTTCCTCCAGCTGTTTACCTAGGTTGACCTACAGCGAGTCATTGTCATATCGCATCCGCATCTAGTAAACCTAGTATACAGACGATCGTGAGAAGCACACGAGATCATGGACAAATCGCTAAGCTTTGCCGGTTTGGGTGCCTTTGTGGGCGCGATGGCCGTTAGTGTGATGGCGCCGGAGATCCTCAGCCTGTCAGGCTACAACACGGCTGATCTAGCCAGTGGTTTCCCGGCTGAGGGCAGCTTCACTGGTCTGGACCTCTCTCTCTTGGAGGGTGATGTGGAGGAGGACGTTGTCACGCAGTCCTTGCAGTTTACCAGGCAGTCCGGCAAGAAGGCGAATCTTCGTCTCGCCCACGTCGATCTTGGAAGCGGCACGGATGCCGAGCAGCGAATCTTCGATCTGAGAGCTGAGCGCGAGCTCCGAACCACGGAGAGGGCCGTGCATGTCGGGAAAAAGAGTGAGTCTGCCAAGCAGAAGGACTTCGCGGTCTCGGCCCAAATGAGGCGCGATGCCACTGCTGGTATCGAGGCAGCCGATCAGAGACTTGCGGAGATCGACACGGAGCTACAGGAATTGGAGACTCTCCAGTCCTCGTTTTCCTGGTTCCAGCTCTTCTCACAGCTCCAAGCCCAGTCCGTGAATTATGTCGGCCACCTTGACCTCAGCAACTGCGGTCTTCATGCAACAGCTATTGATTTCTTGCAAAAGGTGCTCTTGGACCTGGAACATAGAGGGGATGGCCACGCCGTCGAAGAGCTTGTGCTTGACAGCAACGATTTGGGTGACGCCTCCACGGTAGCCCTGGCATCCCTGATCCGCCTGTCGTCTCGAATCCAGGTCCTCAGGCTCCGAAACATTGGCATCACAGATGGAGGATTCTCCCAGGTGATCTCCGCCATCGTGGGCAACAAAAGCTTGTGCTTGCTGGACCTCCGGGGAAATGGGTTGTGCACCCTTGAAAACAGCAAGGTAGTGGTTCAAGGCCTGCGGCGCTTCAACCAATGTGTACAGATCCTGGTGGAATAGGCGAATGGCCTTCAGAGTGCATGTTACCGAGAATGCCTGAATTTGCCAGCAGAAGAAAAATCCATGCCTTTGGGTCGTGACCATCCACAACCCTCGTCTTGGAAATCAACATCTAAGTATGGAGTGCAGCTCTAATCATATGATTGCCGTTCCGATCACTGCACATACCCGTCATGCTTGTCATGTTCTGCGGCTTCTTGAGGAAATGGGAACTACTACCGGTAGCAGCCGGTAGCCGAGATTCTGGAGAGCCGACGGTTCTGACATGCATCCTGTCACCATCCGTCATCCCTGGAAGACGATCTCTACAAGGCCCAAAAGAGTAGCCAGGGTATTGTCAAGGTGGGAATCATGCTATAACTATGGTGTTGCTCCATGAGGGAGATTACTGAGTGGGAGTCGCACAGGTCCCTGGATGACATGCACGGGCGTGAGAGCCGTGTGGTGGGTTCATGAAGCAAGCCGCGCTGTGGCTTTGATTCTTGGCATATAAGCAATCCGGCGTGTCTTCGTGATTCGAGCCAGTGTAATTAGAACTGCAGCCCGGAGAAGTCAGACTGAGCTACTGTTGTAGCTCCCAATAGGCAGTTTTGATTCATGATCCTTGCCGGACGGCCTTGCGCAGCGCCTGAGTGCATCCTGCTTGGACAAATCCAGTTTTTGCAGCTTTCGATGAGATGCCGTTCATCCAAGCACGAAGCACATGTAGGACCCCTGTCTGTACATCGTGGGCTTGAGACGAATCATCTCAAAGTCTTTGGCACCCAAGCGTCCGAGCGACACGTTCCTTGAAGGTGCCAAAGTCTTCACAATTCTTTGTACGTCAGCGTGACGCTGATTGGCAAGATCCAGCCGCAAAACTTACTGCAGGAAAAATCTACTCTGAGCTCGAGCCTCTAGGCGGTTTTTCTTGCTGTCTTTCTATGTCCTTGTTTCGGTCTCTATCTCTGTTTGTACCTCGCTATCTGTCTGTTTCTCGCTCGCTGTGTGACTCGCCGCTCTTTGTCGTACATATGCTTTTGGAGCTCAGAATCCTGTCCGAGGTAAAGACAACGCAACTTTTTCAGGTCGTCTTGAAGGCGTCCGTCTTCCCCTGCGCGTGGCAGCACCCAGAAGTTTGATGGTGGCCTCTGCCTCTCCTCGAATGGGTGCGCTAGGCTTCGAAGCAGCCCGCAAAACTCGAGCGAAAGCCCACGCATTCCTGTTATGATCTCCCATAACCGGCGTTTCGGCTCAAAGGCCTGCACCTGTGCTGCACGCACTGAAGCAGGCGATGCGCGTACTTGCTAGCTGCTAGCAAGTCGTTCGTCTAGGGGGGAGTTTGGGATACTTTGCGGGATCAGGATTTGGGCTGTGGAAACTGTCAAGATGCACCAGCCTCATTCGACCGACCGGCACCCGCGTGCGCCTGGGTCGTCGTCTGAGGGCTGTTATGTTCATTTGTTTTGCCAACCCTCGTGCACACTCACACGAATATTGAGGATTTGATCGCGGCTCTTTGAAAGCAAGACAGCACGCGGTGGTTCGTCGTTCGGTCAGATAACGAAAGAGCTGTCATTGACATTATGGGGCTGTTCTTAGCTCTTGGTGTCCCGAGTCTTTCCGAGCCGGGCTCAGCATCAGGTTCGCTCCAGGGGTCAGTTTGAAACAGATCTTTTCTGCCGGCACTGTGCTTGTGAAGGCTGCTGGGGCAAGAGGCCCCGCAGAATGAAGATCTCAGCGGCCTAAGACAATCTGCTTTACAGGCCGGCAGGGCAGCTGACGGGTTAGCCTCTGCTCTTCCTGGGGTCTGTAGGATCAAGGTGCTCTGTGATTCGTGGCTAGTCTGTCAGGGTTGGGTATGCAGTGGAATCCATGACACTTCTGAACATGCGACGTCAAAAGAATGGCGAGGCAATGTGGCGCTGTTTGCTGGGTGCTGCGCTGGCAAGCCACTGGCTTTGACACAGGATGCTCATGTTCAGTCCCTCTGTGCAGAACCCGGGCTGTCTTTTGCAGCAGTGTTTGTTACGAACAGCAATGGTAGCACCGGCCGTCGCTTTCGTGGTCGTGGTCGTTGTTGCCGTGCTTGTTCTGGTGGCTGGCGCTGGGTGGTGGTTGGGATTGGGGTGGTGGGTTGTTGCTGTTGCTGATGCTGTTCTCGTTGTCGTCGTTGTTGTTGTTGTTGCTGCTGCTGCTGTTGTTGTTGTTGTTGTTGTTGTTGTTGTTGTTGTTGTTGTTGTTGTTGTTGTTGTTGTTGTTGTTGTTGTTGTTGTTGTTGTTGTTGTTGTTGTTGTTGTTGTTGTTGTTGTTGTTGTTGTTGTTGTTGTTGTTGTTGTTGTTGTTGTTGTTGTTGTTGTTGTTGTTGTTGTTGTTGTTGTTGTTGTTGTTGTTGTTGTTGTTGTTGTTGTTGTTGTTGTTGTTGTTGTTGTTGTTGTTGTTGTTGTTGTTGTTGTTGTTGTTGTTGTTGTTGTTGTTGTTGTTGTTGTTGTTGTTGTTGTTGTTGTTGTTGTTGTTGTTTGTTGTTGTTGTTGTTGTGTTGTTGTTGTGTTGTTGTTGTTGTTGTTGTTGTTGTTGTTGTTGTTGTTGTTGTTGTTGTTGTTGTGTTGTGCTGTTGTCGTTGTTGTCGTTGTCGTTGTTGTGGTTGTGGTTGTTGTGGTTGTTGTTGTTATGTTGATGCTGTTGTCGTTGTCGCTGTCGTTGTCGTTGTCGCTGTGGTTGTGGTTGTTGTGGTTGTTGTTGTTATTGGTGTTGGTGTTGTTGTTATTGTTGTTCTTGTTCTTGTCATTGTTGTTGTTCTTGTTCTTTGTGGTGTTGGGGTCGGTGTTTGCTGCTGTTGGTTTTGTGGTTGTGGTTGTTGTCGTTGCCGTGTCGTTGCTGTTGTCGTCGAGCAGTTGTTGTCACTGTTGCCGATGTGGCGTTGCAAACATCATAGTTGTGGTATGTTGTAGTATGTTGGTCGCATCGGAGCAGTTGCAAAGCATTTGCCTTACTTGGTTTCTCCAAGGCCTGGCTGACGAAGCTGCCGGGTGGAGCTCTCGGACAACGGGTGGAGTCGCATTCCAACAGGTACCGTGTGGACAGCAAGCTGGCATGATGAGATATGAGAGGCAATCCGTTTCTCACATTCGCAGTTGGTGTCCAAGCAGGTCGCTGCAGCGCAGTGGCCACATGAGGGACCTCCTTAGATGTCTGATCCGGCTACACCGATGTTGTGTGTCGCGTTCCATGCGGACAGCAAGCTGGAAGGATGAGATATGAGAGGCAATCCGTTTCTCACATTCGCAGTTGGTGTCCAAGCAGGTCGCTGCAGCGCAGTGGCCACATGAGGGACCTCCTTAGATGTCTGATCCGGCTACACCGATGTTGTGTGTCGCGTTCCATGCGGACAGCAAGCTGGAAGGATGAGATATGAGAGGCAATCCGTTTCTCACATTCGCAGTTGGTGTCCAAGCAGGTCGCTGCAGCGCAGTGGCCACATGAGGGACCTCCTTAGATGTCTGATCCGGCCACAATAACGTTAGTTGTGTGTCTGTCGCGTTCCATGCGTACAGCAAGCTGGAAGGATGAGATATGAGAGGCAATCCGTTTCTCACATTCGCAGTTGGTGTCCAAGCAGGTCGCTGCAGCGCAGTGGCCACATGAGGGACCTCCTTAGATGTCTGATCCGGCCACAATAGCGTTAGTTGTGTGTCTGTCGCGTTCCATGCATACAGCAAGCTGGAAGGATGAGATATGAGAGGCAATCCGTTTCTCACATTCGCAGTTGGTGTCCAAGCAGGTCGCTGCAGCGCAGTGGCCACATGAGGGACCTCCTTAGATGTCTGATCCGGCTACACCGATGTTGTGTGTCGCGTTCCATGCGGACAGCAAGCTGGAAGGATGAGATATGAGAGGCAATCCGTTTCTCACATTCGCAGTTGGTGTCCAAGCAGGTCGCTGCAGCTCAGTGGCCACATGAGGGACCTCCTTAGATGTCTGATCCGGCCACAATAACGTTAGTTGTGTGTCTGTCGCGTTCCATGCGTACAGCAAGCTGGAAGGATGAGATATGAGAGGCAATCCGTTTCTCACATTCGCAGTTGGTGTCCAAGCAGGTCGCTGCAGCGCAGTGGCCATATGAGGGACCTCCTTAGATGTCTGATCCGGCTGCATTGATGTTGTGTGTCGCGTTCCATGCGGACAGCAAGCTGGAAGGATGAGATATCAGAGGCAATCCGTTTCTCACATTCGCAGTTGGTGTCCAAGCAGGTCGCTGCAGCGCAGTGGCCACATGAGGGACCTCCTTAGATGTCTGATCCCGCTACATTGATTGTTGTGTGTCGCGTTCCATGCGGACAGCAAGCTGCAAGGATGAGATATGAGAGGCAATCCGTTTCTCACATTCGCAGTTGGTGTCCAAGCAGGTCGCTGCAGCGCGGTGGCCATATGAGGGACCTCCTTAGATGTCTGATCCGGCTGCATTGATGTCGTGTGTCGCGTTCCATGCGGACAGCAAGCTGGAAGGATGAGATATGATAGGCAATCCGTTTCTCACATTCGCAGTTGGTGTCCAAGCAGGTCGCTGCAGCGCAGTGGCCACATGAAGGACCTCCTTAGATGTCTGATCCGGCTACAATAACGTTGTGTGTCGGTCGCGTTCCATTCGTACAGCAAGCTGGAAGGATGAGATATGAGAGGCAATCCGTTTCTCACATTCGCAGTTGGTGTCCAAGCAGGTCGCTGCAGCCAGTGGCCACATGAGGGACCTCCTTAGATGTCTGATCCGGCCACAATAATGTTAGTTGTGTGTCTGTCGCGTTCCATTCGTACAGCAAGCTGGAAGGATGAGATATGAGAGGCAATCCGTTTCTCACATTCGCAGTTGGTGTCCAAGCAGGTCGCTGCAGCCAGTGGCCACATGAGGGACCTCCTTAGATGTCTGATCCGGCCACAATAATGTTAGTTGTGTGTCTGTCGCGTTCCATGCGTACAGCAAGCTGGAAGGATGAGATATGAGAGGCAATCCGTTTCTCACATTCGCAGTTGGTGTCCAAGCAGGTCGCTGCAGCTCAGTGGCCACATGAGGGACCTCCTTAGATGTCTGATCCGGCTACACTGACGTTAGTTTTGTGTCTGTCGCGTTCCATGCGGACAGCAAGCTGCAAGGATGAGATATGAGAGGCAATCCGTTTGTCATGCTTGGGGTTTGTGTCCAAGCGGGTCATTGCAGCAGGGTGGTCGGGTTGGGGCCCTCCGCACAAGCAGATGTCGAAATCAAGTGAGTCCAAGGTCACATTCTATCGTAGTCCAGCGGGAAGGGTTGTGATATGCGTGGTGACCCATCTTTGACAGTCGCAGTTGGTGTCACGACACGATGCTGTAATGCAGGTGCATCGTGCGTTAGTTTTGCTGTCAATGCTTTCCTGCTCGCATTTGGGAAATCTTGCATGGTGATCATGATGCCCTGGAATGTCTCATTGTTCCTGTACTCAGGGCAGTTCTTCGGCGAAGTGGCGGCTTCAAGGCATGGTATTCCCGTCAATGACAACTGGCTGCCACGCAGTCTAAGTCTAAGTGAAGTGCTTGCCTGAGATTCTGTCCATGGCTGTGGCGGTCATTTTCACTCCTTGCCCGCAGGTCGTGCAGACAGGGAAACAGCGGTTGTTCATGGCATGCACTTGAGACACGATAGGCCAAGAGACCACAAGCCATGGGCACAAATGGCATCAACTTATCATCAACCCCTGACCCAGCGCGCAACCCCCGGGACCATGCGCGTTTAGGACTGTCCAACGGTCCAAGGATGTCCAACAGACTTGTGTGCTTTTCTTGCCAACTAGTTTCGTTTCCAGACGAGACTTCTGGCACATGAGTATCAGCGGCACAGGTCATCAACTTGACCACCACAGTTTTGCAAACAGCACAGGTTCGCCGTACTCCCTGCGAAGCAGAACCTGTCTTTGCAGGAAGTACGACTCCCTTGTGAGCAAAGCACGGAACTTGTCTGTGTTTGTTGTTCTTTGGCACCTTCCCTGCTTTGCTCTGCAGGCACTCAGCCTTGCCTACTGGCCCTTGCCTTTCTTTCCTCTGCCTCGTCGCTCACGGGAATGTTTCGCACAGTAAGGGACAAGACGAAATGCACGAAGCACTGATTCCATGCTGCATGCGGTTGTTTCCAAGACGTCCATCTACGAAGGCATCGCATTGGCGACTGCAGCTTTCTGTCGCTGCAAAGCACACCCTCCGGCTACGTATGTACTACTCTATGCGCATGTCCGCGCCGTTCGACGGATTCTTGTCAAGCTTCTCTTGATGATCCCAGACCGAATGCGGAATGCACATCTGCCGTGACCTTCGATTTTGCATACCTTCAATTTTGCGACAGGCCGAGCACTTCGAGACAGCCACTGGCGACAATGAAGTTCCTGAGAAGGACTGAAGTCGAATCCTGATGATGCGAAACACTCGGCCCTGCGTCGAGATAATGGCGACCCAAAGGGGCAGCATTCGTAACTACCGTGGGAGGGTCTGGTGGCTTTGGGATGGATAGCCGTGGCCTTGCTCGGTCGGATTGGGATGAGTTGCTGCTCTGGAAAGACGAGGACTTGATGGATATGTTGACCTCACTTAACGAAATTGTCCCGCACCTATTCAAAGCTGGAGATTGTTTTGGCGAAAGCGCATGCGATCTTTGTGCCACATCCCTCGGACCCAGGTTGTGAGTGCGGACAAAGAGCACAAGGCTTTTGAAAAGCTTTCCAGTGCTCCTTCCTCAGTCGACTCAGAGGAGTTTGTGTTACTCTCCTGCTTGTGGCGAAGTGCCCATCAGGCTCGCGGGACTGCCTGCCAGTCGACGGAGACGAGTCTCCAACAGTCCGATGCCAACAGAGGAAAGATGACAAAGCGATCTACCACCTAGGGCATAAGACGCGCACCGCTGCCCAGATAAAGCTGCATCAGGACCAAGATCGGTTGTTTGTAGTTGTACTATTGGCTCTTCAGCGACACGGGCATTGAAGAAGACACTACCAAGGTCCATCTCCGAAGGAAGTCAGTCTATCAAGACTGCAGCTGCCTCGGGTACTGATGGAAGAGTGAAAAGCCAGAGTCATGTCCTGCTTGTTCGGCGATCTGGCCCCCTCCACCTGACGACATCAAAGCCCTTCCGGTAGCTGGCGTGCACAGAGGCGCAAGTCGAGCTGTCGAAGGCCATGAGCGAGGTTGAGTCCATCCAGGTGCCACGCACGCCAGATGGACTGCTTGAAGTTGAGATTCACGGACGACATGCTAGGGAGATGTGACTGAGCTGAAATCTCAAGTCAAGACCGTTGAGGATGAGCCGGGCTCTCTGCTGCTTGCTTGTCCGCTGACTCGTGAGGTATGTGTGGATTGGACTCTTCGTGATTCTGTTGGTATCATTGTATCATGTAAACACAACACCCCACTAAGGGTTGCTGCTCTTCAGAAGCAACTTACTACTCTGCGAACGGAGCGCTTCTGCCTCAGATCTGTTGTAGATTGTAGATGTGATGCTTGCAACTAATGCCCAGCCGAATCACACCCCAAATCCACGAATCTCACGAAGGTCAAGCGGCTGTTGCCCGCGACTCTGGCTACACTCGGGAAGTGAAGGCAGCTCCGACTCTTGGTGACTCGCAGAGCACGTCGAGATCTGAAAACGTCACCTGGACCTGCCAGGCCATCCTGAGCAAGGCCAAGCGAAGAATAGATCAGGCAGGGCTGACTCTGCAGCGTGGTACTGGGAAAATGTTCCTCGCCCGGCTTTTTGAGAATCCTTCGGCAATTTGCGCCGTGCACGCTCGAGTCTCTTGACAGACACATACAGACACCATGGACACCGTGCGCACAGCATTTTTGAATGGAAAAGGATCCGTTTGTTCGAAGGCAGCGTGTGGAGACATGACACTTTTCGGAGGAATCACGCAGCAGCTTCACCCAAGATAAGATTCCTCCTGCTCTTGACAGAGACAAGGAGGCCTACAGCAGCATCAGGATTGCATCCACATGTAGCCTGCCCGAAGCACCTCAAGTGCCTGGTAAGAGTGCTTCTCACGCAAAATGCATCAGGACGCCGTGATTTGCCAATTACGCGCTTCATTCACTGTACATAAGTCAGACTTCTCCCGGTCGCCGTATCAAAAAGTTAGACTTCTGGGTTCACTCGCTGCATGACATGTCAAATTTCCTTTTCACCCTTCACTACATTACTACATAACGAAAGTCAGACGTGTTTTATAATCCTTTCGCTGCAGAGCAAACCCTTGCACCGCAATTGATGGCACTCTCTGCAGGTCTGGTCAAGGAGCGGTGCCCACAAGCTGGAAGAGGCCGCCGAGCTTCTGCAGGGAGACAGCAAGGAGCCTTTGATTGCTAGTGGATGGTCTTGGTCATTGTCGAAATATTAATAAGAACAATCCGACGAGAGATTGTGGCATCGTCTGGATGCCTGCAGGACAGCGACCAGAGTGGAGAAACAGGCAGCGAGGCCAGTGAGTGCACGGCAGTTTGAGCCATTTGTGTGCGCAGAGAGTGTGCTTTGCATATGAGACGTCGACATCAGCTGCTTCTCGCACTCATCCAACATGCTTTGTACCTTCGTGTCTGTTCTTTTGATCATGCACCTTTCAGCTCAGCGAGAAGTAGTTGACCGTCACCGTCCAATCCAGCAGTATCAGGCCGACCATGACCCCTCACAAGACCTTCACCTTGTCAGTAGCTGTGCTCTTTGGTACTCAATTCTCGTCGCCTGCGATGGCTGCTGGATCCGTCTCTGGGTTCCTTTGACGCGGACGACCATGGCAGAGGCATCTCAAAAGGACCTGTGACCCGGCTCTATGCTGGAGCCTCGTTGAGTAGGGCCCGGCTGTTCCTGTGAGGAGGGAGAAGCCACGGTGATGGGCAGCGCGCGGCCGCCGCTGCCGGGCAGCTTGGCGAAAGCCGCAATTGGGCTTCACTACCCCTTGCAATCCGAAGCTACAGAGATGGTTTCATCCCAGACTCCGGTCCATCGCTTCTTCTGATCTTGGCTCTCTCGCATGTCCTGAAGCCTGTGCCAGAGGCTTCTCTGCCAAGACCGAGCGATGGGTGATGGAGTTTTGGGCTCAGATGCGCGATGTGGGGCATAGCGCACGGTCAGCGCGAGGGTCTGCAAGATTCCGACAGCACCCTTGACCGGAGAGGCGTTTGCATCGGTTTGAGCTTGGCCGCTGTTCAGGCTAATCTACGGCAGGCGCTGCGAAGCAGAGGACAAGTACCTCAAGGACATGTGCCGGCATTGATGCTGCCCCGGCTCCAAAGCAACACGTACGACATGCACCACACCGCAGCTGTAAACTTCAGCACTGTGGCTACCACATTTGTGCAGGAGCGGCGCGAGAACGTCCCGGTCACGAAGGCTCTCTTCCAAGCTGAAGCAAAAAACATGAGCTGCCTGCGTCCAGCTTCGAGTTCTAAGAGATTTCGCATTGGAAAAGGTACCGCTGATGAAAGCGAAAGGCTTTAAAGCCGTCAGAAATCAGACCTATATTGTCGTGGGCTCAGATTTATACGTCCTTCCTTTACGTAGATACGATGCCTTGTGCGAGAGTTTCTTCAAGGAGGTGTAAAGTAGGCGCATGCCTGAGTTGGAATGACGTTTCGCGAGTGATGCATCGCCGAAGAGACTGTGGAGTTGAAAGTTTACATGCGAATAGGGGCTCAGAGTTGCGCAACCCTTCAATGCCTTCGAGATTTTAGATCTTGACTCAGGACATCCGTCCGGCCACCCCATCAGTGGCCAGCAACATGAGCCGAAGGAGCAGGGCCTCCTTCACTGGTCGGAGCATCTGCAGTCTGGACCCTTGGACCCTTGTCCTTGCCCAAGCCCAAGTCTCTAAAACGACAACCAAGGCCAGCCGAGACGAGACCTCAGCCGGCACGCGAGTGCCGGAGATCTGAAAACCCTCCAAAGAGCTGAGCCCATCCAGGACTGAACAGTTCCACACCCCGCTTGCAGCTTCTGGTGTCTTGCGCCTCTGCGAAGGAGGTTGATGAGAGGATCTGCGCGGAAGTCGCTGGCCAGCCCGAGCCGGACCGGCCGGACCTGGCGGAGCAGCTTCCTCGTGCCCAAAGCGCCGAGCCTTCAGCTCTGCAGCTCTTCGCTTAGGAGAGAGCCCAAGAGCTTCGTCCTGCCGAAATATGCTTCTGCCTCAGAAAGCTGCCCCCACGCCCTTGTTGCATGGAGCAGACGACTTCCGCTGCCTGTTGAGGCTTTGGCGAAGTACACGATGAAGCACATGCGACGCGGAAGAAATCATGCACAAGGAGTTTACAAACACTGTTCAGTTCTTTGTGTTTTACCTTTGCATGTTTTCTGCTTAGGTATTTGGCCGAGTGCGGCACGCGCAGCACCAGCATGAAGAATCCTGTCGCGGAGAGTCTGCGGTAGCTTCGTGATGCTCGCGCGACATGAGTGGTCTTCATATTACAAGTTGAGCTTCGATTTAGGGGCTTTGAGCACCGCTGCGCAAGGAACCTTCGAAGCGTCATCAAGCCCGCGCACAACGTTCGCAGCGATCTCCTTACGATGCAGATTGACAGTGTGCGCCATGGCTTTGTTTGGAGCCCGGAGCTTGCCGAGTTCAGGCACTGCTGCGAGCTTCTTCCAAGAGCCAGGAAGGTGACGTCCAGACGCTGCGCGACCTCCATCCGAGGCACAAGACCCTCATCAAGTCTCACAGGTCACCGAAGAAGGAAACTTCAGTGAACAGAGTTCGGACTCGTTGCCCGGCTCGTCGCGAAGCGATGATGCTCTTTCTCTCTCTTGGCATGCAGAAGCAGCCTTGACCACGAGTCTTTGCCTCGAGTTAACGTCCCTGGGTCCAGCCTGCCCATCTTCTCGGACTCGGACATCCCACGAGCCAAGGGTGCCGCAAAAGCAGTGTGTCGGTGCCGGCGAGTGTGCGCTTAAGCCTAGTAAGCCTGTCGCCTGGCTGCTGTTGCGGCCGAACGAATTCGGAGAACCTAAACTCTGAGCAGGCCTGGGATCCAAGCTCTTTGGCAGAGCTGCGAAGCGCCGACGAAGATGCATCCCAGGCTCCAGAGAAGACTGGGAGGCGCGATGCATAGCGCTGTCCTTTGCTGTGGCAATGCCGGCTCCTCTGACAGGAAGGATGCGGCGGAAAGCAGTTCGAAGGCCACGAACGGGGCATTCGACTTTCGAATTTGATCTTGAGCATCTCAGGCCCTCGACAAAGATGCGGCAGAAGTGAACAAGGCTGCGCAGATTGCGCGCGAGGCCCTGCAGATCCCTGCAGCCTCAGCGTGACATGCATGGCCCAATACACGCTCCCTGCTTGAAGGCCTTCGAGCTGGAGGCAGCGCCTTTGCTCTCCAAGCAAACTGCCACGACACGATATGTCAACAGTTACAGGCATTACTTACACCGACATCGCGTTGCAAAATGCACCGAGCTTGGGCGTTGTCTTGGCAGGAGCTGCGTTTGATGGATCTGATCAAGTCAAAGCGGAAGCTGCCCAGCGCCCAGTCAGAGAGAGCTTGCATAGAGAGCACCTGTGTTGGTGTGACACAACACGACTAGAGTTGTGGAACATGCTAAAGCTGCTGAAGTGCCGAAGTATTCAATTCGCATCTTGCTCCAGTGATGCAGCGCATGTTTTCCCTGCCAGGCTTGAGCCTCTACAGGCTGGCCTTGCAGACCGACAGCCGGAGTGCCGGGCATAGAAGATGGCGAGATTGGGGGTTCGTGGGCCTGCAAGGGGTCTACAGTTTCATCGTTTTTCCTGGTGTCCTAGTTCCTGCTCTTGGATTCGCCGAGGTTGGCAGATCAGCTCAAGAAGATCTCGGAGGCTGGCGGACTGTGAGTTCAAGCATGCTCGGGTCGGGTGGGGAGTGCGAGAAGCTAGAAAATCTAGAGACCAAGCGGAATTTGAAGGACCATGGGCCACCGATACTGATCTCAGCTTCATGAACATACTCTTGCACTAACCTTTACAGCCCAGTCATGCGCCCAGTTGTCCTCTTCACGGCTCTACCTATTGGGTATTCCGACTGTAGCAGGAACGAAAAGGGCACTCAAAAAAAAAGAGAGAGGCTTGGTCAAGAGCCCAGCGGCCTAGCGTCAAGATGCCTGCAATCGAGACTAGGCATGCTCAGCATCTGGACTTGCGAGCATTTCAGTCTAGCTAGGCAAAGCCATGTCGCTTCCCATGCCCCGAGCGAAGCAAAGCAAAGAGACAGAGGGATGGCCCCTAGGCTCTGCAAAAGAGAGAGGGAGAGAGAGACAGAGTGTCTGTGTGTGTGTGTGGGCGCGGGTCCGACCCTGCTCGGCCGTGGAAGGAAGGACGTGTGTGTGTGTGTGTGTGTGTGTGTGTGTGTGTGTGTGTGTGTGTGTGTGTGTGTGTGTGTGTGTGTGTGCGTGCGTGCGTGCGTGGACCAATAAAGCGATGATCTTCAGTGGTTGTACCCAGAAGCACATGTGGAACAAGGGAACCCTCCACCATTGCCTGGTTCACACAGGCCAACCGTACGGTCGCTCGAGACTCAGGGTACTGCTGTTCTTGTCGCGGCTGTTGGGCTGCCTGCGTTGTGCTTACCCGGCTTGCTCTGTCGAGCAGAGGAGCCTTGCTCAATCCGTACTTCTACAGCAGATCTGACTGATTTGTCCTTCCTTTTTCTGGCCGTTGGTTCTTTCCGTCTAATCGACGACGCCCACGAGTCCTGGCACAAATGCTAAACCCCGTTCTGAGCACAAGTCATCTTCACCAATGCGAGGCCATGTCCAAGAAAGGGGTGCAGCGAGATACAGCAGTCTTGGAGAAGTCAGACGCTCAACACTTGCGACCTTGGGTTTCAGTTCAGGACTGTTCAGGGTTCAAGGTTGAAGCAAAAGCAAACTCCAAGTGGCAGCACACCATGCGCGTAGCAGGTCCAAGAAGAAATGCGAGCTTCTCGCGGAGGCCGGGAAGATGTCAAAGCAAATATGCTACGATGGATCCTACCTTCTGGTATGTCTATACATGCACGTACATACCAAAATACATACATAATTACTTGCAAAGCTTGTTCGCATACGTTGGTTTATACAAAACTGCAGAAACGCCTCTACATACAGATATATATATATATATATATATAAACACACAAAACGAATACGTATATTTGCCCCCCGACTCTATCTCTTTCTTTCTTTCTTTCTCTCTCTCTCTCTCCCTCTCTCTCTGTCTCTCTCGCTCTCTCTCTCTCTCTCTCTCTCTCCCTCTCTCTCTCTCTCTCTCTCTCTCTCTCTCTCTCTCTCTCTCTCTCTCTCTCTTTTGTTTGCTCGCTATATAGATATATGTATATGTTTATATTTGTACACACATACACACTTAAGCCACGCGTCCACAAACAAACACATGTATGCCTGCACAATGTGTTTGTTCAATCACCTTTTAAATTTGTACTCCCCATGTGAGACTCATACCCGCTCCAAATGTCGCCCAGTCTTCAGCAACAATCACAATTATTCCGGTGGCCTCAGGCGAAGAAGTTTGAATCCGACAAGCGTCCGGAAGTCCGCAGCCTTGTCGCCTCATGAGTTAGAGCTGAGTGAAGTCCAGAGGCCTGAGTGCACGCCGTTGTTGGCCGAGGTTCGGTCACAGGTGCTCATGGCCTCTTCATTCCTGAAGAGCCTGGCAGTCGTCTCAGCCGTGACGGCTACAAGCACCAGGGTCTCGTTGTGCGCGAAGACTGTGAACAAAAAGCCCTAATCAGGCCCTAATCAAATGAATGATCACAGCGCAGATTCCCAAACAGTGAAACACCACGCACCAAGCACAACCCGAAGGACGAGAGCAGACCCACCGCGACTAGCGAGACGACCGCGACGACAAGGACCACCAGAAAGCGCAAAGGACGTCAACAGGAGACCAACAAAACAGATCAGCAAGACAAAAACAGGGCACCACTGAAAAGCCGCCGAATCCACCAGGATAGCACCAGCCCCCATGTTCCGGCGGGCTTCACTGGTCTGAACGCGCCATCACCACTCTTCCCCGCCTCGTCTGGTGGGTTGCGGGCATGTTCACGGATATTCCGGGCACCAGTGTAGCATCAACACATCGACATGTACTGCTGGGATGAGCTATTGTGTTATTTTGTTGAAGAACGAAGGCGAAGGCATCGGGCTTCACACTGACACCGTTCTGGCCTCGAGACGGAGTGCAGCCTTGCCACAAGTTTGCTGGACTTTACAGTGTGCACTTGGGCCGAGGGGCGCAAAGGGTCCAAGTGCAGCCGTGAACTTCCTGCAGCTGGATTCCGCCAGTGTTCGCCCCACGACCAGATTTTACCAGCTTTCCATCCATTGGCAAGCAGTTCTGAGGAGATACTGCTAGCGATGACCTGTCCGAGGTGGGCCATGTCCAAGTGTTTGCATGTATTGCCGAAGGTTTCGTCGGCCGTTGGTCCAGGCTGTGCGCAACGCTCTTCGCAACATCGAGGCGTTGAGTGACAGCCACCGTGGTCTTTCGGAGGACCTCCAGATGCAGGCACCCCGTGGAGAGCGAGGCCTTTCCCTGAAAGCAGCCGTGACGCCGTGGGCAGGGGAGCGACGACGCAGTGTCGGCCAACCCGGAGAGCAATCTCGTGCAGGCCGCGCTTCTAATCGTTGAGCACAGTGCAGAATTCCGATTCGTGCCTGCGCTCGACTTCTAAGGTGAGCGCAGGGACGGAAGTTAGCCAGGCCTGGATTCTGGTCACTCTGCTTCACCCACCTATGCCGACAGTGGGAGCCCACACATCGAACAATTCAGACAACATGCAGATCCCTTTCTGCCAATATGTCCTGAGCACCTACAGTGCATCCAGGCACAGTCCTCCAGGGAGACAGCAGACTCTCTCAAGAGCTTCGTATGCATTTGGGCTCACGAGGGAAGCCGTGATTCAGTGTCTGTACAAGTTGTAACCAAGCAATATGTGAGGTGACTGTGGTCAGTGCAGAGAGGCACCACTGTTTGTTGGTTGAAGGTGACATACAGCCATAGCAACTGTGACCGTTTGAGCAGCGGACACTTCGTGATGCTGAGGGCCATCAAAGCGAGAGAGCAATGGTCCAATCATGCTCAGCATGCTGCCATTTCTTGCCACACCCAGGAGCGTCAAAGAGATGATCTCCAACCTGATCGCCTCCCTTCGCGAGGTGGACGGGGTGGTTTCGAGGAAGGTCCCGAAAGACAGCTTCGAACTTTGAGATCTTCGGAACACAGGAGCAGAACCAGGAGAAAGAGAAGGGCAAGTTCTGTGCCGGCTGCCGAGACTCTAGCACTGCTTTACTTTGCGGCAGCCATCGGCAGCCGATAAGGATCGCGCATGTCGCCTGAACTTCGTCAGAAGCGTATTTGCAAAGAGATGGCTATGACCTGCACCGCTCTGTCCCGCCGCCATTTGTTAATCAAGGGCTCGATCATGTAAGTCCCTACGAAGAGGGGCCATCGGAGCCAGATCGTCCGCTGGACGCGTTTCACCCAGTTGCCGCCAGCCGGTGCCTTGGTTTGAGCTGAGAAGACGAGAGACATGTAGTAAGCTGGATGACTTGATGATCAAAGAAGAGGGAGCTTGAAACCACAGCCTATCAGGCTTTACAGTCAACCAAGCAGCGTCGGTGATGCAGAATTTGGGACATGATGGTGATATGATGCTGCGGCTTTCGCCATCCCTCTTTCTTGCTCCTGAGGGAGAGACATCCTCAGGTTGCTATGAATCCTGCACGTAGCCGGTCTCGGTCACCGAGGCCTCCCGCAGATTCTAGATTGGGATTCGTATTTCCCACATGCCATGGTCACGAACCATCACAGCCTGCATGTCACCTGCAGATAAAGAGTCTTCTGCAAACAGTGTTCCGCGTGCTGCGTTTGTGATGATCTGCTGCTTTCTTGAAGATTCTTCAGGAGTACCGAGCCAGCTTGCTTGAAGCAGGCGGTCTCAGAGGCTCCCTGGCTGAACCAGTTGAGGGCAAGTCCGGGTATGAAGGTGTGTGGCCTCTGATGCTCCGATTGCTGGTTAGCCTCCCCTGTCGCATATTCTGCAGACAGCTTAGTGTGCGTATCCTTGGACTCCACAGGGAGCTCTGCCTTTCTTGCTTCTTCAGGAGGATCCCGCCTACTTGGACTCCGGATTTCTGCAGCCCCAGTGGTGGATCCCGGAAGTCGATGGGGTCGCTGGGGCGAAAATGCAAGCGGGTGTGTCATCCCTGTCCTAGATAGGTGATCCCAAGTACTGTTGGTTGGTGTTACAACTTGAGTTGAGACACGCGGCGACGCACGGTAGTGGCTTTGTCGTTGCCAGCCTTCTTAAACTCTAGTACACCTTGTGCTACTGATACTAGGTCGGCCCCTTGGAGCCCGAAGTTGCCAGATCTTGCGTCGCGCCCCGCGCGAGCGAAGCACACACACTTTGCCTTGCACAAGGCGCGGGTCGGTGACCACGAATTTCTTCAGATTCTCGGAGAAGGTGCCGTGCCTCCAGTGCAGCCCGTGTCAGGCAGACACGGGAGAGTTGGGAAAGCGTTCTCCTTCCGAGGCACCCATGGCCGTGTCTACAAGGTTGCTGATCCGGTCGTGGGCGGCTTCAATGCCGTGAAGGTGATCAGGCCGGATGTGGTATCATTCTGGCGACACTAAAGTTCAGCAGTCGATGTGATGTGGCTCGTTGCGAGGAAGAAGAGCAAGAATACTGATGAGCTGGCTGGAGTCATGGCCGAGTGCAACACCCTTGGCTGGTTGAATCATCCCAACATTGTACAGCTCCTAAGCTGCAGCCTTACAGCTCCTCTCTTCTCAAGTCCCGACAGCATCTCTGAAGGCTACGAGGAGCAGTCAATGCATACAAGAACTTCTATGTGTTCATGGACTTCGCTGGCAGCATGTCGCTTCACAAGCTCCTTCAGAACAGGCGCGTTCATGACCCTCGAGTGGCAGGAATGTGTTAGCGGCAAGCAGCAGATTTGCTGCCTTGGCTTTGATTACTCGGCAGACCGGAGTGCAGTTTGAATCATGGGAAAAGCTGTTCCATTTGGTTGTCCCTTGCCACCATGACGCTAGGGACAATCAAACCGGACTTGACCTGCCCATCGCCCGGCAACTCTTCCATCAGCGGTTTGATCTCATTTGGAGTTTTTCTTTGACGTTTTGTTAGTAGACCCGTTCGTCGCAGTATGAGGCCAGAAGGCTTTGATTGCCCATGCCATGATGAGGGCTGTAGGAGGGTGCCTGCAGAGACCTGATGCCACCGAAGGATAGCGGATGCAGTGGCATATTGTCATTGCCATGGCCTTGCTCACTGTGTCCCTTATCAGGGTTGAGGCTTAAGAAGATTTCAAGCAGTTCCTTCTCAAAGTTTGTCACCTAGTTCTAGGCGTGAAATGCACGATACGGATGGATTGAAATGCAGAAGGAGCTGCTTGTTATCTGTTGTTTTGGTCTTACCACTAATCCCCTTAGCTTTTTTGTGTGCTTCTTTGGACTGGCATGCATGCGAAGAAGCCTCGTCGGTCAGGAGTTGTTTTTGACCGGTGCACACCCAGGACCTCAAACCGCAGAACGTTGTGATATCGGAAGATGGAACTCCAAAGAAGCTCGTTCATTCCAGCTTAATCTGATTTACTTTGCCGCCAGTAGATCTCTGAGTGTTTTGTGGTGAAGGCATAAGGGGAATGCATTCCGGCGTAGATTGTGATTTTGTTCAACATGTTTTCTGTCCTGGCAGGTGCCTAGGCCCAGCCTAAGGCAAGCTAGCAGGAAGCCTCGACTCCAGCACTGTGGCACTACGTACAGCGACCAAGATCTGACATTTGAAGCCATGTTTGCAAGGCATTGTGCCTAGTCATGAACACACATGTTTCGGTGGCTGCACGTTGATGCGACTTGCCAGCGACGGCCTCTTGAGGATCGTAGATTTCGGTTTGGCATTGAAGCTCGGTTGGCCAGTAGGCTGGTCCTGGACTTACCGTCTCAAGCGTCGTGCTGTTTCATGCAGTCAGTTTGCATGCATGTGGGCCTGTAGACACCTTTGCACTGAGTGTATCAGGGATTTGCTCCAGCCTCAGCAGCGTGTGAAAGAGAGCAGCATGCTTGAACCCTCCGGCCCTCCGCTGCCCGGCTCCGACTTGCTGTCCAGCCCCTGCGAGGCAATCCCCGCGGCACTTGGCCCTTTACGGCACCAGAAGCCGCGTGGCCTTGTGGGAGGCCCTGGGATCTGGCGAAGGCAGATGCAGCTTGGCTGCAGAAGGATGATAGGAGGACCATGGGGGCCATCTGCCCGCAAATCCACCAGTCCAACTACGACTTCACCGCGTCTCCAGGTCTTCTCTCTGGGAGCAATACTCATTGAGATGCTGTGTGGCACCGACAAGTGCCTTGATCCAACATTGTCTAGCAAGACTTCTACTTCTACAGATCTTTAGACGAAGCAGCGGCACTCCCGTCGTTTGAAACTACCTGTCATTCGTAATGCTTAAGACGCGAAACATGAAATCTTAAACCCTGTAAGCCCCATTAGCATCAACAAGCAGCTGATAAAAGGAGTCCAAAAAATTCTAAAACCCTGGAGAGGCAGCCCAAACCCTAACCGCCAAGAGAAGCGTGTCACACATGACACGAGGTGGGGAGTCAGAAATGGCAGCAGTGCGCACTTGTGAGTCTGCGGATGAGGCAGGCGGCGAAGCTGTCGCCGCTTGCTTCTAAGGCTCTTCCGCATGTTCGGCTGGATGGCCCAGACGCCGCTGAATCTGCTCCGCGTGCAAGAGATGGTCAATTTCCTTGCGACACCTGGAGCAGTCATGAGCAGCATGGCGACTGATCTTGGAACGGGCCTCAGCGAACATGTATCACGTCGCAGATGGACCGAGAGCTTGACAAGAACCATCCCTCGAAAAAGTGGCCCGCATGCAGCCCCTTCGAGACGTCAACTTCCCCGAGGCCTCGCAGCATCCGAACCGGCTCCAATGATCACAGGCCGGGGCGGCCACAATGGAGGGCGAGCCTCCTTAGCCTCCTACTGGTATCACAGTAGCTCAAAGTCTCTCAGAGGAGCCTCAGCTGAGCCTTCCTTCGCGGCCCGCAGGATTGATGAACGTGGTCCCCATGAAGCGATGGAGCGCAAAAGTTGCTGCATCCTTCACTTGGTAGCGCCCGTCGATGCCGGAGCCGCTATCCTCGCTCCCATGAATGAGTGCAGAGGATCTGAATAAATAAGTCTCTACTGAAGTGAATTCGGACAGTGAATTCCATTGTGCTCGCCCGGCCTGAAGCCGGACTCGACAGTGTCGGCTTGGATAGTGTGATGCAGCATACGTGTATCGTTTCTCTCGCCGCGCTGGAATACCCATCTGGTCCAGGCTGAGGTGATTAGCTCGTAATATCCAGGCCGTGCAAGAGATGGAAATGTGGGGCATCGGCAAGAATGTAGCAGAAGAAGAAGAGCAAAAAGGGCACCCACGTCTCTCACTCGGCACGGCATTGAACTCTGAGCTGGCCGCTGCACCTTGAAGTGCTTGGCAAGAGGACTGCGGATAATCCCTTGCAGCAGTTCTTGGCTTGCGCGGTGCCAGTAAGTTTTATCTCTTCAGAGGAAGTCCGGCGCTGGACTTCCGCTGAATCGCTCTGGGCAGTGTCGAGGAATTGAGCCACAGCCTCTGTGCAGAGCACACGCTTACAAAGTTCTGCCAGTTTGCACAAGGCTGCAGCGAATTCCCAGCAACACAGAGCCTTCAGTAAATCTCACAGAACGGCCTTCGGCTCCTGGGCAAGCACGTGTACTATCCGAAGCAGATCCAGGTAAACACAGCATCTCGGAGATTAGGGACAGCCCACTGGGGTCCGTGTGGTAGTGCCATCTACAGGCACATGTACATTGGCAAAGAGTCAGGGTAGCAGCGGAAATAATTATGGCGGATGCTGTTTTGGTTTTTGTCTAGTCATGCTGGCACCTGGCCGCGCAACATGTCATTGGGTCCCGTGATTGTTACACATTTTCTTTACCTTTCTCGCAACACCTTTGCTTCCCTGCAAGCCTTCTCTCGCAGGTCAGAGTCTTGCAGCTTGAGTTTTTTTGCAAGGATGCTGACTGGCGGAAAGAGAAAATAGAGCCGCAAGCCTCGTGTAGAGAACTCATGCCGCCTAGACGGTTGCAAATGTCAAGCTGTTCGAATACTGAGGAGGAGCAGCAACAGAAAGCCCGCGAGGGCTTCAAGAAGCTCTCAGCGGCAACAGAGGCAAAGTACAAATTGGAAACGCTTGCTTTTTTGCACAGTTTGCATAACGGGTTAGCGCGCGTGACCAATGTGGAACTGCTTTGAGATGAGAGCAGAGTGGCCTGAAGTGGACAGGACGCCGAGCAAGCGAAGCGCTGGGCGCAGAATGCAGTGCTGGACTTGCAGGACGGGCCGCAGTGTGCTTGAAGAAGTGTTGCGAGGATTTCCATTTATGCCCTTGCATCTTGGCTCCATGTGTTTCCTGTGCAAGGCGCAGTCTCACTTCCTCGAAGCGGACGTGAGCCGCCTCAAGCAGCGTGGCCCTTACTCGTGCCTGCTGAAGCAGCCCGATTATTCTTATAAGTTTGGTGGCCCGTGGCAGTAGTCATGACAGTCTAAAGTCAACCCAAGTCTGGCATGCAGGGCCATGACCTCGGGCAAGACAGACCTCGACGCCGAAGTTGCTCGAATCAAGGAGGAGGCCGGTCGTGGCCGCAGCTCGCAGCCCGTTTTGATCGTTTGAGCCAGGCTCAAAATCACGCCTCCAGCAGAGACGTCATCACCAAGAGCCGCGATGCGGGGGTCTTGAATCCTGGTCCTACGTACAGCGACTGATGAACGAGGGCCACTCATTCCTTGGATTGTCGTTGCATCCCTCAGGTCCTCAAAAAGCATTGCAAGCTCTCTGACGACAAGAGCGCCATCCTAGCAATGTTTTGACCCTTGCAACGGGCCTGAATAGAAGAGCCCGGGCCTGTAGAAAAAGCTCACGCCTGTGGCCAGTCTGGCAACTGTGCCGAAGCTGACTCTGCGCTCAACTTGGCCAATCTCGGGCTGGAGAAGCTGGACAAGGCGGGGGTGTGCCAGCCCAGCCTTCCCGATCGATGTCTTTGGTTTCAGAATCAACGGATCGCGATCAAGATGTGTGTGTTGTTTTTCGAATGTGTGGTATTATACGGTACATATGTGAAAATATGTTCCTCTCAGACTCGTGTGAGCGAGAGAGGCCTGCACTGTGTAGGGCAGGGCCGCTAGGAGCAAGATGCGAAGCAGCTGTGCTGAACACGAAGAAGCTGTTACAAAGCCGCCATCCGCACCACGCAGTTCCTTGCCACGTACATCGTGGACTTTACCAAGCTCTCTGAGGAACAGAAGGCTGGCAGCTTGCATCCATGGCCCTAAGGGATGCAGGGCTGTGGGCCGTGGGCACTTCAAAGGATAAGTAGTTTCTCTCCGAGCTCGGCTTAGCAGCAGTCTGAAGTCTGAAGCTTGGGCTTCGCCTGACAACCCTCGCTTTTTCCCGCAGCGAAAGGCAGATGCCGAGAAGACTCTGAAGCTGCAGCAAGAGAGCCTCTTCCAAGCGAACGCGGACTTGAACAGGAGACGTCCGTGGTGCTGTGTCTTCGCGTAGAATATCTTAGAGTCAGAGTCCTAGAGGTGCGATTGGGGTTCCCAGCTGATGAGGTTTCGAAGCAGAGGGCGATAAGGATGAGGTGTAATCAGTAATCATGTATAAAAATGAGCCCGCCAGTTAGGGTTCCAGATATCGACAGGCGGAAAGACGAGCTGGCAGAGCTTTCTTCGGTGCAAGCCTTGGGAAGTCTGCGTACTGTGCAAGACTTGCCGTGCTTCGCTACTGCCGAGGATGTGGTGACAGCCAAGGAGAACATGAGACTTGCGGGCAAGGCCAGATCCCTTGTCACCACATAGACCGTAGTCGAGACTCGGCCCAGACAGAGTATGGCTGTGCATGAAACTGAGCGGATAGAGAAATGCGGAGAAGTTGTTCTTTCTGTGGGCTACAAGCGAATTCAGCGCAGCTGCAGGCCGACGATGCGCTCTCCACATCTTGCGGCCCGAAGGCCTCATCGATGGAGGCGCAATCGTCGAAGCGTCGGGGATGCAATCATCGTGGCGACAGCCGCCAGCAAATCTAATTTGTGATGGCCATGACTATGATTGTGATGGTGCCTTACGAGTGGTAAGCGACACGATGTCTGCGATGATGATAAATGGTGTGGCTTCAAGAAGGCTTCGGCCCTGCACGCAGAGTATGCAGACTCTCGCAGACTCATGGACTGGAGGACACCATCGCCCGACGGAAGGAGGAGATCGAGCAGCTGAAGAATGCCGCTTGGTTGCAGCTTTTGTATCTGCTGTGGTTTGTGAGGGGGTCGTTTACTGCATGAGCCCCCTTTGCAGGCCGTCAAGGTGCTGGATGGCGAGGCGGGCTTATGGAGCTCAGGAAAGACGATGTGACTCGAGACGCAAGGCTCCACGCATGACGCTAGGGCATGCAGTCGAAGAGGCTCAAATTTCATGCTACATAGACCCCGGTCTGACTTCAGATTTGCGTCACAGCATCTCAGACATCCAATCGGCAGGCTTTTGTTTGAGCTCTCGGTCCGCCAGCTCCTTCGACTCATTCCCGTGACTTTGTTTCATGCAGTGCATCCAAAAGCGGAGACCTGCCCTCAGCGGATTCAGGAGGAAGCCCAGTGCGGTCCCCTTGAATCTTGTTGGTCTGACCCTTCTGCGGTGGTGCATGCGACTGGTTCCAGTTGCAAACATGACATGCGCTGCCCTTTCTTGTCCTGTCAAGTCCGACTCGCCAGAAACAGCATGGCCACACTGTCACTGCACAGTGCAACTTAGCAACAGTGACGATCCTCGAGGAAACGGATGTCGTCATCAACCGGCAAAAGTCCACAGCAAAGAACTCTTCAACATCATTTACTTGCGCGCCCCTGGCCTTTGTGATGGCCATGACTGTGCCCATGTGACACCGGCATGGATTACCCGAAGGCACAAAGCTGCACTCCCGCCCTCCCCATCTTCCAGTGCTGCCAGGAGTAGTGGCTCAAAGGCTTTGTTCGGTGTGCCGATCTCAGAGGGCTGGACGTCAAGTTCTGTCTTCTTTTAGTTATCAGCCTCGCAGGGTTTCTGTGCGGTTCATTGTCAGGCGCTGCAACAGAGAGCTGCCGCCAAGGCATGGGTCCCTTCTGCGAAGAATACGAAAAATCTGCACTGCAACACGCATGTTCAGTCTCTTTCCGTCTCCTGTGTCAGTGCGCTAAGGCAGTGAAGCCTCTGATCACGCGGGAGACTGTGCCGCCCCCAATTGCTGCTACTGGAAGCTTCGCACCGCTGAATGTGGACGGCATGGGTGTCCAAGGCGGGAGCATGCGACATCTTCTACAACCTGAAGAGCGGCTCCAAGTGCGTATGGAGACTAGACTGTGCAATGCACATTGCAAAGCACGCATGTCCGAGGCCACTCTTTTGGGCTTTGAGCTACGGTGCTGAGGCGGAGGCAGTGACGATTCGCTTCTTGTACAGAGGAGCTTCGTGTCTCGAGACTTGCAGGTTCTGAAAGCTCTGCTGGATGCTCATCCCGAAGCTGCAAAGGAGAAACATCCCACCGAGGCAGCTCCCCTTTCCTTTCACTTTCAGCGATCTGAATTTGCAGGGATTTCCGACTCGGAGGGTAACATGCGAAGAACACTAATCTGCACGGAGGGCTGGACTCCACTACACTACGTGGACAAGCTGAGCCTGGAGTCTGTCCGACTGATTCTGGCGAGGGCCCCTGACCACCCTCATTTTGAGGGTATGTAACGGAGAAGCGAGTCAAGACAAACCGGATCAGACGCTATACTGTTACTGCGAACGGAGCAGTTATTTAGCAGAGGCCCCTCCGGATAATTCATCCGCCACGAATGAGATATAATTAACTAACACACAAGAACAGCAGTACCAACAAAATGTGGCTGCTGCAGCGTGAAAAAGACAGTGAAGGGTGTTGCACTGGTACTAGAGTCACAGAGAGATGCTGAGGCGACTTGTCCAGAAGCAGCACACGAACTTGACAGCGAGGGCTCGCTTCCATTGCACTGGGCCGCAGCCCTGGAGATCACTGCATGTGTATATTTCATCATAAGGACTAAGGGCCCTTAGCAGGTATTGGGAGTGGGGGCGGTAGGGGGCCTCAATATCTCTTATGACAGCGGTCGAAGGAAATCCATTCAGGAATTATCGTCCCCTAACTTCCCTCCCCCTTACGCCGCTAAGGGTCTGAATGATCTCGTATCTGCATACAGTAAGCCCCGTAAAGTTGGAAACCGGATTAAGGCCAAATAGTGCTGGGATTCCCTTTACATTACTCTTAAGGATTAGGGCTAGTGGGTTTCCAACTTTTGGCTTCTTCCCTACATGTGTATTCAATTACCATGTGGCTATTGATGTACAGGAAACGAAGAATCGCATGAACTCAAGTACAGTAATGAATCACGTCGATGTGTTTGCCCGTTCGCGTGCAAATGTGTCTATGTCGGGTATGTGGAGCTTATGTGTGTGTGTACCCGTGTCTGTGCGTGTACTTCTGCTGTCACGTCTGTGCACAGGAAGTAGACTTTTCGTGTACCGTCAAGACAGCTAGTTTGCCTCTCGTAAAAAAATTAACAACAGCTGTACACACACTGCTCCCTCCTATCTACGCAGAACAGCCTCCGCCCACACCGTCCTGTCAAGGCCGCAGAGCACAATGCTCCCAAAGAGGTGCTGCAGCTGCTCCTAAAGGCCCGAGGCATGTTTCACAGTGCACGTACTTGTGGAGTGTTATTCTCGAGCACCCACTCCTAATGAAACGAAGCAGCAGCCCCGGCTCTGTTGTGCGTATGTTTGGTCATGTCATTCCGGGCGAGAGGTTGGCAGAGTTGTTTGCAGATGTCACTTAAAGCGGCGAAGAGCCAGCAAGTCTGTGTTTTTGCAGTCCGGGCCAGGCCAACGGCAGCGCCGTAGAGCGCAGAGACGGTTTTGGACGCCTTCCCTCGCGCTTGGCGCAGAATGCAGGAGCTTCCGAGGCCCTCGGTTCTCATGTGGTGAGCGTTTCCAGCTTCGGTTCTTCTGTCCTTGTGACATCACGAATTGTTAGCTTTATTTAGCTTTAAGGCAGCTTGAGCTTACGACCTACGTTCATCTAGGTCCGGGTGTCCTCGAATGGAAGGCCAGCAAGCCGGTTGTAGACAAGTTGAGCGACGGGTCCAGGCCAAGGGTCGAAGCGTCAATTTGAGTCTGCCTCACGCTGCCTTCTCGGCTTTATCAGACAAAGCTGAACTTGACTAAATTTGAGAGCCAAGACACCTGCTGCTAGTTATGTGGTCTTTGGGATTCTTTCGGTGTCGTCTTCCACGCTGAGAGATGCAAGCATTCCGGTCATGGTGAGCCATCTTGGGTAATGCGGACGTATCCTCGTGGCTTTAGAGGGGCTCGATGCGGAAGTCTACTTGCACGCATACTCCTTTTCAAAGGGTACATGAGTTCCACCCGGGTCCATGCCGAGGGGCGATGGCAAAGGCAATGCGGCCGCCGGTGGGGCACTTGCAGCCGTCCGGGAGTGGAGCTTGGGGCCTTATGGCTTCGAGTGGCTGCTTCTTCGGGTGGCGGACTTTGGCAACGAGGCACCGGCAGTGCCCATGGTCGGGGCAGAGTGGAAGGCCGATACCGCACCTCCTCCTTTGCAGCTGCTAATCCCCGAGATGATCTTCTTGGAGAAGACTCCCCAGATCTTGTTCTTCACGGACTGTGCCGGCTTCATCAGGGCAGTGCGGCGGCCCATGAGGAAGGAGCCCTACTTGGTTCACAGCACCATTGAGGAGTTGATGAAATCTCGGCAGCAGATGGATTGGAACTGCTACCGGGAGCTGGAGTCGGCACTTGAGAAGGACAAGCTCGAGCGCACGGAGCGCCAGGGCCTGGGCCTGAGCGTGGGCCTGGAGGTGGCAAGCTCAAGGCGACACAGTGGAAACGAAGATACCAAAAGCCACAAAGAGAAGAGGGCTACGAACACAACTCTGAAAAAGCCCATGGCGCCGTCCTGGAGGTTTTGGTCTGGCACCGATGGAGGCGGCAAAAGCGGCCGTGAGCACCGCTTGCAGAGCAGTGAGGTGAAGGATTGCTTCGACGGCAGTCGCGAGTGGCCCGCCGGAATCAGCTTGCTTCAGGCCGGAGCGTTGGGTCTCTTTACACGCTTGAGGTTCCTACAAAGGCCCGTCGGGCGTTTTCGTGGTAGCTTTGGGCTTCGGCTTATTCCCGAGCCTCAACAGCCACGAGACATCTGCACCAAAACGGCTAGATTCCAAGTGTGACCTCTCTGTAAGTGGTGGTATCCGTGCCCCTGCTTTGCAGGCCAGCTTCTGGACAGGCTCGGCTACGCCTCGGCCCAGTTTCATCACATATCACTACAACGCTCTCCAAACCGAGGCAGCCGGATCTGTCCACGAAAGGTTGCGCGATATCATGAACAACCACTTCGAGCGCTATACATTTCTGGAATCTGTGAGGGATCGGAACAAGATGTCTGCCGTACCCACTCAGCTTGCCCAGCATCTCACATACTACTGCAACTTGGAGCTTGTGTCCGGAGAGTTCGTTTTCTACAAGGACCGCAAGTCCCAGTTGTGGCTCGCTGACGCCCGAAATCTGATGTTCGTGCCGAGCATCAGCCGATCCGGCAACGCAGCCAAGGGAGGAGGAGCACAGGAGGCACTGCCACAGAAGATGTTCCGCTACCTTTCCGAGGAGGCTTTGCAAAACTTGATGGTGGACGAGAGGGAAGGCCCGAAGTGTGAGCGGATGTTCGAGCTGATGATGCATGACTATCAGTCGATGAAGGAGAAGTTCGGCGTTGACAGCATGCTTCGGAAGGTGCAGCAAGAGCTGGACATCAACGTGCCGGTTTTGGAGGGCACCAACGTAGAGGCCCTGGGTCGGACCTTTGACATCAAGGCGAAGCATCTGGGAGCGACCCAGACATCGCAGAAGCGACACTACTGCGTGCCAACGCCCAAGGTCCATTCTGAGAAGGGAAGATGCCGATGGTTCTCTGAAAGCACTGGGAATCACGTGCGAACTGAGGCTGCCAAGGTCCGGCGCCATGGCCACCACATGGGCAAAGTGATTTCCAAAGGTCGGCAACGAGCGCAACAGGCGGAAGACTTCAATGCTTGGGATGCGGAGACCCCTATGCCCTCTCGCTCCGTGGCGCGGTCTTCCGATCAGGGGACGCCCTCTCCATCTCCCTCCCTTCGAAGACAGCACAGCAGGTCCAAGTCCAAGGTTTCCCAAACCGAGCCGAAGCGCGTGCAGCCGAAGATTGAGATTGTGACCACTGCCATTGCACAGGAGCTCCTCATTGGTGCCGGCACCGGGGTCTGCCCAGAGGGCGATACCATGGACATCAAGCGCCCGAGCATCTGCAAACCCGGCCAAGGGCTTCGGATGACGCGGAAAGCGGCGGTGCCAACTGCCCGTGCCGTGTCGGGCTTAGACTCCGACCTTCTTACTTGCGCCGTGTGTCTGATTGCTCTCTTCCTCAATGGTAGAAGTATATGGGACCCAGGTTGTTGTTCCAGAGGGGGCCGCGGCTCAAGCCGTTGCTCGGCAGCAATTGACGGATCTGCAGTCTGCAAATAGTTTGGTACGGAATTGATCAATGGCACGTTAAGCTTCAAAGATCAAAAACGTTAACAGCACGCGTTACGCGGCCCTCTGACTCCCTAAGCTTGCCTGTGCCGCAGGTCTTTCTAGAGAGCGAGGCTGATAAGCTTCGGCAACACTTAGAAGTGCTGCGTCAACAATCGGAAGTCGAGAGCGAGAAGAATCGGCACCACTCGGAAGCCGAGAGCCACACAAAAGAGACGACCCTGAACTTGGCAGCCACTGGCACTCCACGGGACAAGAAACTCGGTTCTCGCGGGTCCATGGCTGCACATACATTCCAAACCGATCCCATCTGTCTCAGCGGCACCGGGAGCAAGGGCGAAGAAGCCCCACCGTTGAAGTCGGCACGGGAGGAGCCCATGATCATGCAAATCAATCACAAGTGCAGCCTGCTGGAGTGTTCTACGGTCAGCTGCTGGCAGCTGAAGGCAGGAAACAAGTCTTCGCGCACCCGCAAGCGGCCAGAGACGCCTGATTCATCAGACTGATATCGACACCGCCAGCGGGCCGACAGAAGGAGGAAGGCTGGTTAACAAGTCAACAAATATGGAGTTCAAGCTCTTTCCTGGATTTGATTTATAGTTTTGTGCCGAAGGCACGTCTATCGAATCGATCGAAAGACTTTGCACCTGCTGCTGTCCTTGTACATAGCATGTTTGAATGCCAGGAAGCAGCCCTTGAGCAACGAATCATAAGTTCCTAAGGATGACAGGCAAAGTCTGAAGGTGCTTGCAAGCTGTCCAAGATGGCCAGCATGCACAGCCCGTGCAGGCCATTGCACTTCAGATAAACTACGCAGCTCGCATTGCAACTTGCGTATTCGTCTCTTCTTTCGTCAACTGCTTCTACAGGACTGTTGGCTGCAATGCTGTCTTCATGGCTGGATGCATCGATCACGGTCGTATAGTCGTATAGTCAGTATGCTTGGCATGGTCTTCGAGATTCGCGTGTCTCGGTCGGATGTCCTCCGGAGGAAGTGCTGCAGCTCTTGCGGGCAGCTGCGCCGGCTGCCTTCGCGTCGGTGGCTCCCAAGGACTCTGCTGTCGGATCGGATGACACTTCAGTTGAGCGCAAGCTCCGCCACCAGCGGCGAAAAGCAGATCGGCCTCAACGGGACTGTGCTGAAGAAGGGACCCCGCAGATTCATAGTGTCCTGAAAGTCGCACGGACTCCACAACCCGGCCCGGCCCTGCCCGGCCCTGCAGGATGTCGAGCCCGTTGGCTTACTATTTCCCGGCCCAGGCTCAGAGCCCGCATCTCAGTTGCAGGGCCCTTGCAAGCCGCAAGCATCACCCTGTTTCACCATCTTTCTCCTTGCTGTTGGCAAAAAGGTATGTTGGTATGCTGCGCGACGTGCAAGACGTGCCGGAGATTCAGGCGATGCTGTCCGAGGCCTTTGAGTGGATGCTTCATTTTGCTGGCCTTTCGATGGAGCCTTCTGCACAGGCGCAAAGACTTCTCGGCTTCGATCTACTCCAGGCGACTAAGAGTGACTAGAGCGGATTCGCAGCTCGAACTGCTGTGAGGCTTGAGCCTTTGAACTGTGGAGGTCTGCTTACAGGGGCCGGAGAGCAGCTTGAAGGACTTGCCGCCACACGAGTTTTCTGAGTCTGAAACGCCTCCAGCGTTTCTGAGCTTGTGACCATCTTCGGTGCTGCGTTGTAAGGTTAGCGGATACATGACACCTGCTGGTGAAATACATGCACGACTACGACCAGGAAGGGTTGGACAATCACAGTTTCTCAAGCAGCCTGAAACCGTACTGGAATAATGTGCTGGCGAATGCATCATAGCAAACTACTCGACACTCGCTTCTCAATACCGCAATGTCTGGTGCCGGCATCGGATTTCTGCAGCCTTCAGTCGGCGGCTTAGACAGATGTCGCGTGGAGCAAGACGATGAAACCTGTGTAGCTGCGATGGAACTTCTGTACCTTGCAGTCAAGGACCTGGTACCAGCCATGGTCTGGCAGGTGGACTACTGGCCGGCAGCCTGCGCAGGCATTTTTTGCGCACCATGGCTAAAATGGGGACTGCTTGTCCGTGGCAGCTGCTAGCTGCTAGCTTTTTGCTGCTAGCTCAGGCTTGGATTCTTTGCATCTTGCCTGAAATCGCCTGTCGCTTTCCTGCTGTTTGCTGCCGTGCCCAACCCCCCGGCACTCCAGTAGAGCAAGGGTAGCCCTCGTCAAATCAGCCTCTAGTTTTTGTAAACAGCGAGGGCACCCCATGGCCTGTCCTGGAGGCGAGCTCGTCTTCTATGTTTGGTATCGGCGAGCACTGAAGGAGGCCTCGCTGGCACAAGCAACTCTTGATTCAACCATGCACTCCTCAGGGCCAAAAAGTGCCCGACGATGAACAGTCTCATGGATGTTTGAAGCTCATACCTGGGTTCAGAAAAGATACGGCCGCATGACCCTCGAAACGTCATGCGTTGTGCGTTTACCTTTAGTTTGCGGTTACAGCAGCTTTCCACTCCACGCAGGCCCAGGCAATAAAGCCACCGCCGCTGGTCTCCGAGAAGGCGGGTCTCCGGTCTGCTGTATGCTGCTTAGTGGACCGAGCTCTTTGCTGGCTGATCCATGTATCTCGATGCAGGATCGAGACTTTGTCGTCGATAGGATGGTTGCCCATGCTGAAGATTACGGCCTCCCGGCTTGAGAATCAAACGCAAAAAGAAGTGCCCTTGGAGCTGAGTTTTCGTTGTGTTCGCTGAGGTATGTGGCGTCAGGTGCAGGGCTGGTTCCTGACAGAGGACCGAGACCGACTCCTGAGCCCGCACGAGGTTGGGCTGCTGGGCAGTCACTGGCCCTGGCCCCACCTCTTCGAGCGGGTTGCACTAGACATAAGTGGGTGGTTGTATCACAGCTACCATACCCCAACTAGCCGGTTGAAGGGCTCCATGAGGTTCATTTTTGCAGGGTCACCACTGCCCCCCATTGTCTGGCAGCCCAACAAACTGAACGTGCCAAGGCGGGATGAGTTGACTGATATGATCGCTTGGGCATTCTTCTACAAGAAGCTTGAAGACTTGGATTCTGACGAGGCTGGATGGTCGAATCTTTGGCTTGGCGTCTGCAATGCGATTGTCGCCGCAGTTCTGGTAGGTCGCCTGGACCGAGTTCACGCGCCTTTGCTGCATTGCTTCCAAAGTCTGGCGAGTCTCTGGACAAGCAGCGGGGGTACTTGAGCAGATAACGGAGCATGACACCTGCTCGCATACATATCTTCTGTGGGATGCCAAGGTACGAAAAGATCAGTTCTGAGCCTTGGCTTCATGTTGGTACCACGTTTCTTGAAGTTGCCTGCAAGCCGCCGTCATGTCCTGCACAACCTGCCGTCTTCGTGGGGAGTCGGCGTCTTGAGTTGTTCAGAAACGCATGCTTTCTGAGGAGTTTCGAATGGATGAGAAGCTGCGACCCGGAAGAACCGGGGCGGTTCCGATCAGGCCTGTCAATGCTGTGCACAGATCGAGCTGCTTTGACGTGTCTCTTCCTGCTCTGTATCAAGATCCAACAGGTAGCAATGTTTGTAGTGCATTGTGTTATCGATCTTCTGTTTCGCGTGATAGTTATCAGAGCTTGTGCTCGTGCGGTCCATCTTCATCGGTTGCACTATACTGATCGCCGCGACCACTATGAATATAGTCGTTGCATGTCGTTGCCGGTGCTAGTACTCGTGTTGCGATTGCAGTTGGTGTCGATAGAGCTTCTCCGAGATCCGGAGCAGGCACACGCTCGACGAGATCCGTTGTATTCACCGACCATTGCTTTTCTACACGGCAGCTCTGCTGCATCGCCTCGACACTATTAAATAGTAGAGTGACTATTTACAAACAGGTAGACTGGTGCCGGGCCTTGGCATTTGCCGTTGAGCTTACGAACCTATGGACCTCTGAAGGGGCGGTGTTCATAGATGGTGTCGGGCATACTTGCTTATCATTGTCTATGCCTCGTTTGTGCCTTGGCTGATCTTGGTCGCAAGGATGTACATGAGAGGACCGGTCTTTGCTCAAAAGAGAACTAGGTACGAGACAGCAATCGAAAATCCTCAGCGAGAATGTCTGTCTTCAGCCTCGCTAGCTGGCAAGCGGTTTTGTGAATTCAACTACAGTGCCAGCAGCAACTGAAGCGGTGGTTCATTCAAGGTCATCCGTGCTCTAGACTTCATGCACGGTTGCCTTTTGCTGCTTGGCCGCAGGGTGATCTGGCCTGTGCATGCTTGAAATTAGACAGTCGGCCCGTGACACCCTGAATGAAGCATAATGAAGCCTGAGGAAGGTGCTCCTCTCGAAACATAGTCAACACTAGTTCACATTCTGATATCTGCACCGCTCGATGCTGGGGACACACGCATGCTCTTCTGTCCCCTCGACGTGCAGTCGAAGCCCTTCAATCCCGACTCTATCCTTTAGGATGTCAGGTGACGAAACCCTCCCGAAAGTGAAACAAAACCCAGAGCCCAATGCTAGGATGGCGCGGGGCTTCAAGCGCGCGCACCACCATGGCCTCAGGCCGGGGAGACTTCCCTTGTTACAGAGAAGGCAGAAGCCATCTGACGCTGACAGAGGTACTGGTACCGCTTGCGGAGCGGCTTCAAAGGAATTCATTGCTTGGAATCCCCAGATTCTCGGATGCAGCCACGTCTAGCACATTTCTGCTTTGACTGGAGGTTGTGACAAACATGCCCTGTGGCCGCAACGGCCACAGACTTTGTTGCGGTAGGACATTTGCCTAGATTGAGTGATGCTGATTCTACATTGACACGTCTTTGCTCCCCTGATTTCATCCCAGGAGCAGCCGCTGATCTTCTTCCACGGTAACGGATCCGCATCAAATCCATGCCGCCACTTCTTGGGCTCTCGCCATGTCGTATCCAAAGAAAGTATCTTCAAACCAAGCCTGAGAAATCCGCAGCGATGCCAGAGATAAAGAGAGCCACAAGGCATTTTGCGAAGTAATCTTCATACAAATCCTGCGACATTGGCATCTTGGGCGCTTCGAAGGATTCGTGGCCTTCGTCTTCCCGCTGCCCTCCACTCTAAACCCCCTAAGGCCTGAACCCCAAACCTAAACACCCTAGGCATCGGTTTGGGCCTGACTCTGTACATGCCGCTGTTGCTGCGCCTGGGCTCTCCTGACCAGTTCCTCTTCGAACTGCCCTGGATGCTGGGCCAAGGTCTTGTAGTATGGTTTCTAAACACATTCTGTAAGTAAACAAGAGCATGCCTGAAGTTTTTTGGAACACGGGATTTACAACCGAGGATTTCCATGAACCCGTTTGCATCAATCCCATCCTCAAGCGACTACGCGCATTGGGTGGTGGAAGTTCTGGAGCAGCACAGCTTGACGTCCTGCGTTGCACTTGGTCACTCCTTCGGGACACTGCCTGTTGCATGGCTGCTCCGGTATAAGCCAGCAATTATCTCACGATGTGTGCTTGTGGATCCGGTCTGCATCTTGCTGAACCTGCCGGATGTATGTGTAAACTTCTTGTACAAGCGGCCAAGATCACTGATGGGCGCACTGCTGCGCGTTTTTGGCGCCAGAGAGTTTGGTATTGCGCGAACCCTCATGAGGCATTTTTTCTGGACCGACAGCGTGATCTTCCCTGAAATGCTGCCTGAGGGTTCATCAGTGATCCTTATGGGCAAAGACAAGATACTGCCTGTGAAGGATATCTACACCACGGCTGCAAAGCTTCCTGAGCTGAAGACCCTCGTTTTAGATGGCCTGGATCATGGACACTTCCTGGTTTGGCCTCGGGCTACTTCGCAAGTCGTGGAGCACGTTAATGGTGGCGTGTCCAAGACACACTAGTGCAGGGTCGTCCTTCTTAGATGTGCTGCTGCGCTCCAACAAAGAGTAGAGACAGATCAATAAAGATACTCGTACCGTCTCTACAGACGGAGTAGAGAGCAACCCGTTCATGCTTCTTGGAGGGACTACCCTGCACGAAAGCCTTACCAAGTCCGAACATCAGGACTTCGGTTCGTTTCGACCGCATTTCTGAGCGAGTATGCACTTTGCACATGCCGTAACTAGGTGACTATCAATCCAGCACGGAGGGAGGGAAGGAGGGAGAGAGAGAGAGCGAGAGACCTGTTACCGGAGCTTAGTGTTTCAAAATCTTGGTCGTCCTCTGGCCAGAACTGTTAGGATCGGCCGTGTCGGAAGGCCTATAGGTAAGTATATGTAGATGTATATACGTGGATATGTGTGTATATATATATATACATATGTATATATGTATATGTACAGGTATACGGTATAATATATATATATATATATATATATATATATGCTCACCCTTGTGCTTCGAAAGGAATGTATCATGGCGGTGGGATACATACAGGTGTGAAAACATCGGCACGGATCAAGCTTCCCCAAAATTTCCAAAAACCTGAGCAACTATCTGCCCTCGTACTCCGGCCCACAGATGCCAGGATGTTAAGGCTTTTGTGGAAAGTTGATCCCTGCCAACGTTCTGGCATTTCAGGCTTGGGAGCGTGTTGGGAATTTAAGCCTGGTTTTCAACACAGGAGGATCCGACTCGCTCACATCCCGCCCTGTTCGTGGGCGGGTTGGCCGGACATCGCAAGCTCTTGGACGGGAAGCCGACAGCGCGGCTCTCAGTGGGACCCGGGCTTTTACGAAGGAATCGATGCTGTTTCTTGCGGATCGACATCCATGAAAGATCAGATCGAGGCGTTGTACTAGTACCCGTTAATTAAATGGTGCAGTCGCTGCACAAGTCCTCAATATTCCTCACGCGACCCCCCATAAGCGTTTTTGAACACGTCCTCCTGAGGCTGGCAACTTCCAGGCAGGTTTCGGGAGAGAAGATGACGGACAGGAAAGCACTGCTTGAAAGCACCAACGCAGCTCTGATGTTGGGCAGGCCACAGCCGGCCTTTCAGTCGGCGGAATCACTGCACTCACAGCCGCAGGCTCATGACCATCATGGACAAACTTCTGCACATCTTGGGTTCTGTCCTTAGTTCTGATGCAGGCGTGTTTTCCTTCAGCGATGGCCTCTCTTTGGTGCTGGAGCGAGCCAAGGCGGGGGGGGGGGGATGTTTGTCCCACGTGAGTGTGAGTGAGATAAGTGAGCAAGGCAGTTCCTGCTGAAATTTACTCTGCAGCTAGAAACTGCGCATCTGTGGCATCTTGCACATTCAGCAGAGGCAGTGCAGGAGGTGGCGAAGGTGCAGGACCAGGCACGGTTTGATCACAGCAACAAGAGAGCTTTGGGTCATCATGCTCTGATACTTGCAACGCATCTGCCACATTGCTACATGTGGTCGCTAACCTTTTCTCCACATGATGCAACAGATGCTCCCGCTGCCAGGCTCGAAGAAAGTGCACTGCCTGCCCTCGCAACACTGCCACTCGCGCCATGGCTCTCGGCAAGATCCTGATGGGCTGCGGCCTGCTGCTGATGCTGTCCTCGCAGCAGAGCTTCGTTCCGGCAGCCTTCGGCAAGCAGCAAGTCCCTCGCTCAGAGCTCAGCGGCAACGCCAGACCGATGGACATGGCGCAAGGGGTTGAGACCAGTGCACCCAGCAGCACCAGCAGCTTTTTGCCGCTGGCTGGTGGGCTTGCTCTCGGCTTGGCGCTGATGCTCCCTCAGAGGGCCATGGCTGCCACCGGCAACGATGATGTCGGCACCCTCGTCGACCGCCTCTTCACCAAGGAGGCTCTGGGCGCATTCGGCATTGCTGGCCTCTCCTGGAACGCCTTCTACCTCCTCTTCGGCCTCTCCGGTGTCGGAATCCTTGGACTTGCCGCGATCCTCACCGTCTTCTTGCCGCCGGCGCGCAATGCAACGGACAAGTGAGAAGTGACTAGCATTCCAATTCTTCGACACAGCTTTTCGCCCAAGCCAGGCGTGCAAGCGTTAGTCAGTAGGTTGTCAGGGAACCGGACATGTTGCGACAAGCAAAATCCCTTTGCGACCAGGCCTTCTGCATGCTGCATGGGGTTTCCATTTGATAGGCCACCTCTCTCAATAGCATGGTTGTGCATTGGGCCAGCCTTCTTCATGAACTACTCTATACCGGATATGAGTCGATGGTCGGCAGTAGTTAGACAAGCTTCAACAAATGCGTGCAACCACCAATTGCACTTGCAGCTCTACCGGAGCCTGGGAACGCATGGGCCGCGCGCCGCACATAGACACTAGGCCACTGAATGATGCAACAGATGCTCCCGCTGCCAGGCTCGAAGAAAGTGTACTGCCTGCCCTCGCAACACTGCCACTCGCGCCATGGCTCTCGGCAAGATCCTGATGGGCTGCGGCCTGCTGCTGATGCTGTCCTCGCAGCAGAGCTTCGTGCCGGCAGCCTTCGGCAAGCAGCAAGTCCCTCGCTCAGAGCTCAGCGGCAACGCCAGACCGATGGACATGGCGCAAGGGGTTGAGACCAGTGCACCCAGCAGCGCCAGCAGCTTTTTGCCGCTGGCTGGTGGGCTTGCTCTCGGCTTGGCGCTGATGCTCCCTCAGAGGGCCATGGCTGCCACCGGCAACGATGATGTCGGCACCCTCGTCGACCGCCTCTTCACCAAGGAGGCTCTGGGCGCATTCGGCATTGCTGGCCTCTCCTGGAACGCCTTCTACCTCCTCTTCGGCCTCTCCGGTGTCGGAATCATTGGACTTGCCGTCATTCTTACCGTCTTCTTGCCGCCACCGCGCACCCTCAAGGACAAGGCGTGAAGATTGCGAGCCGTGACAAGGGATTATCACCATGTGGAACATGTTTCCACGAATGGTTTCAGTGCCGTTGATGCCATACTTCGGTGTGGCACGCGTTCTAAAGTATGTTGGGTTTGAGAGTCGCCTTATAGTCGAGGACTGCACTTTCTCCAGCAACAAGCAAAGTGTGCAAAAAGGAACCCGAGCGCGCACGTGCACAGTACTTCCTCGAGCAGCCTGCTGGTCTTCGCAAAGTCAGCTGCATCTCTGGCACGACTTGCAAGTGCAAGCAGGCAACTGTCTCGGTGACTGGACTCGACGAACCGAAGGCTCGCAGCGAAGTCATTTCAAAAGCGGAAGGTTGCAACTGCAGAGAACGGAGTCCATGGACGTTTGTCTTAGTGCTCCGGTCGTCTTCGTCTTTGTAGAGGTGCTTTTCGTCCTTCATCGTTACCTCAAAAGGTCCAGGACTTGTGCCGCAAAGCCGTGGAAGCTGCCGGCCCAGGGGAGGCGCGCCTCGACGGGAGCCTGCAGGACCCTTGCCTGGGCTCTTAAGCGGGGTTTGCCAGGTCTGTCAAGTGAGCGGCTACTTGCACAAGCGCGGCTTCCTCGTGGGAGGCCAGGGGACTTCCGTCTTGGAAGCGTGGACACCGACGGAAAGCTTTCTACCGCAAGGTACGAAGCTGGCAATGGAGGGCTTCCAGAAACTCGCCAAGTCTGCCAGAGCCATGCAGGTTGCCCTCTGCAAGGCTCCATCTTTAGCAAGCTTTTGGCAAGGGGCGTGTGCGGACTGCTGTCCATTGTGTCAGAGTCTTGCGAGTCTTGAGCTCCCCATGTCTTTCTCTTCATTCACACGGCTTTCTACTGCCCGGGCGCGTGTTGCTGCCATTTCTCCCCAGACATGCCGAACTGAGCCCCGGGTTGCAAAGCAGCGATCTCCAGCCAAGTGAGACCAAGACGGAAGCGCTGCTTGAATTTCAACAGTCGAAGCACGTCTTAGCCTGTTCTGGCTTTCTGGATGCTTTCACGTTTGAGCAGAGATGGTGGCGGACGGTTGTCGGAGCTCGGGTCCAAGACCGATTTTGCGTGCTTCACATCAGGAACTAAGTCATAATGGTTCGGTTGGTCGTGGGGGTTGGTTGTTTACTGGTGGCGCTCGTACGTTTGTGAAGTGAATGAAAGGGAATAAAGTGAAAGACAAGGAACGCGTGCTTTCTTTATTCACTTCATATCTTTTCTCTTTTCTTTCTTCGTTCGTTCATACTGTGTGGTTTTCTTCGTTTCGTTAAATTCACGCGCTCCTTTCTTTCGCTTGTAATTTAACAACACAAAGAAGCACACAATATTCTCCTCATATCTTGTAGAGGAAATCATATGTTGGGAGAATGATGTGTGAAATTAGGTCATATTCTAACATTAATGAATTCTCCTATAATATATCACCTAGAAATACTAAGGAAATAATCATTAACAAATTCTCCTGTAGATATACACCTAATTTCCAACACTAAGATCTACCATTATAATCTAGGTCATTGGGTTTAATACAGGATATTAGTTGTAATCGTGCTGTACTTCTTCAAACCCAACGGAAGACTGATGCATGACACGCAGAGAGAAAGTAAGCATGGTAGCCAACAGGGAATGGCAAGCATCATTGCCTGGTCCGAGTGCTCGGAGAGTAAGGGGGGTGGCATTCCTCCCGCTATGTTAAGTGTAAAGCTGGGTCAAGGCCGGCGAGCCTAAATGACATGCTGCCGGATCCACCGAGGTCCCAGGGCTGACTCTCCTTCTTTTCCCACAAAACATACTCCAGGCCTCGAGAAAGACTTCAAGGAAGGAAGGTCCAAGCAGGAAGGGAGGCGGGAAGAGTCAACCTTAAGGCTGGTCCGCTCGGAGCACCGGGCGGCGGCGCCCCCAGCACTGGATGTCACGAGCATCGAGGACGACGCGAGGCGTGGCCGAGGGCCGAGGTAGCCCCGACGATGTCTCAGTGGTTTTTTATTGGTTATTGGAAGGTTGTTGCGGCTTAATTATGGTGAGAGTGCTTAAGGCTTAAGATTGTCAAGATGTCGTGGATCTTGCGAATGCCCTGACTGTCAGGCTGAATGCAATTGCCGGCATGTCGGCCTCCTTCTCCGAAGGCCTCAGCCAAGAGAGCCTAGCGCAAGTCACCACGAGCGTAAGTCTGCGGACACGGTGGCAGGCCGCTTGACTCCGCACATCGGATCTACGTCAGCAGAAGGACGGGCTGGCACTCCAGTGCCCCATGCCGGCATGCCGCCATGCTCGTGGCCAACCCGTTACAGGATCCCCCGAGCAGGTCCGCTCGGACGACTCTGCTCTGGTGCGGCGGCTCAGAGACCCACAAAAGCCCTGTGTGAGCCGTTCATGCCGTGGCCGAGGCCGACTTGGTGGGTCCGCCTCGGAGCAGCACGCCTGCGAGGCTGGGCTACCAAGGGGCCCTTTGATAACTACTTGTACGAAGTTGAAGATATATAATCGATTGTGACGATGTCCTTTTCTGCCTTTTCGATGTCATGCCGCCACGTTGGGACTATAATCATGCACACGATTCCGGCCCAGTGTTCCAGGCTGCTGGTGACGGAGCATGTGGTGCGGGTCGGTGATGACTTCAAGCTGTCCAGGCTCATAGGACCCCAGCAGGCGCGAAGAAGCATCACGAGGCTTCCCGAGGCAGAAAGCCTTTCACGTGCTGTTGTTACGCGTCTGGAGGCAGACAGCGATGATGCCGCGCTGGTGCAGCAAGCATGTGTTTTTGGAGGGGCTGCACAGATACTGCCGCAGGGATCCAGCATCATGATCGAAGGCTCTGCTCGTAGGAACCGCCCAACCCGAAGTCAGCAATTTCGGCTCAGAAGGGCCATGGAGTGGCTGAGACTTTCAGCCACGGATGGGCAGCACCCAGAAAGGAGGAAGCCCACGCCTCGGCGACGGCTGAGGACGCCTCATGTGCAAGCATGGGGCTGCCAGCAGCCTCGCGGATCCAGCAGCGGTGACCCCGGTGCCGCTGGAGAAATGGAGAGAGTGTCCATGGTCAGCCACGGCCGCTCTTCGATCCTTCTCAAGCCCGGAGCTGGTACAGCATGCGCTTGCTCTCATGAGAGAAGGGCATGTTGAGACAAACGTCTTCCATTGTTCTGCAGCCATGCACAGTTGCAGAGAATGCAGTGCCTGGACGGACGCCATCGGAATTCTGCACTGCATGCCGCAACGAAACATTCCCTACAACGAGATCACACACAATGTTGCCCTTAGCTCGTTTGCTGCTGGCAGCAAGTGGGCCAATGCAGTCTACCACCTGAAATTTATGAGGCAGACTGCCATTAAACCTACTCCAGTAAGCTTTAGCTCAGTGCTTGCCGCAATCTCACGGGAAGGCTTGTGGCAAGAAGCACTCACCATTTTCAATGAGATGCACAAGGACATGCTACGCACAGATGTGGTGTGCTTCAATACAATCATCAGTGCATGTGGACGGGGCGGTCAGTGGTTGATGGCTATTGACCTTCTCGATCAGTTAACGTCGTCAGCGCAGCCCACGGATTCAAGCTACTCTGCCACCATCAGTGCGTGTGAGAAAGCTTTCAAGTGGGAGCATGCAGTGGCCTTGCTTCAGGAGATGGGCAAGACTTTGCCAGGTAGTCGAAAATGCTACAACGCGGCAATCAGTGCCTGTGAGAAGTGCGGTCACTGGCAGGTGGCACTAGCGCTGCTGCAGGAGATGGCTGAGACTCGCACTTTGAGGGATCGTGTAACCTGCAATGCAGCCATCGGTGCTTGTGCCAAGTCCGCAAGCTGGGCCTCTGCTTGGTCCCTCTTACAGAGCATGCCAGTGACTGCCCTCCAGCCCGGCACCATCACCTACAACACGGCGCCTCACCCGAACCCGAGTTCGGAGTATACCACAGATGCCGTAGATGCCTAGTAGATGCTGCGGTGCGGCAGTCCAAGTACTGAAGCCGAGGTTATCACGGTGTGCGAGAACGGGCTGCAGTGGCGCCTGGTTCTGGAAATTGTGGATAGGAGTCCAGGACGCCCGCACGACTCGTGGGCACAAACATGGAGTTTGAAGTTTGTGTAACTGTAACTGTATGTATATGAGGTGTCAGGCAGGAAGGTGAAAGTGTTGGAGTCTCGGCAGGAGTAGCGGTCTCCGACGCTGAGCCCACGGATTTGCACCACACGATATGGCACCCTGCTGAATGATGTAGATTCAATGTAGGTTTGTAGAAAGGGCAATGCTAAGCAGTCAGCTGCATCCTTGGGCCGAACAGTCAGAAGGCCGGTTCTACGTAGTCGGTTGAAGGACTTAGCCTGCACCGTATTTTCGATCGATGCCCAGGCGACTATCCAAGCAGCCACCTTCGCAGGTGCTGTGGGAACAGGTTGGGGGCCAGAACTGCAAAAGGGCAGGGGCGCAAATCATTGTAAGGTGCTGACTTGCAATTTCTCATATCTCTCCCTCACGACGTGCTTCGCGGTTGAAGGTGTCACAGCCAGGACTAAGGGGATGGGCGCGCCTTAGTCGGACGGGACTTCCGTTGTAGTCGCACAGCAGCCCTCCAAGGGAGAGGCAGCAGCCAAGCGAGCCAGCCGCATGGTCGGGAAGTTCAGGCCAAAGAAGTACCTCGCCAAATCTGTGTGATCTTTGTGTATTGTCTTCCCCTTTGGCACGTATGATGACAGCGATGATGCTACTGATGATGGCGTTTACGATGGTGATGACGATGACGATGAGGATCTTGCATCGTGTCAGTTCGCATTTCGGGCCCCGCTTCGATACATCAGCAGCACAGCTGAGGTTGGTCAGTCTTCTGAGGGCGCTTGCTTCCATGCTCGCCGCGTCCCCGGAGGTGTTGTTGTAGCTTTGTGGGATGCAGAGACTCCGTGTACTCGTAGCTCCCAGCTAAGGTCACAGAGGAAGCCCTCTTTCTCCAAGCTGCCGAGACCTTGGCGCAGCAGCGGGGCGCTGGGCTCCTGCAAGCGCAGGCCGGCTGAAGAGTGACGGTAAGAGCGAGACAAAGTACCTCAAAGAAAGGGCTTTAGATTCAAAGGCCTTAAGAAAGCAGAAGCTGAAGCCTGGCACCTGCAAGAAGCGACCACTTGATTCGAGATCCCGCACGAAGGAGCTTGCAAATCTTTGCTGGGCCTATGCCGTCTCTGATGCCCCAGGTGAGGGGAGCTGACATGTCGATGTGGTGGTGACAGCCTCACTCATGCAAGCTGCTTCTTGGGCCAGGTTCGAGTGCGATTTTCCACGCGGTACAGGAAGCCTTTATCGAACGCAGAGCAGCTCGCTGCAGGTAGTTTATTGGGGTGGAGTTGGACAGTGCGGGATCATTTGTATGGTTTGCATTGTCAAATTCCACGACAATATTTGAAGGAAAGTGCTGACCGTGGAGGGGGATATCGCACGTCGCAAAAGCATCTCTGCTGATAGTCTGCTGATGACGTGCGTGGCTCAATCAAGCCCACCAAGCTTCGGGCGTAGCTAAACTTACAGCTCGTCGCATGCCGCATGCCCCTTCCCAGACGTCCCCACAGAAGTAAGAGAGTATTGGGCCTCTCGTTCCAATGGTCTGTACTCGAAGAGTCCCGGTGCTCGGGGCCTTTGCAGTTCTGGCGTCTCCCTTGGCATTCCTGCGGCTCCCCTTTGAGCGCCCCGTGGGCCTTTTGGGCTCCGGCTCCAGGGAGCGACTGAGGATCCCCTCCAGAGCCCTTCGAGGTGACCTCGAAAATTTGCGCAAGCGAGAGTTGATTGAGATGTTGACGAGCCGCAACGTAGACGCTGCAGGCCTCACAAAGCCAGAGCTACTGCAGCGTCTCATGGATCTGGACGGCAAGTCGACTACCGTTAAACCTTCTATGTCCCAGCGGCAAGTCGCAGAAATCGCAATGGACGATTGGCAAAATGCCACGACTGTGGGGTTCGATTGCAAGTCAGGGAGGCATACTGCGGATGGAGTGGAGTTTGACATCATTGGACCAACCGGCGTCGTAGAGCACACGGCTCGATTCTCCGCTTCCTGGCCTCCTACATGCACCTGCCCAGATGCGAGACAGTGGGGCAGCCAATTGCGGTGCAAGCATGTGTGCATGATCTTGGTGAAATGTGGCGTCCCTTACGCAGCAGTTGCTGATGACGACTGGAAGCCAGGCGAAATGGAAATTCAAAGCATCGTCCAGCACATGAAAGGGCAATGGTCACCCATCCCACTGGAGGATGCTTAACACGAATGAAAAAGTGGGGAGATGCCCGGCTCTGGGCTCTCTCCGAATGTCCCATGCCTTCCTGGAGAGGGTGTCCCCGCAGAGCCCAGGCCATGACCTGCGGCTCCCTGCAGCAAGATGATGCAGCACGAGACTTTGCTGAAGGGCTGCCGCTGGGCATAAAGATTTAAGAGCTTCCGGGGAGCGGGGTGATGGTAGGGGGATTGTGTTCTGGATTCGGCAATTGGTCCCGTGCTTCAAGTCGGCTAAACCGGCGTGGACACGTGCAATGGACTAGCTGCACAGAACAGATCGGATGAGGCTGGGATCGATCTGGTCACTCCGCTATGCCAAGAAGTTGTGTCTTGGCACCAAGAATCTTGCGCTTGGCTGCAGCTTTTGATCGTCTGACAGGGTCGCCATGAATTCTAATCTATATTAACCAGACTGCATCGCTGGAGGGCTATCCCAAGTACGACGGTGCTCTGCCACTATCTGCCTTCGTGCAAGGCCGCAGAGCTTCATGCTGTTTGCCCAGACGGCGCTGCAGCTTGTCTTCCCGAAGTTTTGTATGTTGTCGGCACTAGTCGGCCGGTAGCCATAGCTTTTCGATCCAAACGGTGGAGGGTACCTGAGTTAACCCCCAATACGCCTGGGCCTGCAGCCTCGGCGGATTTGCACCAGATGCTGTGTGGTCAGCACAGTGGAACATGCATGCTTCGAAAGGGCTGCTGCGTCCACACGCGCAGGCAGCAGCTTGCAGGACCCTCCTTTGCGGGACCCTCTGCCATGCCCATGAGCAGGCGACGGACAGAGTCAGATGCACGTCAGATTCTCTTTCCTCTTTGCTTAGACAAAACACGAGAGCTTCTCCGCAGGTTTGCCGCCCACTTGGCTACAGGATCCGAAGACGTCCCAATGCAGTTGCAGGAGATGCCCGGGGCGTTCGTGATTCACAAACCGGCAGGCGCGGCTTCTGGCCAGTCCTTTTCGGCAGGCGACTTGGGACTTCTATTCTCGCAGCACACAGGCTGGTGTGTGGACCAGGGCGAAGAAAGCCTGGTTGAAGCGGACGAAGAGAAGATGAGCTACTTGTCCAGCTTTGCAGCTGGGAATGCACCTGGAAAGCCGGCGGAATTCATTGCATGTTGGACGTTCTTGGGACACTGAGGTGGCAACATTGTTGCCGACTCGGCGATGCCCTATCCTCAGTCCGGCACCAAGTATGGCTCATGCACTCCGCAGTTTTTGTTCAGGGAGGCTCCGCGATATCAGGGTGTTTGGAGGGGCTATCACCAATCGATCCTGAAGAACAACTTTCAGATTATTGAATGCCCTCAAGACGGTAACATGGCCAGGTGACAAGCTTTACTGGCGAGGCTTTTTGCATCGACTTGACGTGCCAACCTCAGGCGGGCAAACAGGAAAAGACGCCCTAAACTTTGCACCAATGCGATCCCATCCGACTGGCCGTGATCTGTGTAGAGTGCACAAGCTGCTCCTAGGGCATGCCCCTGGTCGAATGTTTACCTTCAGCGGTTTGCTGAACAGGGCATGTCATCATGCTTCTGATGAGCACACTTTGTGACCGATCATACCACCTTGTGCGCTTGAGTGGCAGGGTACACCTCATCAGACATTCACACGGGGTTCGTCTGCTGATCAAATAACAGGCCTGATACTGGCGGCGACCACCCACGACGTTTTCTACGACCTGCGACTGCAATTGGCCTGCGGCAGCTTTGTGCGAGACGCACAGCTGCAACACTAGAACTTTGTAACCGCCTGAACCCGTTTCAGCAGGGAGAGGCTTGTTGGCAGTCCAGGTTCCGGGCTCGAGGGACGGACAGGAAGCCTCTCCTGCTTCGCTTAGGGTTCGCTAGAAGGCCAGAGCCTACGGGGTAGTGTTGATGCTTTTGACCACGCAGCGAACTATCCAGTCCAGCTGCCGACATGGCTGCAACCATGCACAGCAACAAAAGCCGAAGACACCTGACCTGCAGGACTACCAGGTCCTTTGCCATGGATGGCTTCGTGGCCGCCACCATGTGCGTGCCGCGGTACACTGGGTGAGCGATGGTCGAACGACCAGCAGCAAGATCAGCCGGTCGCCTGCCTGCACAGCGCCAGGATCCGTGGAGGAAATAGTCACCGAGGAGTCTCCCACGATTTAATCCCCTTGTGCCGTTGGCTGCGAGCACACAAACAGTCACGAACACGCTGCCTCTCGGCCGTTGGGGCAACTGTCCAAGGTTTGGTCGTCCGTCCTCTACATGGATGCGGCTGTCGGCATCTTTCCTAGTAACGTCGCAGGTCCTGAGCCTGTTTCTCATGCGCATCGCCACCGGGCGGAAGCATCAAATACGGGTGCACTCTGCTCATGTTGGCCATGCCGTCGTTTGTGACGGCAGATATTCCACGACTGGCACTTACCAAGCTGATCTGAAGTGGTGTCCTCGCAATTTTTTACATCGTTCCCGTCTGTGCTTTACCATCAACCATCGGACTGTCGATATTGAGCAAAGGCTCCCCGCAGATTTGATGGGTGCGCTTCATCTCTGCATCCAGAGACAGCAAGGAGAAAGCAAGCCAGTGCCTTGCAGCGCGTTGCAGCCGTTGTAAGTTTCCTCGAGTTTTCATAAACGCACCGAATGCCCATGGCAGCTTACCGAGCTCAGCCGACCTTACGACAAAGCTGCGGAGGCAAGTCCTGCAAGCATTCAACATGCCTTTCGAACCTGTGAGCATCTGGCCGCCCGCATCGCCCATCTGCCATTTTGGGTCTTACTTGTTGGTTGGCGCCTTCGAAACAACCTCCAGCCACCCCCAAGTGGGAAAGGCATAGCCGGAATCAGGTTGCGGTGGAAGCCATACTCCGGTTTCTTGCTCCGATCCGCGCAAGAAGGCACAGAGGCCTCGGGCGGACACTCGACCCCGGTGCTGTGGAGGTTTTGGGCAAGATTGCCCAAATCAGAGCTGAACGGGAGCAGCGCGATAAGGACTGCTGCGGCGGGAGTATGCGTAGATGTGTTGTTTGTGCTGGCACTGCTGCCAGACAGGACTTTGCGATCCTCCAGGACATCATCGGCCCGACACCACCACCTCCGCCTGAGCCGGGTGCTCGTGGACTTTGAGAGCTTGAGTAGAGGATGATGGCAACGGACGTGATGGACGCTTAATGCAAACTGTGCCCGAGGCCTTCGCGCAAGATGACTTTGGTGCTGCGCAAGGCTATCTGTCGAGTGTCATCATCTTGAGGCATAGAGATGTCAACTCGTTCCTCGACGATTGCGTTTCAGATCCCTGTCATCAGCTTGAAGTACCATCGTACACGAATCGGGTCGCCAGGGTCTCGGCATTGAGTGTTGACGACGACCCGATGTCAGTTAGTTTCTTTTGCAGAGCCAACACCACCGGCTGTTGTAAAGCTTGCACGGGTCTACGGATCAGTCTTGAGGCTGTGCTACTTCGCCAGCATCGGGGATGCACCCAGCGTGAAGTACCTGCTTGAGCAGGTGACCGTGAGTTTCCAAGCAGTAGCTCAGCAGCTGCTTCAAGAATGGGCAATCTCACGCGAGGCCAGGAGAGGCGGTGACGATTTCTTTGTCAACAGTTCTCCGCCCAGATTCCCGATTGTCGATGCCATCTATGTACACGTCGGGGACTGCAAACACACGCAGGGGGTTTCCAGAAGCCAGCGGCCCATTACAAGTTGTGACCGCGAGAGTGCTTGATGATGTGCATGAACACAGGGGCCACAGTGGTGATGCTTGAAATGGAGAAGTACCAGGGGGATTTGACTGCTCTGCATATGCAAATGACGATCTGTGTCCGCATTAAGTAGTTACTAACTAGTTGCTGGTAGGATGTGCCATCTGACACATTTGCCAGTCTGCCATGTGGTATGGTCATCTCGGCAAGCAGCAAACAGCATGGCCAAATTTTGAAGGCAGAGATTGCACGGTTCATGACTGCAGAAATCGGTACTGCAGCATTTTGGAGCCCGAGAGAACCACAGTCGCACACGCACTTGTTTTGCAAGCTTTCGCCAACTGGAAAGCAAGGGGAGCTTGGACAGGTCCTGTTTCAGGCGAGGGTCTGCAGGATGTTGGCCAGCCTGGTTTGATTTCCAGTCTTTCAGCGAGCTGAGCATCAGGTGTGGACGATGAAGTGTGCAGGCGCACTGCACTACATTACTGCGCCATCGAGGGCAACGTGGAGGCCATGTCTGGGGCAGCGGGGCAGAAGCGGTCTGAGGCTCACTGAGCCTTTCTTGCACTGCACGGAGGTGGCCGAGGCCCTGCTCCAAGCCGGGGCAGACGTCTTCTTCCGCGACAGGGAGGAGCCGTACCGCCTGGTCGATACACAGAGCGTCTCACTGCAATCGTAAGCTCCCGAGCCCCAAAGAGAATCCGCCCGTAGCTTTGGCTTTCGTGCATTGCAGAGTCTACCGAGAGGAGCGCACTCCACTGCACCTGGCGGCAGCGATGGGTCAGGCGATTATTTTGTCCTTATGCACCGATGAAGGGGCTGTTTGGTGATTGCTTTGAGCGATGGGGACTCTGATTGTGCAAAGCTCGGTCACGTTGTCTACTCCGTCGGTTCTGAAAAATCTGCAGAGGTGGGCGTTGCCAGGCAGCTGCTCGGAACATGTCTGTCAAGGCCGTTAAAAGCATGCAGGGCTTTTTCTTGCTTGACGTCTGAATCGAGAGCACGAGCAGGTGCCGTCAAAGTAGTTGCAAGCAAGTGAGGCAAGAGTTTGGATTCCGGCCAGGATGCGTGAAGCAATGTTGCAGCGCTTTCGCGCAGAGCGCGGGGGTCCCCAATTACTTGGCGGTTCAGCGCTGGGAGGCTCCACTTGACGTGATCATCGCTGTACCAAGATTATTGCTTGAACTCACCCAGGTCCCAGGCTCTGTCTGGAAACTAAAGTAACTACTAAAGACTAACGAACTATATGACTATATGACTTGGCTCTCATGACTCAGGACTCGAGCCAACAGATCCATGGGAGGACGCTTGGCTTCCGGACTTTTGATGTGCATGATCCCCACCTTCTTGGATGACCTTGCTCATGCGTAGTATCCCTGGACACCTGCAGAGTGTATCTCACTGCATTATCCGTGTGCAACTGGAGCCCCACGACAATCGCAATATCACCGGGAATCCTAAAAGAGGTCAGCGATTAGATCCTGGTGGAATCAACCCTTATGTTGCATTGACCAAACTGGGGTCTTGTGGGCTGCAATGATTCCTCTACACTAGGTCTATCCGATCAGCTGCAAGGCTTATTCAGTCAAGGACAACACAAAGAGGAGAAGCAAACACAGGGAGCGCTAGCGGTCGCGGCCGGGCGTCGCCGACACATCATCAACAACATCATAAGCACCATCATCAGCATTATCATTATTCTGAGCAGCATCAGCCAACATCCTGCGGCCGTCCACGACTCTCTACCCTCTCCATCCGTCCACGTAGGATCCGTCGATGGCCGACCAGCGCGCCGCGAAGCGTGTCATGGTGCCTTCGAGGGTTTGATCAATGTTTGGACTGCTTTGAGCGGTAGATCTGCAAAAGGCTTCAAAGTTTTGAGGCAGCATTGACCTGTTGCAAGATGGGGAGGCTTTAGGGCTTCTCATTGGGGCACCGTTCGTGAAGAAGAAATATCCTTAAGCCACACCAGAGTCGACAACTTCGATGACTCTTGACCAACTCTCCCAAAACCTTTCCTGCAAGCACCAACAATCAAGCCCGTGGCCTCAGCATTGTCTTTGAGGCGGAGTACCTCCAAGTGCTGGAGGAGACGCGGCGGGACCTCTTCTTGTCAGAGGCGGTCTGGCACTGTTCTTTGGAAAGGTTGTTCCTCATTGTTGCAAGTATGTCAGATGCTTCAGGACCGACATCAGTTCACCTGCCTCCACTACGCTGTGCGGGACGCCTACGCTGGCTGCTTTCAGGTACTCAAGCAGCTGCCTCAGATCTCGGTGGCATTTCGCAGCATTTCAGGCAAATTGTGACATGCGGACATACGCTCATCGCAGTGCTCTTGAGCAGGCTTGTACTCGGCAGTTTTTTTGAGTTTCCGCGGACACGGCCTCAGGGACTCGGGACCTCGGCGTGCCTTGACAGCTCTGAAGCATCCATCCGTTCGGGTAGTTAGTTGCCTGCAAGGGGACGGGAGACCGACTCCATCATGACGAACAAGCTCTTCGAGATTCAGCCAGGGTGGGGAGCTGCTGCTTTCTGAGCCGCCTGCAGTGAATTTCTCACTGCAGGCCCGGGCTCTTGAAGCTTCTTTCCGGATTTCTCCTGGAAGAGGAGGCTCCGGAGCTTCTTCCACAACCCCGGTACCTAATCCGAAGCAGGTAACAGGAGACTGACGTAGCGGTCACCCGAGATGGCAGGAGACTGAACCATGCGCTTTAATCTGTTTCATACATCGCGCGATCCTTTTCTTGCTCGTAGCCATCCGGCTCGGAGTCCCGCCTAGCCAGCCTTCCGCTGAGCCGACTCAGGCGTGCCGCATCGTGCCGCCGGGTACTGGTATGTTGAAGTCGTGGAGAGGTCCTTTTGGGTGAGAGGCATTTGTGTGTTACCTCCTGTCCTTGTTCCAGCATGGTGGCCCGGCCTGCTCAATGAATACTAGTTCTTCTTGCTTTAGTGACAAGCTCAGCCAGCGAGGTTTCGGACAGGGTCCTCAAATGCAACCTCTCAAGAAGTACGCGTTGTAGAAGAGCAGCTGCACGGGAAAGAGAGTGTCACAGCCCGTGTTGTGGTCCAGAACCGACTTCAAAGAAGGTGAAAGCGAAATCATGATACAAGTCTGTACCAAAAAAAGCCGCAGAGACACAGAGCCTGCCAGAGCCAGGGCAGGACGAACCCTACGCCCCGGACAGCCCATGAGAGCTGATGTCCAGGAGTTGAGAAGCGATGGGCAAGACGCGCGTGATCTCCAAGGGTTACCGCCACGGTACTCGCGACAAGCAGCCTGCTGAAGAGTGTAGGGGCTTTTCTTGTCGGACTGCTTCAACCCGCGTCGGCCAGGCAAATGTTGTTGCAAGATTAAACAGCTTGGCGTCGAAGTGTACAGTGAAATTTGCAGATGGTTTCCCTATACCACCCAGACACAAGCGGAGGTTTTTCTGACTTAAGATCTAGGGATCTAAGTATGCTTATTGAAGGATGTGCTGGACATTGAAAGCCATGCGGTAGATCTCTGCCGTCCGTCGTTTTGGACTGACCTGGACTCGCATCACTTATTGGTGCTGCTGAGGTATTCCAAGAAGTACCGCACGAAGGGCAGGCGCCTGTTTGCACGAACCCTCGCTCTCGTTCCAGCCCTGCTCGTGGTTCCATGCTCTTCATTCCTGCAGCCACCTGCAGACCTGGCATCGCTCGCTACCTCGTCAACTTCAAGCGCGGAGACTACGTCGACATCGTGGCTGATCCCTCCATCCAGAAAGGTCGAGCATAGTCGTGTGCCTGAAGCTGTGACTCGTGCCCCCCTGAAAGGATTGCCCTACTCTCTCTATCATGGACGTACTGGCATCGTCTTCAACGTGAACCGCAATGCCCTGGGCCGCGGCCTCAAGAGAGCCGATCAGCCCTGTCGGCAGCAACGCTCCCATGCTTCTGCGTCTCTGCGAAGGCGTAGAAATCACCAAGATTGTTGGCAACCGCCAGCTGCGCAAGCGACTCCACGTGCGGGACCCTCAGGTTGAGCACAGATCCTGTGCGGCACCGGCAGGGAAGGGAGGGACCCAGAAGCCCTTTGGCATAGCAGATGTAGCAGATTCTAGCCTAGCAGCCTGAAATAGCTGTGCCATGGAGGCTGCAACGTAAAGGCGATGGACGTTTGTTGATCGATCTTAGGCGCATCGAGCACGTGCGAAAGTCTCGCTGCAACGAGGCTGTGCTTTCCAAGCGCCACTTGCTTTCTAGGATCCGTTTCCGGAGTGCTTGGTCTGGGAGCTGTCTCTAGCTCCTCTCTGTTTGCTGTCATGCGAGCTTGCAAAAAGAGCCAGTACACTTAGACATGCGCGGTACAACACCTCCAGCTTTTCAGGCATTCAAGAAGCGCGTCAAGGAGAATGACCGCAAGAAGCAGCAGGCGCAGCTTCTTCCAGTCCGTCGTTAGCTCCTCGCGATTTCGTCTGAAGGCCAAGCTCGAGGGCAAGTCCGTCGTCGTGAAGCGCCAACCAGAGGGGTGCCGGGCTCTGCAATTCACGGCACGAGCAGTAGCCACCAAGCCCGGAACCCCATAAAACCCACAAAGAGGGTGTTCCGCAGGCCGAAGCCGAAGAAGATGGTCGAGGCCAACCCGGATGAGGTTGAGGCATCTCACGCGTATCCAGCTGAAGCATCGCAGAAGAAGGGGCCCTGCATGCTGTATCGGAACAGGTCTTGGCGCCCCTCCCCTTCGTCGAGAATTACTTCTGAGGGCAGAGACCAATGGCCGGCCTTGATGGAAAAAGCTCAACGTTGCTGAAGGGTGAAGGGCGATGCCCACATTTGGATATGTAGACATGCCTTAGACCTGCTGAGCAGGTTTCGGCCATTGCCCATCAGCACGTCAAGCGGCCGAAGACACAGGGTGACAGGTGTCACTGCCAGTGATTCCGGGCACGTTCAGCGTCCCAGGTCACAAGATCTTTTGTTGCAGATCACGAACCACCGCGATGTCCAAGGCTCTTCTTGAACATGTTAGCGGCTGTTTGGCCGAATTCGGAGTCCTGAGCCTTTTTCTCGGCAGAGGTGTGACACCCCTCCACCATGCTTCGGCCTTGGGGAACTACAGAGCTGTTCAGGCTCCAAGCTGCGAACAATCTTTGGAACTCTACTCTGATGCATTGTTCCGTCTTCGCTTCTGCAGGTGCTTGCTGCAAACGGTGCTGACAGACTCGCAAAGGCAACGCTTCTCGATGTGACTGCAATTGAACTCGTCGCTTTGCCGATTCATGGTCATCTGCGACCGTGGAGGAAAGTGTTTTGGGTTTGGCGATTTGGTCATGCTGATTAGCCTGCTCCTACGGGCCACTGGTCGCAGGCCGTTTTGCCCGACGCAAGCGGCAAAGAGGCATTGCTGGGTGGATAGTCCGTGAAGCGAGAGTCTGAGAGCACTCTCTGCCCTCAGGCCGCAAGTGCCACAAGGCCACCTTCCAGCGCCACGCCCCTCGACCTCGCCAAGGCTGTGGCGCTTCCAGGAGAAAGGCCACTCTTTGCCTTAAGGCGTCCGCGTCAGGACGCTACGACGGCCCAAGCACTCTCGTCGGGGGCAGGTGGGTATCCGAGAAGTAAATATGGCGAAGGCGAAGGCTGCTCAGAGCAGCTCGTGCAAATGTGCATGGACAGGTGACGAGACGGTGGAGAGCCTCCAGTCCGCTGTGGCCCTGGCGTTCGGCTTTCGGAGCTTCGCATTTCATCACATCTCCGAAGGTTGTCTTACATCGAAACTCGAATCTCAGGCCCCGAATGTCAACGAGCCTCGACCCTGGTGGAATGTCAGGGCTTTCTGCAGCACAACCTATCCAGTGGCTTTATCGTCCGAAAGCAGCAGAAATATGAGCGGCGAAGAGAACATAAAGTCATGGGTTTGGAGAGCATTGATTGCTCGCAGCTCAGAATAAACTGAAGTGTCCAAGAGCGGAACAGCACCCTACTAGTACACAGTTTCTGCATGCAGGCAGTTGCTCGGATCATGCCGCGACGATTTGGCTCAAGACATGCCCAGAGCTAGTCGACGCAACGCCCGTGGCGCGTTGCGCTGCGGACCTAGCGCTGAAAGGGAAGAATCCGCAGGACACGGAGTACGCAAGAATAGCCCGCGGCACCCGAGCACCCACTAAGGTCCAGGCACCTTCGGGGGCAGTCCGTTGCGGACATGCCGTACATCACCATGTGTCAAGGCCAGAAACATGGGAAAGCCCACCATGGTGGTAGCAAGACTCCGCTGATGTGGGCGTGAACACAGGCCCAAAATGCACTGCAAACGGTGCAGGGCTGATTATCAGGCAGGGTCATCGCAGTGCATCTATCTGTTAGGCATCCAACATGCAGCACCGTGAATGACGGTCGCCACCCTGAAGGGATATGGAAGACCTGGCTTTCGGCTGTGCGACGGTCGAAGCTTCAGGCCCACAACCCGTGGCACCTTGTAGACTGGAAGTAGCGCTCACGCATGAAGACTGCAGCTCTCGAACTGAGACTCCTAGCTTTGCCTGATACTGAGACTGATCTGCAGGTTGCATGGGTCAATGCTCCAAGGGACCTAACGGAATGTACTCCGCCGCCCGGCTGAGCAACAGCGAAATCAGGGTACCTCCCTGTTGCGCTGCATCGGCCAAGACACGTGCCTGTAGCATTGTCAGGACTGTAAGCCGCTCGTTCCCGACTCTCACGCCATGAAAGATCCGAGGAGAAGTCAGGAGCAAAAGGTAAGATCACCAACAAGCTGAACAAGTACAGCTGCTTTGATGCAAGGCTGTGCAGCCTAGCACTCCTTTACAGCAAAGTGTCTTCGCAGCCGTCCCTTCCGTCGGTTCTTGTTTGTCCTTGCCCAGCCCCCCGCTAGCCAATCTGCAATAAAGCGATCAAGTCTCTGGAGCCGTTGGTCGGGTCTGGCAGGAATCTGTTACACGTACCTGACCAAGGCAAGCTGACTGACATGATCGGCGAGTTCATCCAAGGCACGTCTCCTGAGTCACATGACGAAGCCCCTGAAGATCTCGTGTCAGTTGCAGATGCAGGCTTTGCTTTGGATGACATGCAAGCCCGGGCTGGGACCTGAGGGACATTCGCAGAAGAGCCAACCCGATGTCTCAGAAACTACTGTTTTTCTCCGCAGACTTCTGGCCTAGTTCATGCCTTTTGATTCGTGCCATCAGGTTCATCGAGTGAAGTTTGCGATACGGCGAGAGGAGAACGCCGAAGTCCGGACCAGTGCGATAGAAGAGACTTTGTGTGCTGTCGGCAATCCAGAGTCCTAAGCTGCTCTACCTCACTACGTGTTTGTGAGAGCTTAAACGGTGAACCTCTCCATCCTCTCAGGGGCTCCATCGATGACTCACAGCGTGCTCTACATCCGGAGCTTGTAGCCCAGCTGCTGTGCCTCCGGGCACGGGAGAATCTGAAGGCCGGATCTGGCCCCCCGAAGCATCCCAAAGGGGGGGCTCTCTTTTCGTAAACGCAAAGGGTCCTGGCAGTGTCAACGACAGGTGGTTCGGGGGCATAAGGTTTACAAGTCTGGGACAGGCTTCTCCCACGGCTGTACTTGGCTCGTGTTGTGGCATGTCAACGTCGTGGTTCCGCGACGAGACCAGCGGTGGCCGTGAGCCTGGAAAGGCGGATGCCGTCGGGGCATACAAAGACCTTCGGGAAGCCCTGGCGCCTTAGCTTCACAACAGTATTTGCCGTGACTTCGATACTAGACGCCTGGCCACCAAGACTTTGCATCCGGACTGGCCCTGGGCCTTCGTGACCTTGGCGCAGGTGGCGGTTGGTACTTGTGCTGGAGTTGCAGCATGCGTTTCAGCTCCGTTTCCAGGTCTTGGACAACCTGCACATGCCCCGAGGGGCAGCCTGAGCTGCAATGATGCTGAATAGATCAGGGTTCAGGGCGCTGGGACGTTCGGGGCTCGCCGATTTCCTGCCTGGCCTTTGGATGCCTTTGTGCATCTTCATCTGCCTTCCGCCTGTATCAAAGACATGGAACACCAAGGCCCTCGCTTGCATGCAGAAAGCCATCGAGATTGGCACCGGCGCAACCGGTCAGCAATAGTGTGTTTGCGGTCCACTGCGCGCCCTGCTTGAATTCTTGCCAGCGTGCCAAAGCCCATGGCAGGTAGACAAGAATTCCCTGCAAAGGCCGAAGCTGTCCGTGCATTCAGACTCCAGACCCGAGCGAGTTGCCCTTGGTCTGCCCTTCGCAGGGGCATCGTTCGCTTAGAACGCAAAGCAGCCGATGCCAAGGGACCGGACCCGGTCCCAGCAGGCCCGGAGCTCTGCGCCAAGGGTAAGGGCCGTAATATCGCAAGGGCAAGATGGTTTATGACGAGTCAGCTGAAGGAATCGAGATGGACATAGCAGCGATCAAGGACAAGTCCTTGGGCGGGGGCGGTGCCTCCGACAAGAAGGACAAGAAGGAGAAGTCCGATAAGGAAGCCAAGAGCAAGCCCGCCGGAAAAGCTGCTAGCAAGGCAAGACCGTGAAAGCGGGGGGGAGGGTGCTTTGGAGTTGTTTCATTTATGGTATTGGGGAGCGTGAGCCAGGCGAAGACCGGCAAGGGGAAGGCGAAGGTTGTCAAGGAGACCAACAAGGCACTCGCAGAGTTTCAGAGCGTCCTGCCCCCCCCACGGCCATAATCCGAGAGGTCGCAGAGGAGACTGCAGCGGAGGCACCCAAGGAGGAAGCCAAGCCGGAGCCTCCTCTGGAGGAGGTCAAGGAGGAGCCCAAAGAGGTGAAGGAACCCAAGGAGGAAAAGAAGGAGGTGGCGGTGAAGGAGCCGAAGGAGGCCAAGGAACCAAAAGAGGAAAAGAAAGACAAAGACAAGGAGAAGAAGCACAAGAAATCTTCTGCAACTCGGCCATGCCCACATCACTCGGGGCAGGAATTAAACCGCTGCATGACGCGGTGCAGCAGAGCTGACATGGCGCCGAGGGCCACAAGAAAAAGAAAGTGAAGAAGGACAAGGGAGAAGAGTACCAGGACAACTGCAAAGACTCACCTGCGCCCATGGTCAGTCATGATCAAACATGCCACCGGATTTGGGTATCCCCTCAAGATGCCGGTATACCCCGCCAGACTCCCCCAGAATCAAGGACTGGCAGCTCCGTGAGAGGGAGGAGCTCAATCATGTGCCAAGGCTGCAATGTGTGAGTGTTTCATCTGCCCACTCGGGGCAGAAGCAGGGTTGTCATCCATGAGGATCCATGCAGGGATTGAGAAAAAGACACAGTAATGACGAGTTGCATGCCGGTGCTGTGCGTTTTGCAGTCAAGGATTGCTTGAGGCGGGCGGGCTGCAAGTGAAAAGCCTGCGGCACAGTGAGAAGTTGAGCTCTGAAAGCGATCTATAAGCGTCCATGAGATCCAACTGCCATCAGCCCTCGTCCCTCGGGCAGGATGCGCTTTGCTTGCAAGGGCAAGGCCCCCTCGAAGTTCGAGTCCACGATTTGGCACATCGACCTAGCGGCCAATGTCGGCACTTTGGCACCAATATATATATATATATATATATATATATGATGTGAAAGGCTGGTGGCCTTGGACGTGAGCTGCTTGAGGATCCGTAAATTGAGTAGGGCACACAAGCAAATACAAGCAGCATCAGACTTGCAATTGTCAGAGGTCGATTGGCCGGAGCGTGTAGGATCGAGTAGCTTCCAAGTGGCACCACTTGGCCGATGACCAAAAAGAGACCTCCAAAATCACCGAAGCTGCTGGCAGCTTCAGACTTTCCAGACGTCAATACTTTGCTTTGCCTTTCGTGACATGTAGAATTTGTAAATACTGCATAGAGATTAAGAGCCTGGAGAGGCCTTTCGACAGAGGAAGATGCTCGTAGGCTTGCTCCTGAGGTGACGATGGCGAGGAGATTCAGCGATCCTACACCCCGCTCAGTTCAGCGGAGGATTACAAGAAGGCCTGCAATGCCTCCAAGGGTTCTGATGTGCTAAAGCTGCTAAAGCTTGACTAGAGATGACACACCGTCTTCTGCTTCTTTGCACCGTTTCAGTGCGAGCTATGCTCAGGGGATCCTGGAGCTCATCATCAAGGCCTTTGTTTGGCGTGTGCCGCTTCAAAGCCCGGACCATCCGCTTGGGAATCGCACCAGGTCTACCCGAAAGGGAGGATGTCCTCGCACCTTGGGAGAATGAAGAACGGCGACTCAATCCTGGTGCCAGGGCCTCAACAAATCTGGCTCGATAGATTTAGACGAGGCAGAAGGCCCGGACTGCCACACAACTATCCTTCCATGTCTTCTGACAATGATTCGTAGAATTCTGGCTCGCACGAGCTTCGTCAGCCGGCCTCGATTTTCAGGCTCCCCTTGAGCCTGAAACAAAGGTCGCGTCCGGTCCCCACCGTGGATCCCGAGGACTACAAGGAGGCTCGTACTATGGGGGTTCTAGAACTCGCCCGTCTTTAAAGGGAAAGAGGTCAGACGCCAGCAGGCAGAGACTAGAACAGGTTCAACTTCTAGGTAGATAATGACTCACACCTGACGCTCACTTGCTGCAGACCGACTTGACTGCTCGAAGAATATGAGGGGCGCTAGATCAGAAGGCCAATAACTGCGAGAGTCCGCAGGTTTCGCACAGTTCGCCTTTCGGGGACTTTTCAAATCCCTTGCACCCTTGTTGCGTCGGTGTCTAGAAGACATTTTCTTCACCATGGGATCGGAGACGGGAGATGTGGAAGCGGACTTCCGATACAGGTGTGAGTTTTGTGGTGAGCTGGAAGCAGCAGACACGCTGCACCGCTGCACAACCCCAGAGGTGGAAGAGCCTACCCTTTGCTACGCCTGTGGCGAGCCCGCTGACTTTTCCAGCAGCCAAGCCAGGAAGGGGAGCCGCGCCCGATGTGAGACGTGCATCCACCGGGGGCGGAGTGCGCGTTTTGAGCCTTTCAAAGAGCTGGCGCAGTTTGGGGATCCTGCTACGGGCAGGCTGGTGAAGGCAGTCGAAGAAATCAACGAAGCCCTGGTCCTGACGCTGCTAGAACAAGACGAAGCCGGCTTGGTCGACCAAGCCCGCCAACTGAGGATCCGTGTCCCGGGCTCTCGTTTGCTTTGGCGCGCTGCTTATGCTTCCGATGGTCGCCCCGTCCATGAAGAGGCTCTCGGGCAGCCTACGACCCCCCTCAAAATGGCCGTCTTTCGTCTGTCTGATTGCTGTTTGGACGAAGTTGCCCGCCAGACACTTGTCAGGATTGCGCATGCTTTGGTCGAGCACGGTGCCTCGAGGGATCCCGCCAAGGAATATTTTGAGAGTCGTTACGGGCCAGCCGAGTCAGAGTCAAGCGAAGACGTCAATGCCTTCACCCAGCTCTATGCGCTTCTCAGCACGTAGAGCAGCTGGGTTCTCATTGTACAGTGTACAGGTCGGTACCGCACAGCTCGGAGCTGTTGTGGGTGATTCAGATTCTTGTCTTCTGGCAGTCGCACTAGCCCGAATAGAGAGCAGCGGTATCCACCAGAGACCTGACTCTCGATCTGTGTCAGGGCGGCATCATGGTTGCTGGTGGAAGTGCCGTGGTGGTCGCCTTGCAGGCAGTTCGGCTTGCTTTTGCGTTGGCTCTGAATGCCGGCATCTGCCGGGGTTCCGGCTGCAATGGAAGTCATAGCAGCATCCTGGGAGCAGGTCGTTAATGCGATCCTTCCCAGCTGCACGGATTCCTTCCATCTCTATCTGCACCTTGGACAGCAGGGAGGAGCCAACAGAAGTCTTTCGGACATCCGGTAGAATCGGTGCAGCAAGCTCACTCCTGCACGTCAGCTGTGAGTATCACAAGATGTTGTAGCTTGGAGGGACTTGTGACCTGATGCAAGTGTGGTCAGTGTAGTCATCGTGGGAACCGCTTTGCAGGTGCAATAGGACCTATGCAGATGTCCTTCTCATGGATTACTTCGAGGCGCTGCTGGAGGCGGAATTCGTTTTGCAGATGATGCAACTGAGATCAAATCATTGGCAGACGGCCTCCTCTCGCACCATGATCATGATGCCCATTCCACATCTCCGTCGAATGTTCTCTGCCGTGTTTGTGTGGATTCCGGGCAGCATGCAGGCTTATCCGAACTTCAAAATGACGAACTGCTTGTCCCAGGCCCGCCTGACATTTTTCACATTCATTGATTCGTGGGTGGCATGAAAAGTCCAGGCCTAGCGGTAAGGCACTTTACTATTGTTTCAATCGCTTTAACGTCTGCCGTATAGTACTCAATCAAGCTCCATCAAGGAGTGTCCTGATAAAGTTACCTGAGAACATCTTCACCTCGCCGTCAAGTCGAATTCTCAGAAGGTATCTGGCGGCCGGTTGACATAGAGGATCGGGGTTTGTCGTAACCATGCTCCTCCCCTTTTCTCCGGGCCGTGAGATGTGTGGCTACAGATCCCACAGCGCAGTAAATTTAGTAAACAAGGTGAGGCAGCAGAGCAATGAGTCAGGAAGAGATGCTAGAACGGAGAGCTACAGCCTGAAGCCCTGCTGCGACAGGGCAAAGCTGGCGATTCGGCGCGCGGCCAAGGCCTTGTCGGATGGTTTGAAGGCCCGGATCTCTGAGACAACCCGAAGAGGAGCTTCCAGCCTGGGTTATCTTTCGGGCATGTCTCCACAAGCGACACGAGCAGTCTGTTGGGCACTACAGGTAGCAGAAGCGCACTGAGAGTCATAGCACAAGAGATCCGCTTGCAGAATCTGTCACAGTTACGATCTGCAATACCGGCAGTGCTCTCTCGTGGGCCAACGCCAGTGCCTAGCCGAATTGACGCTTCTCCGTGGACCCATCTCGAGGCAGAGTGAGTGGTGACTTGCTCAAGCAGGCCCCTGAGAGCCTCAAGGCTGGGTCTTGCTTGGCACGCTGCGCGAGATGTCAGCTTCCATATTTGGAGCAGCTTCGTTCGATCTGTGTCAGAGGTCCTGATGAGTGGTCCGGACACTTTGTGCAAGATGGTAGCCGAGACCTTCATAGAGCTCGGCCGGCAGGACGCCCGTTCTGAAGATAAGCACAGAGGGCTCCAAATCTTGCAGACGTGACATGACAGAAGATATGATGGCAGGAAGACGACATATGTTGTGGAATCCCCAGTGCTAGTGGCCAGTGCGTGCCGATTTCGAGTCCAGAGGCCTTGGAAGCAACATTCACCATAGCTCAGGTCTGGATACAGATATAGAGGACCTGCTGAATCCGGAGGCCGACAGCATGTTGGCCGAGTGTTGTGGAAAGGGAAGACAAAGGAAGCGAACTGAGACTTACTGTATTGTTTGCTTTCTCGAGGCCAAGCACGAGGGCTTCACTCTTCAGACCGCGCGGTCTGCAAGAACGTTGGACCCACCTCCGCCCGAGCCGCTCGAGCCCGTCGAGGAAGTTCCCCGGGCCAGGATCAAGGCAGGACCGGACTGCCTGGGATTTTTCTAGTTGGGAATTGATGGGCCGTTGGTGGAGTTCTGCGGAGGCGGCAAAGTCGCAAGTGATTTCGATCGACTTGCTCTCGTCCACAGCGCCGCCTCGACCGCCTCCTCAACCAGGTGATGAGGGCAATGAGCTGTAGAAGAGACTGCAGATGGCACGACTGTGGCACTGTAGAGGTGACCTCTACGAGCTATTGCTGGGTCTTGTGGGTCACACATTTGGGGTTCGTCAACCATGACACTAATATGCCAGCATTGTGATGTTTCAATGCAAGCGAGACGCAGCGAGACCGAGATATTGAACGTGTCAGGATTTTTCTCCTACTTCTTTACCTTGCAGAGTTGTGGCTGCAAGCCGGAGGCAGGAACCTGATCATGCGACTTGAGATGACAGTTTGCATGTTTGACTGTCACTCCGAGGTTGGCGGCGATGAGACAGCGGCTGCGCCCCGGCATGCGATGTTTTGCTGCGCATCCTTGCTTCAGTAGCGGATCGGAAGATAGTGCAAACAGCGATTTGTTCTCACGTCAGTGGATGTGTCTCAGGACCAAGTGAAGCAGACAACCTGACCACTGCCGTGCTTCTGCAGTACTTTGCGATCAGAGGCGTGACCGTGTAGCCAAAGGCATTAGTAGGCAGGCATGAACGAATCTTGAATTTGACTTGTCATGGGAATCCATCCGCCAGTATCCACTTTCAGGCCGGCACAGGCTGAGGCTGAGTCGGCAGGTTGCCAGTGCACTGTAGCCTGGTTTTTCGTACGGCCTTCACTGAAACACCTGTGAAGCTGCCCGAGTTTTCTCAGTTGCGCAGATTGGCGCCTCTGAAAAATTTTCTCCAAGAGGCTTAACTCTGGCTAAAAAGCCCCCCTGCTTCATGGCTTTCCGAAGTTTCAGGGGGGCTCAGGCTAACGAAGCTGCAGAGATCCTGAAAACGCAATACATCTCGCAAACCAGACAGTACGAAGCACACAGGAAACTCTACCTGCATATGCTGTTCGTGCGCGGGTGTTCGTGCAAGCTCACATGACTTTTTCAATTCGAGCAGATTTGAACAGTTTCACATGTGACATGAGCTGTTGAAAACTGAACAGGATAATTCAGGTCAGCGAGACCAACCCTGTACTTACAGGTGCAGACTCCACTCGAGCAGTGCGCCAGGTTTCCATTTACTGTATTGTACAGCCCTCCAGCATTCAACCTGAGCGCACCTCGGCAAGTCTTGCATGATTAAGCCCCTCCGGATTTACGGTTGGTCCGACATCCAAGATGTCAAGATCCAACAGGGCACAGTACATAGCACAGATACCCGGCTCTTTCGACGCTCTCCCACGTACGAGGGTGAAATGCATGCTTTTGATCAGCTACAGAGGTCCCTAGGCCCCGTACGGACGTCCGATGAAGGATCCCAGAAGCTGACTGTGCCGAGGCGACGTGGCCTGCTCTCTCGAAGTGCGCTCCACGTGTTGCTCATAGGCCGGGAATTGCAGATGCCTGCGGAAGACATGGCCATGTCCCACAGCATGGCATTCTCGACCATGTGACAGAGGTTTAAAAGTTCTGCAAGACGACAGGTGCCCTTGCGAAAGCACCGGACGGCTCGAAGAGTTCTCAGGTCGCAAACATGTTGAAGGAGATGCATTGAAGCTGAGCTGCGTTGCATTCTCTCTCGCTGCTGCTCCCACTCGTAAGTATTTGCTGATCTGACGACTAAGACTTTAGATTTAGATCGTTTTCCACAGCTGGCACGCCCTACATGCAGGAGCACCCGGAGTGTGCCTGCAGCTCAGCATCTCCGAGACATGTCCAGAAAAATGCTTGACGGTGTCAGATTGTCGCCACCTGGCGCCCACCAGGGTTAGTGTTTGACAACAAGCTAAGCATTGACGTGAGCTCCAGATGCATGGCATCTCGGCAATTCCCGGCATGTCCGTGCATCGGTGCATCCTTAAACCCTTAGATCAAAATATTGAGGACCCCTGCGTTGCTGATGCCAATGGTTGGACGCCGCTGCATCATGCTGCGGCGCATGGCTGCCATGCGGAACTCAAGCTCCTCATCGCCCAGGAACGGCCTCGGAGAAAGCTGCATGTATACGGAGCTTCTTGAGAGTGGAGAGTGTTCGGGCCGTCCTGCAAAAGCCGAACTGCTCACTGTAAGCGTCTGAACATCAGAGGATATCAGAGGTGAACACGCAGGGTAACTTGGCACTGGTCGAATTACCACAGCTGACGACGGGCACCTAGATGTAGGACATCCGTGGTCTGTGTAACGTAGAGCCGAGTCTAGAGCAGCGCGAGGCAGCGAGAGGGGTCAGATTGAAACACAGCTTTTGAGTGGTGTGCAGGCGAAGAGGCTCCATCCAACGATTTGGCAGGCTGACAAATCTAGCAAGGAGAAGGCCTGATGGAAGTCATGTTACACCACCGTCCTTGCTGATTGCAAGATGGTGCAAGCAACAGTGGCAGTCTCTAAACAGCCTGCCATGGCATGTAGCCCAGTTTCGGCCGGTTGGTGACCGTGTGAAAGTATTGACTTCGACTTTGTTTACTGTCTCGACCTGATTCATTTAAGGCGCTTTCCTCTCAAGCCGCGAGAAATCACACTTCGGAACATCGGCATTCACTAATTCTAATGCTACGCAGCCCGCCTCGGCCGCCGGCTGCAGTAGGGCCAGCAGGGGCGCAGAGCAGGGGCCAAACTGCGAAGGGCCTCTCAAGGCAGGTGTAATTTAGTTGCAGGGTCAGGGCTAGTTGGAGAAGTGTGGCAAGTGTAGAGCAAAGCACGCGAGAGGCAGTGGAGCCGGCCCGGGGGGGGCAGGCCGAAAAAGCCAAAGCACGCGAACGAAACATAAGAAGAAAAGGCAGTGGAGCCGGCCCGGGGGGCGGCAGGCCGGAAGGGAAAAAGAAAACGAGCAGGATAAAACAAAAAACGAGGGGAAGCCGGAGGAGGAAGGGGGGGCCGGAGGAGGAAGGGGGGGGGAGGAAGGGGGGAGGGGGGGGGCAGTACAAGACCGGGGGGGGGGCGGGGGAGGGAGGAGGGGCTGAGCGGGGGCGGGGGCGAGGGGCAACAAAACAGCAAAACGACGGAGCTTCAAGGAGGAAGCAGGAGAGCCAAAGCACGCAAACGAAACATAAGAAGAAAAGGCATAGAGCCGGCTCGGTGGGGGGCAGGCCGAAAGAGGAGAAAAGGTCGAAAAAACACGCGAGGGCAGGACAACACGGAAGGGTGGACTGGCCGGCCGGAGGAGGAAGGGGGGGCCAGCAAGAGGGGGAGGGGGGGAAGGAAGGAAAACAAGCCAAAAGAAGTGCAGACAAGACGGAAGGGTGGGAAAAGGGGCCAGGGGGGCGGGGAGGGAGGAGGGCTGGGGGGGGGGCGAGGGGCAACAAAACAGCAAAACGAGAGCTTCAAAGAAAGAAGCACGCAAACGAAACATAAGAAGAAAAGACAGTGGAGCCGGGGGCAGGCCGAAAGAGAAGAAAAGGTGAAAGAAAACGAGCAGGCAATCGAAAAAACATGCGAGGGCAGGACAAGAGGGGGGGAAGGGGGGGGGGGCAGGGGGTTGGGGGGAGAAAGGGGGGCAGGAAGGAGCGGCCCGGAGAGGGGGGGGGGAGGAGGAGGGGAGGCAAATTCGGCAGCAAAAAAGGATGGAAGCCGGGCAAGGGGGTCGAAAACAGTCGCTAAAAGCGGGTGGAAGTTTGCATTTGGGGTGCAGGGAGAAGGATTAGGTAGAGGGTTGGTTAGTATTAACCATCAAGACGCCAGAGGCCTTTGGCCTCGGCGGATTTTTTGAAGTGGGATACAGTGGGTTCAACATCGATTCCATTTCGAGTTTCCCATATCCCCACAGCCCTGCCGCAGGTTATTCAGTTGGCATTCTTCAAACCACACCGAGCTGGCAAAAGGAAAAATGCCACAACAATCCCGAATAGCGCCGTCTCTTCACCCCTGTGGTCGCACTTTGGTGATGCATGGTTGTCGGAATTCCCGCTTAACACAATTGAATCAAGTCCCAATCCTTCAAAACTTGTTCAAGGAACCTAATGCGCCCAGACTGCAAAGAGGGCATGAAGCATGTCCCTCTGCCAGCGGGTAGGAAAACTTGGTGCGAAACCGAATGCCTGGAACAAAGACGAAGGAGGCGGGGCCTGTTGCGCAGGATGTTCTAGAACTGCAGTGAGAAGGCTCTGCAGTCAGACCAGAACCTCCACCTTCGAACTGGACCTTGTTGGTCTTGGGAGGCAAGGACTACTTCTACTTCCAGATCCACCAAGACCAAGCTTGGAGGGCTCGGGCCTCACAAGAGAATACAAGAGAAGCCCGGGCGTCGACCAGAGAAGAACGCACAGTTCCAGTAGAGCGTCGTACAAGGCTTTCATGCTGCGAGGCCGCATCATCCCAGATCCCGTGTGTGCGGAGCCTCCACAGAGAAGCCTGCCGAGGCCTGTTTCGCCCGAAGTCCTTCCCGTGCAAGCTTTCTACATGCCACAACAGGGTGCCACTTAGTTGAATTGGCAGGTTGCCAGCTACCCGTCGCACTGTTGGATGGACAGCTCCGTGCAGGCATTGGCGCGTCTTCGTCAATTTGAGAAACTGTTGCCATGGGAAGCATTTTCGGGAAAGCCAGAGGTGGGCAGTCCGCTGTCGGCTCTCATGGGCCGGACGCCGACACACCTCGCTGCCCAGGGCGCTGGCAGAGAGGCGCGAGGACGTCCCTGCTGCTGTCACATGTCACAACCACGATCCTGAGCACAGCTTCCATCTTGCGGCACCGACACCACTACTTCAAGACTACCCCTCATTGCATCAAAATCGCTTCGTTTCTGGTACAAAGTAATGTGCATCTTCAAAACCAATGATAACCCAAAACACCTGCAACTGAACAGGCATAATCTCCAGTGCCAGCTCCTCCCTCACTCCCTCCCTCCGTCGTTCTCCAAGTGCTCCTCCTGCCCTTCGCTGGTGCAGCAATGCAACGACATGACATGACATTACCTTGTCCTGTCCATCAATTTCTACGAAATCTCGCAAGAAATCTCCAAGCACCACCATTTAGGCATCGGCGCTGCTTGCAGACACTGGGCACATCCAGTGCTTGAACGTTTTGTTGGAGGCCGGCTTCGAAGCAGTCCAGGTGAAGACGTGTCTACCTGGTTGCCTGCAGACTGGCTTCTTGGAGATCGCTGAACTGGATGACCGCGGAATGCTTGAACCCGAGACCTGTTGCCGCCCCCGAGCATTCAGAATGTGCCCATCGGAATTTGCAAGCCGAAACCGGGCTCCACAGAAGCTGAGGTCCCCTCTTCTGGCTGCTTGCGCTGCAGGCTCGGCCGCAGGAGCCAGGTCAGGGCCCTGGAAGAAACGGCGAGAGATTTGGTTTTGCAGGGATCCTTTCACTCGAAAAGCCCATCTGAGGTGGTTGCTACTCCACGGGGCGGCACCCTGGCCCTGACTGGTCTAGGGGCTCTTGGCAGGTTGATTTCTCGGGTGGGCCGTTTCGAAGCCCGCCTGTTAGCTAAATGGGCATCCTGAATCGCATGTCAGTGTCGAGAATTGAGTTTCCGTGTCTCTGCGAGCAGGGCAGTACAGTAGCTGGCAACGCCTTGTAGTGTATCGTATCTGTACTACACTTTGCAGGCACACGCGTGTGCATGTGTGTGTGTGTGTGTGTGTGTTGCTTGTGAGCTCTGCCTCTTGGAGCATGGAAGGGATAGCTCGAAAGCGCAGAGAACACGTGCCGGCCCAGGATTGCTATGCGGAGGAGCCGGCTCAACCTCGAGGGCCCATCGCAGGCAACAACGTGCGGCGGCCTGTGTGCAGGACAAGATGCGGCGGAACGCGCTTCATGTGGCCTGCAGCTCCAACCTGGACGAAGGCGCTTCTGCGCACCCTGTTTGCCACGGCTTTGCTGGTCCCTGGCTGCAGGGCGTCGCGAGCTGGTCCGATTCCTTTGCCGCTGGGATGCTGACTTCTCGAGGACCGCCCGGCTTGCATTTGGAGGCGCCTGCTCCGGTGACGATGCGGTTATGATTTTGCACAGAGGCTGAAGTCTTCGCGAGACTGCCGCGGGCGGCTACCTCAGGACCTGTACCTCTACCGACAAGGCTGCGAAGCTTATGGTCCTCTTGCTGGTGGTAAAGCGCATCTTTGCGGAGGCGCACGAAGGGCTATCTATGGATTGGCCGAGGATTTTGCAACCCTCTGGGAGGCCCTTACAGTAGAGTCCCCAGTTGCCTTTGGACAAGCATCATGCTCCCGACACAGGCAGCACGCCTCGGCGATCAAAGTATGCTTCATACCTGCCTGCAGGCCAGGGACCTGCAGTGGGCACCAAGGGCTTTTGGAGAGTTGTCGGTCTTGCGGCGGCAGCTGATACAGCGCATCACAGAATCGTTCCCATGCTTTCGGATAGCGCGATTGAAACCGAGACATCTGAGCACTGCTGGGGATTCTGACCTAACAGGCGTCTGCAAGAGTCGACGCTGTCAGCGCACGGCTGAGTCGTGCTGTGACGGCGAGCCGCCGTGTGCGATCTTGCGGTGGATGCATATGCAATGGGATGTTATGAGTAAAGCAAGTGGGCTTTTGCGTTGCTACGCTTGGGTGGTCAACGCGGGACCAGGATCGCGGAGTGGAAGCCATTCTTCGTTCGAATGTCCACCGCAGGCTTTGTGAACTGGCTTCGTGCATATCCACAATCCTGTTACGGACATGTGTTTCCTGCTATCGAGCTTTCTGAGCCTGACCTTCTCTGCTCGGTGGGGTTTTCCACCTGAACCCGGTAACCAAGCACCGCCAAAGCCGAAACATTGGCGTCAGCGAGGTCACGGCGGCTTCACGGCCGCAATGCATGCAGCCAGCAACGGGCACATGGATGTTTTGAGGAACATCTTGGACATGTGGCTTGCATCACTGCGTGACTTTGTGTGAAATGCTCCCTATCTCCCCGAGCAAAGCCAACTCCGCTTCTTGCAGGACGCTTCTGTCACTGCGCTGCTCTTGTGGTGCGGCCGTGCCTGAGCTAGGACGCTTCTGGTGCACTGCGGCACGCACCCATCCATGGGGCCCATGATGCGGGCTCTCGAATATCCATCGCTCTTGGTTCATTCCGGAGGAATGCCGGAGCGACCCGGCACGAAGTGGTGTGGCACGGACCCCGTTCAAGTGTCACTGAGTTTCCCTTTTCTGACTGTTTTCAGAACTCACATTGGCACGTAGCTCTTCCACCCCAGAAATTTCACCCAGCTTTGTTCGGCAAGTTTAAGTTGAGGCCGGACACCCCTCCATTTTGCTGCGGAGGCTCTGCAGCTTTTGGTGAGTTCTGTTTGATACGAAATGTTGAGCCCGCTTGAAACTTGAGCAGGCAGGCCGTGCTGACATTTGCAGCCTGCTGGTTCGGGCCGGTGGTGCGCAGCTAGAGGCCTACTCAGGCATGGCAGTCGTCTTGATCGAGTCTGGCATGTCTCGCTCTGGAAGGCTCGATCCAAAGTTGGTTACCGCCTCAGCCTCCGTCAGTGACAAGGGCAGGGGTACTACATCACCGCGCGTGTGAACTAGGTCTTACTCCTCTCCTTTCCGCTGCTGCAGCGGGCCAGCTGGCAAGTCTCAAGATCCTCGTGGACTTCAAAGCCGATCTGGAGGTGCCCCAAAATGATCGTCGGAAGCGCCAAAGCGGACTCACCAGCAGAGCTTCTGCTTGGTCTACATTGGGAGGTGGTGCAGGAAGGAGACGCCGCTCAAAGAAACGTGTTCCACCTTCTGGCAGCCGGGCGCTTTCTACCAAAAGAGGACCATCAATCGTCGCTTCGTTCCATCGTCGCCTGTGGACCAGGTCAAGAGAACGGAGCAGCACTTTGTGTGCCTTCGTCCCTTCCTCAGCCTTGATTTCCAAAACAGGCATAGGCTGCGCAAGTCGCTGCAGAATGTCGTGAATGTCTCAGGGTGGCTTCTCGAGATCCTGCTCGCCGAGGACGAACTTAGTCTAGCTGGGTCGTGCAAGAATGGTCAAAAGTTGAAAGTCTTGTTTGTGGAATTCGCACATGGGAGCCGGTCCCTTGAGGATCCCAAAAGGCTGCTGCAGATGCTGGAAATGGAGGTCAGCTGGGAGTAAAGAGCCTTCAGCCACGTAGAATGCTTGAACCATCCTGATTCTGGAAGGATTCAGATTTGAGACGGCCAGTTGACTTGGCGCAGCAGCATGCTCCTGAGCTTTGGATTTTGTTGCCGGCGTGCATGGTCTTGCCCACCAGCCCTAAGAGTTTGGGCGAGTACTTTTGGCTCAGGCGAGGGCGCTCTCACCAGGCACAACGTTCTTTAACTTTGACAGCTAGTCGCAGGTGTCTGGGGGGACAGGCGGATCTCCTGAACGTGGAAACTCATCCCAGACAGCACGAGCCTGGAGAGGCCTTGCTGAGAACTCTCCGGAAAACCCGAGAGATGAATGATGCAGTCCCCGACAAAGGCGCCTGTGGGAATCTTGAACAGGGAAGGGAGAGCTCCGGTTCACTAGCACTGAATGGTCCTCTAGCAGCTAGCAGTTCAACGTTGACATGCGTTGACTAGGCTTCAAGCCTGAAGGCTGGTTTATGCTCCCAGGTGGTTGAGGCGCATATGTATACAAGCTGCATGCACATTCGCACACAGCCCTAACTGCGTGCACGTGGGCCTTTCCAGCAAGGAGCAGTCTAGATTACTCAAGCATGCGGTGCATGGCGAGGTGAAGAGGGTAAATCTTCCGCCAGACGCAAGATTGGCATTGTTTGGTGATCACGTTCTGCCTCATTAGCTGCTGTAGCTGCTACCAATGGCATGAACTCCGCATGCCCAGCCTCCCAAGGATCGCATGCACGACTCCAATGCACAAAGGAATTTATCACATGTCTGCCGGTGGCAGTGCAAAGCCCTTCGTCCCATGCATGGTCTCCAACATGTAATGTAATGCCGGCATCGACCATGGACATTACAATCGGGCCAGATCGTCGCGAAGATCTCCAACCTTGCTTCCCGAACCATTGGTAGTTTTGTAGCCGCACTGTTCCCGAGCAGTGAGCTCGTAGTATTGTGGCCTCCCGTGTACACGTCCCAATGCCAAATGCCTGACAGGTTCGGGGCCGTCTACACCTTCAAAGTAAAGGTGGTGCAGGCCACTCATTGGTTCCACAGTCAACAGCAGTGTGTCCCGACTTGGGTCTTGGGTTCTCCACTGCCCCACTGAGGCATGAAACTCCCGTTGCACGAGTTGCAGCCAAGATGTAGATACTGTGTTTTTTGGCAGGAAGCCGCTGGCCCTATCACAGGTACTGCTGGACGCCGTATCCGATTTGAGCAAGCATAGTTGGACAGGTTCCAGTATTTCCAGTTGTGGCCACAAACAGCCCAGTCCAGAAGCAAATTCCGAGCCTCGAGTAGCGGCCGTGAGAGGGTCGGCTTCCTGTGGACGATCTTCGCGAGGTCTCCATGCCTCAGGTAAAAGCTTGAGCCACAGCATCTTCATAGTTGTGCCATATTGTGATCATGACACGGGTCAGGCATCGCTTAAAAGCGAGTCTCGTCGCAGCATCAGATTCCACAGGCTGTGCAGATCTTCCGAAGATCCCAAGTCCCAGCTTGAACCAGCTAATGCAGTCCAAAGGTGTGACGGAAGTCCGAAGCTTTCCAAGCTGGGGATCATGGTTCAAGACCAGAGAATAGACGACTCTTGCAATACAGTTGCATGGCAGCTTGCCAGAACCATGTCCAGCCGGCAATAGAAAGCCGCCAACAAGCGACGTGCGACTGCTTGTAAAAAGTCTTCGAAGAACACATCGACTGAGGAGCAAGTCCAGCCTTGCTGCATCTCCATACTTGTCAGACCAAACCGCATGTCATCTCCATACATCTCCATACCTCGACTGTGCGATGCCAGGGCCAAACTGCTGTTCACACGGTGCTGATGAAGCCGGCGTGCGAGCGCTTCAAGGTGGACTGGCCTATCGGACTACATCAGACTATATCGGACTGTTTGGCTTGCTCAGCTTCGCCGGACATGTTCTGGCCCGTTGCAGGCAAAACTTCGGGACTTCCTGCCCCGCATGTCGGCCTCCAAGTGCTGCTCTTCGCTCACTTCGAGGAGCTGACGAGCCTGAAAGCAGGATCCAGTGCTTCCGTTTTCCTTTGGGTGGGTTGCTTTCCACGTTGTATTGCCGAAGGGGTGTGGAGAGACCACGAGAATGCCCGGAGTGGTGACTTTGAATGAAGCTTCGGATTCGGGCTGCAGTGAAGCAATGCAATACCCGGAGGCAAGCCGGTGGGATAACGAAGCAGCTAAGGCACGAAAGAAGGGAAAGGCGATTCGATAATATAAAGAGACATCAGCATCAAGAGAATCCCGCAGAACGAATTTCGTGTGGGCGGGCTTACGCCTTGCTTTCCAGAGGCGAGTTCATGTGTCAAGAGCTGTTCGTCGTGAAATGTGTTTAAGCTGCAAAGCCACCTCAGTCATAACATAATTCGGGTAGAGGGATAGAGTAATTAATGCATTCCCCCTCCAGCTGCGCTCTGACACCGACACCCAAGGTCCAGACCCAGATGCACCGTCTTCATGAGCAGCAGGCCAGAAGCCACAAACTGGCCACACGAAACTGTTCCGTGGATCTCTGTTCGGTCAGACAGGCCCGTTGATTGGAATACCGACCCAGAGATCGTGCTGGAACTTCTGAGTGCGGGTCTTGACGACGTGCATGTGAGCTGCACGTGGTACCACCATTGATGGACCGTTTGTTCGCAACATGTATGCTGTGAAAGCAATACATCTGGGTCAGGCTGTAGGCGTCCCCGTGCGCTGCACCGTGAGAGTTCCACCAAAATGACCCCAGGCGACGAGCTGGCTTTGCCAGTGAAGTGGAAGGCCCTGGCACTGCGCAGTGACAAGATCTCTGAAGTAGCCGCAGCATGGGCCACCAGACCTTTTGATGGAGACTTCCTCAAGATGAGTCGAATCACCCTACTTGTAGCGCTACGACAAGAGTCCCAAGGCCTGTTTAGTGTCCCAAGGAAGCTCAGCCAGGAGTCTGTGGAGGCTATGAGCAGAGTCGGCCTCGAAGATCTCTTCGAATGTGGGCCCTCCAAGGAGCTGAAGGCACCCCGGTGCTGAGAGTGCCAAGAAAACTGTCAGCCTGTCAGCTCTCTTCCGATGCACAAAGTAGGTGCTGTATGAAGGCCAGCTTCTGACCTTTGGCCCGAAAAGCCTTATGCTTTCTCCGCTAGTATTGGGATGAGTATTCTCCGCAGCTGGGGATCCTGCTGTGCCCAGATTGTGAGGTCTGGGCATGGAACCTGATGCCGCAGTTGTGTCTCGCGCCATTGCGCCACGAGGGCCCAAGCTCCTGCTTGCTACTCAAGTCTCGCACTCCGATCCGATACTAGTTGCAGCAAGGCATCGGAAAGGCTGACAGGTTTCATCAGTTTACACCTCTGGTGGGAAGCGGCTGTTCGATCACGGTTTTGGCTTTCAGAGTCGCAATTCAAGAGGCCATCCTGAAGCGAATCGATCCCGACGTCTGGTCGCGAACATGCAACGTGGAGGCACGGAAGAGATTATAGCGCGACTGACTGCAAAATCTGGCAGAACGAAACAGAAGCTTGTGTAGACGAGTCATTGGAATCACACGAGCAGAAAACTGCAAAGACGATGTTGCGTAGCGAAGTAGTGTTTCTTGCACGGCTATCTTTGTCGAGCAACATGCCCCAATATGCGGCAGAAACGAGGCCACTGCTGCCGAGAGTTGAAGCAGGATCATTGAGCTAGGGCGAGGTGGGTTAGGATCGACCATACGACGATATTATGTTTCTGTGGCAGTAAGTCTTTACAGGTTGGATTTCGCTCTCATTCTGAAGTGTGCAGGTGTGATGACTTCAATCGTATGATTGGCAAGTTTCACATGATCGAATCACTTCCCCATGGGCTTGTTTGCCGTGGGGCTATTCTTTCCCGGCAAAGCATTCGGCGCATATACGAGCGAAAAGCAAAAGAGTTCAGACCTCTTCGAGACCATGTCGCAGTTCAGGAGTGCTTTAGCCATCTGTGGCCTCCCCAGTGCCGGCAGAATGATGAGCCCCCTAACGAGATGGATATATTCTCATTTGAACACCTTGACATGATGGCCTTCCTCAGTGATTCAAGCAGCAGCCCCTGTCATCTGCCCAAAATGTCGCTCCTCGATCTGGCGGAGCTTCGAAGCCGCAATGAGTCAGGAGTCAGAAGCTGCCAGCGTTGCCTGTCCAGTAAGTTTTGCACATGCCAAGCATCCGAGGTCTATGGCCTTATCTGTGCTTGAGGAGGAATCTGAGGAGGAGCAGGTGCAAGACGAGCAGGCCTGGTCGTGTCATTCCTCGTGCATGGTCTCCCAAATTTATGTTGCGAGCGTTCAGGTGCCAGTTTATTCGTGGGACCCATGGAGTTCCAGGCGTGATCGCTATGTCGATGGGCGCTGGAAACGCATAGCGCATCATGGCACCACCCGTCCTTGGCAGGCTGGCCGGTCTTGCTGAGAACGGCAGGTTTGGAACCTGGTTCAGCGAAAGCACCTTGGAACTCGTTGACTGACAAGCTTCGAGTCATGAGCCCATCTAAACGATGGGCATGCCTGTAACAAAGACCAACGAAAGATGCTTTTGAAGAAGGAAGCTGGCACGGGGCTGGGCACTGCTTGGGCAGGTTTGAGATCTGGTTCAATCTTTCGTTATGTTTGTTGATGACAGTTCAGCGTGGCAGCTTGCAAAACATGCCTGAGTCAGGAAGGAGTTTCGTTTGGTTTTGTCTCCCAAAGTGGAGGACGGACCCCATTTGAATCACTCAAAAGGCACTGAGTCTGGTGAAGCAAAGAAGTTCCAAGATGATGTCGTCTGGTGAAAAGGCACCGCCGCAAGGCGTGCTCTGAGTCACAATACTTTCATATAGTGAGCAGTTTGCTACGCAGACGACTCCACTGGCGCCAAACAGATGCGCGTCTGATGCATAGGATGCTGTTTGCCGTGTGGTGGCAAACATGAATCGCGGCTCGTGCAAAGTGAAACAAGTTTCACCCGGTCGAACGTTTCCTCATGCGCTTGTTTACCATGGGGCTATCCTTTCACTCATGCCCGGCAAAGCATCCGGTGTGCCAACAAGCAAAATTGCTGAGACTGCCTGCACGAGCATAGTTTGATGTCAACTACCTGGACGCGGTGTGTCCGTGATCAGCTGAGCTCCGAAAGTTCGATCAAGCAGATGCTGTCATCAAACACGATGGAAAAACATCCTTTCAATACAGATGAGTCATCAGACACCCCATACGAAACAACACAACGCAACATCATGCCCTTGCCTCGATGATGCTTGCTCCAGCGGAAACTGAGCCTGCAAGTGGCTTTGAAGACACGCTGAGAGCAGTGGCTTTTTGTTGTGTTAAACTTGTGGAGATTGAAAGTGTCATGTACAGTAGGTAGGTGGGCTTCAGATGTCTGATTAATTGGGGAAAAATCTTTTGCGAAGGCTTAACTTTAGCACGAGTCATGTGTCTATAAGTTGACAGGTGTTTTGAACCATTTCTGTAACCGCGAGCAAAACGCGCGGAAGGAGCCACAGTTGGAAGCAAGGCTCATCTCGGACATTCTTCCTTGTCGCTGGCATTTGATATTGGACTCCTTGGTCGCACAGCCGCTTTTCTCGATGCGACCGGCTTGTGCAATTTGGAGGCATGTGCGCGGTTTGTGCAAGATGCCTTCCATGCAACCTCCTCCAATCCGGAGGCGGCACCGTTCTTTCGAAGTGGTTTTTCGGAGTGTGGTTCAGTGGAAACGGAACTGACAGTTGGCAGTTTCTGCTTTCGCAGTTGCAAAATTCGTGGTATGTAGCTGTGGGAGCATGTTCCCATCGGCATGGGGAAATGGTTTGGTTGCGAAACAGATAGAAAGGTCAGCAACGTTGAAGTCTGATTTGAGGTTGGTGAAACGAGAGGGTGATAACATGGAGCATAAGCAAAAAGAGCAACAGCCTGAAGCCAAGCATCCAGAGATCCAGAGGAAGCACCTTGGCGGCGAGCTGCCGTCCAGCGTGGCCTTTGCGTGATGGAGAGCAGCAGCCTGCTGCTTTCAGCCGAGATCCACCGACGCCTGAAGCGCTTCTATGGGAAGCTGAGTTTGGTTACTTCGCCTGCAAACTGGTTATGGCCTATTCATGGTCTGGACGGTGCATCGAGGCTCGAGAGGATCACTGACGGTTTTTTGCAATCTTGCCGCGGCCTTCGAGTTCATCTGTTGGAATTCGCGTTTGAGCCAGCGGAAGTCCAGAAGGTGTTGAGTACTGCGAACGCGTGGAGCCCACCGCCACTGCCGGCCAAATCAAACCAGTATCAAGGCACCTTCCAGTCTTTCCTGGGGGTGCGCGCGCTTCACCTGGAAGTTTCCGTTCAGCCGCTGATGACCCGGCAGGGTGGTGTCGAGTGTGCCCTGTTCCTCGAGCTACGGCTGGGCCAAAGTTTGCCCGAGAGCGCCTGGGCTCACGTCCTGGTTTGGTCCGGCACAGAGGCCTTCCCCGGCGATGCGCGGGGCGGCGAAGAGCCCGACGAGCCCATGTCGGCCATGCAAGTCCGTTTACCGAAAGGCCAGCCACTTGCGGGCGCAACCTACAGCCTAGGCGCTAGGTAGACGCGAGATGCAGTCCTGCAACTCCAGGTTGCGTGTGCTCCAGCCTGCAAAGAGTCGCCCGTGGCTCCGTGTTGCAGCAGGTCACGGGCCCAGAGATGTGGTTTGACATGCGCCGCTAGAGTCGATCGCGGTGTGCTTGCTGAGGCCTTGACGTCTCACGGCACCGTTCGCACTTTGCTTGCGTTTGAACCCTGCAGAACTGCAGACGCGCAATGAGAGGAACGGAAAGAAGCGTGCGCGTTTGGTCAGAGGCAGGAGCATCCGCAACAGAACGGTCAGAGCCTGGTTGCATTTGGAAATCAGCTGCTTTCGGATGTCGCATTTGCGGATGGTTCAGCATCGTGTTGAGCCGAGCGACAACCCACATAATTCAAATGTTGTTTCAAGAGCCGTGTCGACAAGTGTCACGAGTCTAGCTGGAAAAGCCCTTGGATGTGTCGGGGCCAGCTGTGGTCTTTACGACCCAGAGAAGCTCATGGTTGGATCCCGTGCTCTGGCGAGACCATGGCAAGCTGGGCCAATCTGCCGCCTGGCACAGAGGCCATGGGTCCATGGGTTGCACAACAAAGGGCATCGACGGGTACTGGGCTGAAGGATTGGTTATGCAGTACAGGCTCGGGTCTTCCGTCTTGTTGGATGCGAAGGCTCGTAGGAGAGACCTGCCCTTGTGTGCGACAGCGCCTCGGATGACAAGGTCCTGCTCCTCGGTCGGTTCCCACAGCTGGAGGCGGGGCTGTGGTTACTGCAAGCAACACACCATTTGGGTGCCAGCAGTGCCTGGCAGAACTCCCAGTTCTTCAACACGGCCTCCAGCTTCGAGGTCGAGGCAGGCGATAATCTCAAGTGGCCCCAACCCCAAGCTGTTATTGTCGACGCTGTTGAGCCCTCTACCAGTATCTGCGGAAATACAGCACCACAGCACCCCTGCAGGGTATCGAAGGCCCAGAACCTCGCATCATCGTGGATGGCACCTTCTGCTTCCATGGGCGGCACCAAAGGCACAATCGAGTCATTGCATCTGTTTACGCCAATAACCAAACATGCATGACTGTGCACGTCGTGCCAGCCCAGCGATGTAACATGGCGGCATGAGATGCCAGGTGCAGCAGCCCTTGGGTACCGAGAAATCACTGGCTCAAGCACCATCCGTGCATCCAGTCCGTGTGAGGTCGCTCATGGAAGGCTTGCGCAGCCTCTTACAACAGTCAGGGTACTCGCCTGCAGATGTGAAGACCCATCTTGACAACCTGCATGGCCACGGCATTCAATGCGTTAGAGACCTTCGGGAGCAGCTGCAGGAGGGCACGGGGCTTGATGAACTTGGCTTTCCTGCCACTTCTTGTCGAAAGAAGCTGTCCCAGCTGACGAAGAAAGAGCACTTCGTTGAGCATTCCTGGAGTGATATTGAGATTTCACACAGCTTGTCGCAGGTGGCATATCAATCTAAGCACGATCAAGTCTTCTATGACGTTAAAAGCAAGTTTCAACCTCTGCTGCTGGACTTGCTAGAGTGCAGAGCAACAAAGCACGGGTATGCAATTGCCGCTGTGCAGTTGCAACAGATGCCTGGAGCACAGCCACATCGGGTTCTATATGTCGCATTTGCTGGAACACGCAATTGCGACGACTGGAAAACTATTTTGAGTGCCGTGCACAGACCCGATGCCGATGTCGGAGGCCTTGTCCATGCAGGTTTCTCCCGGCGAGCAGGGCAAGTCAGGTTTCACGGCCTGAAGCGGATTGCGACTGCATACGAGTGCCAGGCAGTGGTGTTCGCAGGCCATTCCTTAGGCGGAGCAGTGGCCCATCTTGCAGCCCTGCAGGCTCTGAATCTGTGTCTGTTTGACCAGACCACGAAGGTGTTGTCTATAGGTATTGGTTCCCCCATGTGCATTGCACCGGGTCTTGTTCGGGATATGAGAATGGAGCAGTGGACCAGCAAGTTCTTGACAATCGCGAATGACGAAGATCCGGTGCCAGCACTGCTGAACATAGCAGACACACTACAGCAGCTAGGACGAGATGCGCAAGCACTCGGCAATGGTATTTGCGCTTCTCTTTTCGACTTACTCGTCGCTCTACCAGTGGGTGATGGCATCCCGCAGCTTGCCGGTGCGGTAGGAAGTGTGGTTGGTGCCATGAGCTCATTGGTAAGTTTTTCAGGGGCTGAGGCCGTTTTGCAAAAGTTGCAGTTGGCATACATGCCTTTGGGCATGTATTTCATCCTGAAGAATCTCGAGGACAAGCGATCCGTGGAGGTGCATGAAGGTCAAGACTGCAAAGATGTCCTTGGCGGGGCAAGGCTTCTCAACTCGACGTCTGTCTTGAACCATGAAGGTTTTATTCAGCACAGTCTTGCAAAGTACGGGCATGCAGTGAATTCTCCAGAGCTCAAAAATAAATGTCCAGTCTCCGGCCGGTTGACTGGCCTGGGCGAAGTTCCCGTTTCTTCGCTTGAATTCAGCATCGAGACTGCTCAGATCGAAGTGCATAATGGAGAAATTACTCTACATTTAGTGGGTGATGGTTTGGACTTTGTGGCACCCTCCGCCGTCAAGATGGCCGACATTCCGGACATAATCTGGACAGTGGTGCACTGCAGCAAAGCTTCTCTTGTGCTTCGTGCTGCCTTTACAGGCCAGCAACCACCAGCGCAGGCTGAGGTCACAGTTTGCCCAGATGTTTGGAGTGAAACGACCCGAGTTGTGGCACAGAGATTGGCAACCTCTTTGCCCGAAGCTTCTGCAAGTCAATATGAATTCAGCGAGAATTTCTTCAAGGCTATGATGAAGAGCGCTTGGACTCAGAAAGTGGTGCTACACAAATCAGACCACGATAACACGGTGCTGCAAGCATTAAAGCGTGTGGACAAATTGGCTGGGCCAGATGAGATTTACGATGTCGTGAATGAAGATGTGCCACCACGCACCAGAACGTTCGAGCATTGCATTGCGCAGGCGAGCATTCCGAACATATAGCCCAGCGATTGATTCATTGTACGATGCAGAACTGGCCCAGATGATCGCAGAAGCATACTTAGCAATCAAGTAATTCTAACGCTATGCCGCCCGCCTCGGCCTGACAGTGTTCTGCGCTGATGCCGGAGGAGAGGAAGCGGAGGGAGCAGGACAAGGAAACAAAGGGGAGGGAAGCACAGGGCGGTGGCAGAAAGCAGGGTCGGGGGACGGAAACACGGGTGGGCGGCGAAGGTGATGGGGGAAAGGGAGGGGGGCGCGGGGAAGGCGGGGGAGGCCGTAGGCCAGGGCGGGGTTCAAAAACAGACACCAAAAACGGTTGTCACTGGACTTTTGATTGGGTAGAGGGTACTTAGTTGAACCCTCAAGACGCCAAGGGCCTGTGGCCTCGGCGGATCAAGTCATAACTCTGCCTTATTACCTGAAAGTACGTGCACGCTGGCAGGTGACAAATGAACGAAAGCTTCACGAGGTTGGAGAAGGACAGGACAGCGAAGCTCACGTTGAGCATGTTTTGCAGTGGTTGTGTCCGGAACAGGGGCATGTGCTGCTGACGGGGCAGCAGATAGCTGGCAAGGTCGCCATTGCAGCAGCAGCGACACTTGTTTGCATCGCAATTGTTGCCTCGGGCGGTCTTGGGATTGTCGGTGCGGCTTTTGGCGCTTCGGGCTCTCTCACTGGCGGTTGGGGCACTGCCGCTGTCATTGGAACAGCTTCTGCTGCTGGCATAAAACTGCTGCGCAGTAAGGTGAGTGGGCGCTACCAAGAGCTTCTCCGAGAGATGCATACCTGGACAGGCGCAAGAACCGCCTTGCAGGGCAATGATGAGTATGAGATGGAAAAAGCCCTGATCACGAATGTAAACCACCGAAAGCGTCGAGATCAAGCATCGTTTCCAGGGCCCTGGCATGGCCATGCCACTAGCCATTCACGGGAGCTGCTCGAACGGCTCTACGGAGCAGTGGCGGAGATTCACAGCATGAAGCAGGCAGGACGAGACCTCAAAGTGGTTGCCATTTTGGGTCCCCAAAAGAGTGGCAAATCCTTGCTTGCCTCACAACTGATGATGGATACTGAAATCGCGGTTGAATCGGACGTAAGCAAAAACACGCGGGAATGCCCGCCCCATGCATTTACGAGTAGAGTTGCACTCATTGACGCACCTGGTCTGACGAGCACAGAGGCATGCCTGCAGTCAGCATACTACAATGGTGCTCACTCTTTGTCTTCTGTCTTCCTCTACATCCGCCCGTTCACAAACACGGCAGAAAGTTTTGATGCTGAAACCATCTACAAGGTTCTCATGACCTCGAACCTGAAGTCACCTTCGCTGCTCATCTGTCTGAACAAGGCCAAGACTTTGCAGAGAGATGGCAAAGCAGGAGCGTACTACGACACACAGACTCTCCGAGCTCTTCGGACTGACTTCCTTTGTCGGGTTAAGCAAGATGCCAGACAGAAGGCAACAAGTGGCTCTGGATTCGCCGCATTCTGGGCGGACAGATTTGATGCGAGGTTCAAAGCCAAATGGAACAATGTTCACATCGTCTTCTCTGACCTCGGAGTGGGATTTCTGCCCGGCGACGTCCCAGAGGATCTCAAGAAGTTCTTGCAAGATGAGAACGAGGTCTGGAATGCCAGCGGGATTGGCAAGTGGGTCAGGCAAGCGCTCGGGGGTCAGGATACAGATCTCGACAAGAGGGTGGAAGCCATCAACCGGGATGTGTGGCAGCAGATGTTCAATGCATGATGCGCAAGACTCCGAAGATTTGAAGCAAGATAGCAAGTGGCAGTCAAGAAAGATTATGATTACAATTTGGGAGGTGCCTTGCCGGGCACTGTCGCGGACAGATGTCCAGTATGATGGGGCATACCTGTTGCAGACAAGACAGTTGTCGCAGCATCACCGATGGGGGCACTGGTCGGCTTGTCCTTGTCGTAGTGCAGAAGTCTTTGACGCGAAGGCACGGGGGCCTTTACGACAATACGACTCCTCGAGCTCGCAGTAGTGTGCAAAAAGTCGTTCAGGTAAGCGTGGCTGCCCCAACCAACGGTCGGTCTTCGCATGTCGTCCCTCATTAATCCCGGAAGTGCAGGCCTATGTCCACGAACCTCTTCTTCACAGAGGAAGGCAAGGGCGAGGCCCATCTCCAAGGTGCATCATGGGAGCTGCCAGGGCTAGGAACACCTGAGATGCAATGGTGATCCTGCACCTTTCCAGTCCAACGTATGTCTGATAAGAATTGCGCGAAGGTGTCTCGAAGGGGTTGATGTACGGCAGGTGTCTAGGGACCTCGAAATCTTAGTGGGACGAGTCCAGGACACATTGGTGTCGGTGAGGCATTTCCACGTTTCCTGCAGCCATTTCTTGTTCAACCTGCGGTTGTCCTGCGCAGACGGGTGCCTCGACTGGGTTTCAGACCTGCAAGCCTTGCGACAGTAGGTTGTGCCTGCCAAGATGTTAATAGAAGGGGGAAATGGTATCCGTGGGTTCCAAACACATCCGAAAGCACTCAGCAGCTGCAAGCTACAAGTCACTCTACGGGAATCTGCCGAATTAGCTGCTGTATCACGGTGCCAAATCATCTGAGCATTAGATCTGTACGCAGCCACCTGATGCGTACGAACAGAGAACGCCATAATGCGGCCCAGGTTCCTAGCAGCCTGCTCTTCGGAACTTCGTTCCTCGTTCCTGCAGGGCGTCGGCCTGAGCTGAGATCTGTAATTTCTGGGTGAGAAGGGGCCGTTCATGGCAGGTTGCTGAGCGCAATGTACTGGTCTACAACGCCGATGATGAGGCGCCAAGGTTTTGAACATTTCATGGCCGGACACAAGGGGCGATGAAGCAGCTGATCACAGCGTAACTGCGCAGTTCGGACGTGAACGAGAAGTATGGCACACAGTACGGCCATTTTCTGAGATGCTGTCTCTTTGAGAGCTTTCTGGATGTTTTGCTGGTAAGATGTTCACTTACTGTGCTTTGGAGTGGCCTAGGCTACAGCCCATACGATTCCTACGATGATTCGTACGATTGTGGGCTGCAGCAAGGCCCCTCGGTGCTGAAGTTTGTGAGCCGTGCGTCGACATCAGAGGTTTGCTTAGAATTTGCTAGCAATCGTGTCGCGTTCTCTTGCAACCTGCAGACTGGATGTATTTCTTGGATGAGATCGACACGACTGATGGGTCTTGTCAGCCTCCAAACCTTCGGCTTGGTTCTGCTTGTTGATCCTTTTCTGACGACATTCTTGTGATGCATCCACGTCCGCGCCAAGACTGTCCATCCGAAGCAGAAATGGAGGCCTGCGCGTCAAGTCTAGTTCGGAGTTGCAGATGCCATGCTCGTGGTTCAGTTGTGTAGCCCTGTACAAGTAGCTTGTCCCGGGCGAGCCTAGGGGTGACTTCGGCGAACATTGGCAGGGCTGCCTACATCATGTGGTCGGGTGTTTCTGAGCCAGGCCTCGTTCAACCCTTCCGTCGTGACATCACCGATGGGGGCCTCAACCTTAGATTGGCCTTGCCAGGCTGCATCCTCAGATGCACATTTGCCCATCCACCCGCCGTCTCTGTGAGAGGTATGTGTAAAGGAGACCATCCTGTGCCGGTCGCACCTATCAAGCAAGCATTGCCGCCTAAAGCCCTTTTGAGCGGCGTGTTCAACCATAGTGTATGTCCTGGAATGGCCTGGAATGGCCTGTTCTTGCCAAGATTGAGGGTAGCTGTAGATTTCTGGCAAGGAGCGACTATTGCAAAAGTTTCTAGAGCCACGCACAGCCGCCATCGTTAAAGTTTGCCCAGGAGTGGCTTCAACAGCACAGCGTCCTTTCAGCCGGGGGCCTCAGCAAAACAGAGGCCGTCAATTAGATGTTTCGTCTTGCAACGCCGAGTCCATGATGTTGGAGCCGCTGACGCAGTTCGAAGCTCCAGGGTTTGCCGCCCTGCGCTGAGCCTCTCCATCTCACCGGAAAAGGCAAAGCCGCTAACGCCCTCTTCCTCAGAAGGCTGGGCAGCTGGGAACACAGCCCTCCCACAAGCCACGGAGAGCCCAGGACTCAGAAGTTGGAGGTCTCTCTGTGTCACCGGAAGCACTCTCGTTCACTCTCAGGCTGTGCCTGCATCCGAGCCCATGAAGGCCGTCGCTGTGCAGAGCTTGAACGTGCAATGCACAAAACTCCTCGAGCCCAACGTCCAGTAGCCGAGCCGAGGGGTCTGCTGCACAAGGAAGAGCCAGACTACTATTTCAGACTACCTCGCAGCCGGGCGCTCTGCTTTCGGAGGTACAACTTCCTCCCGAAGCCCGCTCTTTGCCAACACTCCTCGCAATGACCTGAGCATGTCCGTAGCTGCGGAGTGGAGGGGAGCTAGGAGCTACTCCAAGCTCCGAACCGACACGATTGCAACAGTGAGCATCTGCCCAGGATCCACTGATTCCTGCTAAGAAGATGCCAAAGTATGCGACGGAGAACTGCCGACCTGCTTTCGGGACTCATGTTGCTGCGCCTGTTCTGGCCGACAGGCTGCGCGACAACACGGCAAGACATGCCGTGTCTTGTTTTTGTCGCCGGTGACAGCTGTGAGTCCATTACAAGTGCTCGACAGTCGAAGTCGCCCCAGCGAATGTCGGCTTGGGACTTGGTCCGTGCCAGGTTTGGAAACGGCTTGAAGAGTCTGGATCCAAAGTTGCCAGCCAAGAAACGTGTGCCGGAGCGCTGCAGAGATTCAATACATTGACCCTCCGAGTCAGTCCAAGAGAAGAGAGACCGCCCTGGTTTGCACCAGGAGATCCTTTCCGAAGCTGGAGCAAGAGCGATGGAGGAACGCTGCCCAGTAAGTGCTGGCTCAAGGTTTGCGTTCGTCAGCACGTTTTTTTTGCAAGGATTGCGACTACATGCTTGCTGTCGCAGCCTCAGGGTTGAACATCTGTTCAAAGAACCAGCTGCAAGGATCATCGTTCATGCGGATGGCAGTATAGTATACAGCTTTGACAACGTATGGATGATGCTCCAAGTCACGTCGGTCGTGTGTGAGTTTCTAGTTGCAGACTGCATCTTTCATTCACTGTCGTTGTATCGAGGCGCGTTGATGAGTTTGACCAGAAGGAACGGGTGCAGAGGCATGGCATGGAGATGCTCGAGCGGCTTGCTGTCATTCCGCAGCAGCTCCTTTGCCGAAAGCCAAAAACCAGCTTTGCTAGCTTTGAGCAGTCCTCGGGTGGAGCCCAGTCAAGTCCTGGCGTCAGGAGTGCGAGAGACTATGAGGCAAGCTTCCGAGGTCGAAAGGTGTATTTATGACCTGAATGGTAATTCGCCGCATGGCGGGTCTCCTTCATGTCCTTTTTTTGGGTCAGAAAGGCATCAATCCATGAGAGGCTAGGGTTCATGCCGGACATGTAGGGGAAAGTCTTGGGCAGTGCCGAAGTGCCAATAGGGCATCCAGGCATCTGCTGCCATGTCGTTAAGTGTCGGCAGAAGATCTACCGTGTGTTGCTCGACATGATTTACGGTCAACAGTTGCCACCTGATGATGGGGCAACTACATTTGCCCGGCATAGTAGATGCAACAGTGCAGCTGCAAACACATTCCGAACTTAAAATTCGCAGGTGAACCGAAGTTGGCTGTTGTGCATCGTTGTTGAGGTGACAAAGGTCTCACTCCACAAAGAATTGGAGCTCAGGTGGATGCCTGAAACGTAGATTTGCATGCCTTTTCAAGGCATATGAGGCAGATTAGGACTATTGAAGGAGTGCGAAGCATTCCAGTTCAAAATTCGCAGTTGCAGCCTCAGCTGTCCTCGATTCATGAAACTCTGCATCGTTTCGGCGCGGCTTCTGTTCTGTGAGGTTTCGGAGCATGACGAGTGCAACGCAGCCTTCTCAGTACAACAGTCCCTGTGACTGCACCAAGCAGTATGGGGAATCTGAGCGCAACTTAGACTGCTGAAGCGCGGCAATGGATCAAACAGGAAATCCACGATGCACCACCTCGCTTGGATTTCACCTCGCAGGGGCAGCTTCAAACGTTGATGGAAACGTCGAAGTCGACTAGACTAGACTACTGACTGGACTCTGACTAGACATACATGTTTATGAGCAGGGGGTGCGATGTGTGACAGCAGATTCCTGGCTGCAGAGAGCTTGTCAAAGAATAGCGAATCTCAAAAGCTTCACAATGTGAAGACGGCAGCAACGGCGAGAAGGCACGCGCAGTACTCCGCAAAACGGCGCAGCGGGGTTCGTGCCCGAGACAGGAGCATAGGCAGCTGCCATCAGCTGCAAACACTGGCATGCAGGTGCATCCGAGCACGTTGTACGCTTTGAGCTGGACCGATCGGGCACGCACATCCAGAAGAAGGCAGGGAGGGTGAAGCCATGCAATCTTCCATCCAAGAAGTGTAGGGCGCCTTAGACAAGAAATTGCCTATTTCGCTTCTTTCTCAACACATCCGGAAGGAATTGCACCATGTCCAGACCCAACCCCGAGGCTCGAACAGACGGTGCTGTGGCCAAAGAGCCAACAGAAGCAGCGGCTTCCGCGTCAGCCGGGAACGCGGCCGAGGCGTGCTGGGGGAACTGACAGCTTGGGGAACACGCGGGAACACGCTCACGTGCCATGCAACGAAGTCAATGCAGATCGATGCAATGCGAATCCACCGAAGTGATACAGTGACGGGACAGGAGCAAAGGATGCATCCAAAGAAGTCCGCAGAAGCGCCGGCAGAGGAGCCGGTAGCGACGGAATTGCCGCAGCGTCGGCCGCGACTGCGAAGAATGCAGCCAACACCTGAGCCCGAAGAGCAGCCAAAGACGCTGCCAAGCCCGAGCGCGAAAGGGAGCAGGGCCCTGAGCTCCTGCAAGATACATCTCGTTCGCATGTCCTCATGACTTAAATTTCATTTCTGAGGCACAGACCCAGTGAATGCGGCAACCGATCAGCCGAAGGAAGGGGGGCTTAAACTATGAGAATTCCTGGCCGTGACGCCTAGCAGCCCACTGGAAAGGACATCCCACAGATGATACCTGGAAAGAAGAGGACACTCTCTTCAACGACGGGCTTGACTGTATGCGACAAGTTAACGTCTGCACAGCTGTGGGGTCTCTCGAAGAATGACAGGAGGAGGATGATCGCGTCCTCGACTTCCAGCGATGATGCTGTGTGCCAAAATAACGAGCATCGGCTTCTTTGCTTCCGATTGCCCAGTACTTGCTCAGCATACACCCACTGGTGACTGGTGCAATGCACTCACTAGCGAAACTCTGGCGGGGGGTGATGACAGCGGTGTCACAGCATGATAGCAGCATACACAGCAAGGTTTATCTCATCATTTCTGTGGCAGAACCAACTTTTGCATGCACTCACTCTGACATGATGGTCACCGGGAGCCCCTCGGGATCAGCCATGCAGGCATGAATCCTGGATCACGTCGGTCCACCCAGTCGAAAGCGAAGCAGTTGAATCCTTGAGCTTCCATGTGCACGCACATCGCCAGCCGGGGCAGCATGCACAGCTTGAGCCATGGCATCTTCCGCGAAGCCGAAGCAGGCCACTGCAACTGAAACTGACCTCTGCTTGTGACGCTCTTTGGAGCTGTCGAAGGTGCCTGGGCTCTCCTTGGAGCATCAGTCCCTGGAAGCCTCAGAAACGACAAGTTCCAGGCGAAATGTTCAGACGTGGCCTTGGAACTTTGGGTCCTAATTCGAGTGCCGCAGCGTAGAGCAAACATCTGAGGCCAGTGATCATCAGCCGGCTTCCCCCACCGTTTCCGCCGGTGACCTCAGCCGACTCAGAATGCCAATTTGCTCAGCAGTGTCCGTTAATTGTCCAGAAACACGAGTCAAGCTACTAGGAGGTCGGGCTGTCGATGTTTGGTCATGCTCCCCGTTCATGCCATCGCAGCGACCATCTTGCCCATAGAGTGTTCAGAAACAGTCGTGCGCAACAGGTCGGTACACTTCGTACAGAGGCGCTTTGTTCCAGTATCTTACCAGGTCACGGGCGCCAACGCGGCCGCCTTCCCACCGCAGCTTCCGCGGCTCAGCACGACAATCGCCAGGGCCCAATACCTGCGCTATTGCGAACCACGTGTGAGTATGCATATCTGTTACAGGGTCCACCCCCTCCCCTCTCCCACCCGGTGATATGTGTGTTACCTGTGGTCTTGCCTGGGTTCCTGGTCTCTCGGCTTCTTCGTCTCCTCTCCTCCTCCCTTGTGGGGTGGTGCCTGTGGTGTTCAGGATTGGTTCGAGTACATGGGCAAGAACACTGGCACGTGTGTTTGCTCCAGCATGCCACCAACTTGGTCCCGGGGCTATCTCGTATCACCTGGGTGTTTTACGCATCTGCAAGGCGTCTACTTCGGGGAACGCATTATAAACGTTATATAATCTTATCAAGCTCTGTATCTTCACCTTCATATTCTTCGGCGTCCGCAGCACGCTCTCGCATTTGTCAGTGTCAGTGGGCTTGTGCGCGCTCATCTTCGCACGAGTGTGTGCTTGTGTATTGCAGCTTATGTATTAGACATCTGTATACATATGCACTGGTGCGGTCTGTGCCTGTCGGTTTTTGAAGCCCAAAGAGTCTTCTGCTCACATCTGCGTCGGAACTCGCGCAGGGTCACGCGGGACTCGCGTAGGACTATAATATAGCGACCTACTCACCACCCATTTTCAGGGTTGCCTTTCATGCTTCCGTGGCGGGTTCAGGCATCCTCTCAGTCTTATACTAGTAGCATGCCACTTTCAAATCCCAGCGTCTACTTGGCAAACGCACTGCTTTCTTATCTTGGAATGCTTCCAAATGTAGTATATACCTCAGCGTCCGCAACAAATCCGGCACTTTGGCCTACCTGCTGCGTGCTTCTTGAAACCAGCGTCTACATGGGGTTTAGGTAATTCTGATGTGTAAATTTCCCGCTGATGTGTATTCTCCCTAAACCAGCGTCTGTCGGCATTGATGTGTATTCTCACCAGCTGATGTGAGATAACCCCAGCGCCCAGAAGCAGATGCTGTAATCGTCCATCCTTCTTCCGACAACTTGCTAAACTTCCGTTGCGAGAGGCAGCAGACCTCGAACGGAAGTTGGCACAAGGCAGGCTCACGAATCAGCGCACAAACGCTGTTCAGCAGCCGCCCACTGGTGCGCTTCAGCTGGGTCGTAGGCCACGACGGGTTCGACATTCTCATCGCAACCTCCAAAGACTCGAGGTCCTGTGTCTTGAAGTTGCCACTGAGTGTGATGCGCCGGCCACATAATCAGCTCGAAGTAGCAAGGTGCATGGACAACTTCGTCATCCCCGTCTGGTAGGACCAAGGTCCTTAGCCTGCAAGATTGCGCACGTGGTGCTTTTCTGCCCAACATATGCTCGTATCTGCTGGAATCGGCCATAGGCCGACGAAGCCTTCAGAAAAGTGGAAAAGTCCAGGCCGGCAACGTCAATGTGGCATCCAGTTCTAAAGTAACACGTGCTGTACTGTAGTTGTCGCTCAGATTCGAGAATCAGCAAGACGGCAGGTCAACCGGCAACATGCCGCTAGACTCCGGAGCCAAGGTTGGCTTTGATCCAGTTTTTCTGTAGCGGTTTGCCTCGCACGTCTAAGTCTAAAGCACTTGGAGTGACACCTTCATTGCTGTGCTGCGCAGCGTCGCGAGGACGGCCGTCAAGAGCTCATGATCGCCATGCGAGCCCTCTTCGAGGCTTACGTGGCTCCGGCTGCAGAAATTATAGTCCGGCGTTGGTCCTTCGAGTGCATTCGCACTCCTCGTGCATCCGAGGACAAAGATCGTAGCGGCTCCGTCAACCTGGACGACTTTGTGGAGACGCAGGCGCGGAAGACTGAGTGCTTCAATGATACTAGCATGTGCTTCAGCCTTGGCCTTATGGCCAGGCGGAAGTGCTCTCCGGAAACGAAGGCCCGACGGCCCGACCCTGAAGTCCCAACCTTCACTCTGCGCTGGCTGCTGTTTCCAAAGAGGCTGAGACTTGGGGTCGGCCAGAAACCCGTCCTGCTTGCAGTCTTCGTGGAGGTGTTCTGCATTTGCCTCTCCAAGACCTGGTGGCGCAGTACCTCGAGGCCAGCCCATGAAGCAGGTTTTGCAATACGTCCGCTGACGTGTGACGCCGACGCATCGCGGAACCACTGAAGATCAAAGATGTATGAATCTAAAGCTTCAAGGTACGGCGCCCTGGCCAAGTTGGTTTGGATGGTGCCGGCCTGGACTTCGAGGCTGCTGGGCTTTGCGGATCCTTCAACTGAAGAACGCACGAGCTGTCCTTCAGGGGTTCTGTTCGCTCCGCTTGGGGTCAAACAACGGCGTCGAACGGCTTTGGGCTTGAGTCGAGGCCTTCGGCTAGGATCCGGACAGGTTCGGGACTCCGCGGTTTGGGAGGTCAGCATCAGCACCGTGCGGAAGCGAGGAATAGTAGGGGAAAGCGCCTTAGTTGGAGTGGGAATGCATACTGCGATTGCCCTGAACGAACTGTGGCAACTTGTGTGTTTCTTGTTCAGGGCTTCGTAATGTGGCAGCTCCATTGGCAGCTGCCGTTGTGGGTCGGCAGCTCAGAAAGTCAGGGACGATGCAGAGTTCTGCTCTGCCACTCCAAGGGGCCAAGACAAAGGCACCACATCCGCTGGATGGTGCAGATGGTGCCCAACCCATAAACAACATGATGGCTAGAACACCCCTTGTCAAACAGCCACAAAGAGACGCCGAGACTTATGTCTCAACAGCGGCATTTGCGTGATTGGGATTCTGAAATCTCCTTCGCCCCTGGAGCCATGTACGATTCAATGCGCAAGCACAGTAAGTTGTGCTCTCCCCCAGCATGACAGCTACCAGCTATCTTTTGTCCAGGTCAACGGCACTGAAAAAGAGGTTGCCGAGCACTGCATGAGAATGAAGGAGCATCTGACACTGACGAGGCCGTCGCCTTAGCCAGCTGCAGACCAGTTGAGACTTGTAGAAAAGGCAACTGCAGCTTGCAAATGGCCGGAAGGCCCAACGCATCAGTGCGGTCATCAGCGCTGTCCACTGCTCAGAAAGGATAACAATCTAACAATTTCCACCTAGCACCACTGTCCTGTATAATTTGCATCGGCGCATTGGCACTAGCAGTCTTGGGGCCTGACAGCTTGAGGCCTCGAATGCCTTTCACGAGCAGGCCGCAAGTGATCCCGACTGCTGCAAGCGCTTGTGTTATTTCCTGCAATCCTGCAACATCGCCGAGTTAGTCAACAGTGTGCAGAGCTTAACCTTCCCTTGAGTTGAAATGATCCCACGTTCCCTGCATCGAGTGCCAGCAGGTCGCGGCTTAGCTCCGCTCGGCGATGGCCACCGGGCAAGGTTCAGGTGCCATGCTATAAAGAATCGAGCCGTCGCTCGCCTTTGCGCCTGCTTTCGTAGGCTTATGCGGCTGATCTTCGGGAGACCAGCCGTCCAAAATCTGCGCGTGTACGACGCTACGGCAAGCATCTCAGATTCGCATGGGCTGCGTGTAAGGCTTGGAACGGAGAGCTGTCAGGGAAGAGATGATGCAAGCAGGCCAACGTCCTGCGCACTGTAAATTTGAGAAGTTGAGGTGGATATGCCACGGCCACCAAAGGCTTCTGCGAGCCACCAGAGGAGGCCAACTAAATCTGATGGTTGAAGGTTTCCGGATATCTCTGGTTGACAGGTGTTCCATGACATTTCAGCCTTTGAGAGCGTGCAGAATCTGAAGGAGGACGGCTGCAAGATTCGAAAGTAGTTTCTTTCTGAATCTTACGCTCAATGCTCGGTCAGAGAAGGCAGTTGCTTGCACATAGACTCTCTGCCCGCTTGACTCGCCCGGACGCTTCGAGGAGGAGTCGTACGATGTGGGCCGATCCCCGAGCAGGCTAGCGGAAATCGCTGTCGCAGAGGAGGACTTCGACTTCACGTGCTTTGCAGAATGCTAAGATCGGATATGGGTTGGTGGCTGGGTTTTCATGAAGAAGCAGGGGGCTGCCCCACACCAGAAGAATGCTCATCCAACAAAGAGGCTCTTCAGAGTGTGCTGATGTGCTGCAGGGACACTAATCACGTGCCTGCCGAGATGGGCGGCTCAAGCCAATCTCCAGCCGCTGTTGCTTCCATAGGTGCCCAGGCAATGAAGTCAGACGGAGAAAGATGAGCCTTGAGACCTATTTGGCACCGGAACCCTGGTTACGGAACAAAGGGCTTGGCTCTATCCATATACAGGGACTAGCCTTCGGAGGCTGCGGACACATGCACCAAGTGGGGAGGGGAGAGGGGGGAATCGGAATCGCACAAAGGATTGGAAATAGGAGTGACTTGGCTTGGGGGTCTGCGGTAGGACTCTCAAACAAGGACGGAGGTCTGCTTCTTGGCAGCTGTTCGCATTATGAGAATCGCATGATATCGCATGGAGCAAAGCCAGATTCTGCAGGAATCCCTCCATCGATCAGACCGTGACCCCTGCGGCGCAACGCCTAAAGAGCATGCGTTCGACAACTGATGAGGCTGGCCTTCGTAGTGTGATCGTTCGGGATGGGAGCAGCCTTCCTAGCAGTGACATCTGTGTTAGTCGCAGACTGGTTTGATTTAGAGCAGCTGATACATCCTTTGTGGTGCCGACTCGAACACGAGCTGCTATTTTACAGTTGCTCGTTGTTTCTTCCTCACCATTGCATGCTCGGCCTCCGGACTCCGGAAGGGGCTTGCCGACAGCCCTGTCGAACAGGCTGCCAGATCGTGACGCTGCGATGTGTTTGGCTTGGAGGAGAACAGTAGCTGCTCGCCGTACAAGTCTTACACATTTCGCCCGCATGCGCAGGAGCCTTCGGTAGCCGCTAGAAGCACGCAGTCCGCGCTGGCAACCGACCCCTACGCGAACGTGAGACTGCGAATTGTGCAGTCACATGCAGTCATCAGGCCCACGCGCCCAGGGCCCCAGCCTGCCAAGCAGCTGACAGGGTCGAAATTGGGTGAACGCTGGGCCCGGTTGGACAGCATGTCACTAGAGTCCTAGAGTGGCGACTGCAAGCTCTGCAAGCTGCGACCATGGACGAAAACGGTTGAGGGCGACAGATTGATCAAGCAAGTGGACTCCCAGAGAAAAGCCAGTTACACTCGACTGTGCTGGCGAGGAAGAGGTGTGACGTCACGATTCACTGGTTATGAGTTATGAATTCAGGATCTCAAGCTCGCATTCTTCTCAAGTTGAAGGACTCGCAGTATGCAGCTTGATTAGTGAGTACTCAGTGCCGACACTTGACTCAATACTCAATACTCATTGACAGAGAAGCCGATACGGAAACCGGAGAGTAGCACTCTGCGCAAACAGCTGCATAAATCTCAGCTGATCGCATGTTGGCATGCCTGTCAAGACGGAATGCTGTGCAAAGACGCGCTCACCTTCTTGCAGGCCGTTCTCCTGGCGCCTCTTGCAAGTTAGGTTGAGAGGCCAGCTTGTCCTTGTCAAGGTTAACAGTCGACTGAACATCGCGAAGCCGAGCCGATCCAGGCCATTCCATGATGAATAAGCTGTGTGCAATAATTACTGCAGAAATGAATGAGCTTGATTTGGCGTCATGACGCATCTCACGTGTCAGCGCATGGAAGTAACAGCTGAACTAAGCACTGTGAGTATACATAGGGCTGTCGAAGAAGAAGGCTTTGTATCATGTGTGACAGGCTGGAGTTGACCACACATGGTCGAAGTCGTGCAGGCCGCAGCCGCAGCATGTCAGCGTCGGATTCCCCTGCATTTGCCACCACATTGCAAGCAAGCTCACAGGACCTGTTGGACTATGTCACCTATGCTGGTGGCGTCGGTCGGCGGCGGGCCGATGCAGTCAGTGGTGTTGGTGCCTCCGCCAAAGCATGCAGTATGCCAGTAGTTTCCCCTTCTCTGTTTGTTCTGTGCCTTGGGAGTCCTGCACCTCGAGCAGAAGAGCTGCACAGCCTGCACTCACACGTTCAAAAGCAGCCACAGACCCGACAGCAACCCACCATCCGAGCAGGCCAAGAGCAGCCGTAGGTTACACACCAGAGTTTGCACGAAGCCGGCAACTTGGGTGATCTTGGGTGAACGTCTCCAAGCTCGCTGCCTGGACATGAGCCAGCAATGGCCTCCTGAGAGCCTGCGGGCCTCTTAGCTTTGAAGGTGTTTCAGTCGATCCATGTGTAATTTGCATGAGATTTAGCTGACAGGCCTGGTGGAGAAAAGCTGGCGGGCTTTGCGAAGGCCTTCAAGATTCACTGCAACCTCCAAGACTGAACCTTCATCGGTCAGGAGCTGAAGACCAGAGACCGCGCTGAGTCTGCGTGCCTTGGCAGCAGCTGGCGGCAAGACGTGGCTCTTGCGGGCGAATTCTATCGGCTGCCATAAGGCCCTGTAGACTTTGCAGACTCGGGTTCCACGGCACACGGAGCCGCGAGACCTTGTGCAAGCATCCAAGGTGCCAGCTAGCATTGTACATTGATGCGCTAGCCCTCAGCAGCCGTTCAGTGATGTGAACGTGGCATCGCGTCGAATGAGCTGCTGGAGCCTAATGGACCGAGGTTCCTGGCGCAAGCAACGTTTTGGCACATGTCGTGGGGCAGGCCTGTGGGTTTCGGTCATGTCGAGTTTGGATGCCTTTGACATGACTTCAGTCGAGCTTGCCGGCTGCAGCAGGCCGATTCCGATGCCCTTTTGCTCGGAACTTGGAACCGGATCACAGCAGTTTTGAGCTCTGAGGTGTGAACCCCTCTGTCTCCTGCTGTTCGCACAGGCGCCCGCAGCCTGGCGAGGGCAAACTCCAGCCGCGAGCTCGGGCGCAGCAATGCTTCACTTAAGCTTCATCAGTGCTTCGGTGGCCTTCCAAGCCGATCCCAAATAAGATGCGGGTGAGGTTCTTCAATTGCGCTGGAGCGGTGTGCTAGACTAGTAAGACAAAAGAGTAGCTTCCATGAGAGAGATGCAGGACCAGACGACAGCATCATCGATGCTTTTGAACATGTGTCCATTGTTACTGTTATTACGAGGAGTCCTTGTTTGTGAAATGCCGGTTCGGGAATGGGCGCGACCATTTGGTCGACCGAGGCGTGCCTTCTTTGCTGGCCTAACCTGCGGGCGATTTAGCGAGCTGCCCAGCTTTGGCAAGTTCAGACCCGGAACACTCGAGCAGGGAAAACCGGTTCCTTGATTGGTTGTTTTGGGTGTACCCAAAAGCAGATCATGTAACCGGAGGACTTGCACAAAGCTCTGACGAACATCCTGCAATTTTGATGGGTCGAACATCGAATCAACTTGGTTCACATTCAAGGCAATGGAAGGACACTTGCGCGTGGCAGTGAGTGCATGCATGAAGCTGCTTGCATGCTGAAGCCAGTGAAGCAAAGGCTTGCTGCAAAGCGTTGGGAGATCCCTTAGAAGCTGCAGAAGACGAGTCATCCAGGCAAGCTGCTGCAGCTGCAGTTTCGGGAGGATCTGCCAAAGGCCGCCCTCTTTTGATACTCCGGTTGCCGTGATCATGCCCGGCTCCAAGGCGAAGCTGCAGGTTTTCTTCCAGGCAGATCCCAGAAACTTCTAAACGGCACCCTGTTTACATGAAGCTAATCCTGTTTATGGTTCCGAAGGACTGGCTGGATGGTAACACCGGCTCTGACTTCCAAGCGCTGGCCCACATCTCGCACATCAGCCTGAATGCCTGAAGCTGCCTGCAGCTCTGAGTCTGAGGTTTCCCAGCTGCCAGAACCTTTACGTCAAGAGGAGCGATTTGCGGTGGTGGGTCGTGCGTCCTAGTCCTTGTATGTCCTAGTACTTGCCAAGCAAGCCAACCCCCCCTTCCCTCCCCCCCGAACTGACTGTTGGCTGACCGAGTGGGGTTTTGTTGCACCGATGTGATGTGTGGGGGAACTCAGATCCACCAGCACAGTCGTTCCGGGCGACGCTTCTCAGCAGGACGTTCTGAGCTTGCTATTTGCACCCGACGGTCGCCTACTGAGATGTCAAGCAAGACAGCGAGACCTCCAGGTACAAAAGAGCTCCGTGTGGCCGAGGTGAGAGCATGTCCATGGATCTCCCAAAGCGACTGCAAAGGACGGGCTGGGCGAAGCTGCATCGTGGTTGGACACGGTTCCCGTAATCTGGTCCATCTCTATGAGGACTCCAGTTAAGCTTCAATCGCCGGTGGCCCTTTTGCATTTGGCAATTGCGGAACAAATTCCTCTGCGTTTATCAGCTATCCCAGTGCTGGATGTGAGGCAACGTGGCTGGCTCTGCAACGCGCCTGCTGCCTAAGCAGACGTGGGATGGCATAGTTCTTCTGAAGCCTAAGGGCCTAGCACCTGCAAAGCCCCACAGCCCCACGAGGCGCACCTTGACTGGCAAGATCCTTGTCCAGAGCTGCAGGCCCCTTCCTTGCAACTGCGACACCTCCCAAACTCCTGCGACCCACAGATCCAGGCAGACATCACGCGGCGTTTGCGCGCCTCTCAGCCACAGAACACAGGTGCATGCGACCAAAACCAGGCCGAAGCTCCCCAGATCGGACTCTCCAAGTCTCCAGCTCTGCCATCCAAGATATACATTCACCATTCCAAGGCCAAAGTTGCTATTCGAGCCCGAAGCGGATGCTCCGCGACGTAGCCGGCCACCCTGAGTTCTCCGCAGTTGTTTTGCTTGGTGGGTCAGTAATGGTCAGTACCTGATGTTGCCGTCGTCAAGGCCGAACCTGGCGTGAATTTGCGGGCCGCAAAGAGGGGAAGGCAGAGTGGTTATTATTTGTCAACGCAAACTAAGCACCGCCTGGGACAGACTTCCAATTTCCACACGAAACTCAGCCCGAATAAAACAAATAACGACTGTGCTGGGTGACGACTCTATAGAGACTTCAGAGCATAAAGGATGATGTTTCAGGTTCAATAGCATACACGGCACTATCAAGATAACACCTGGCCTGCTGCTGCTCTGGAGGTGCAGTTTGCAAGGTGGGCAATCCGGAGGCAACATTGGGGGTAGCATCCGCACCAGGACGGCTACGAGCTTTTCGACATCCACCGAGGGCTCTTGGCGAAGCCGGTGCCTTAAGCAGGCTCACTCCCGGGGCCTCCCGTTTCCCCAGCCCAGCCAGCCAGGCTCGGAATGAGAAAGCCAGCCGAACCACCGGCCAAAGTCAGCGCAGAAGACGCCAAAGAGGCAAAGCACTGTCTCGAGACAGTTTACCTCCAGGAGCCCGGGGTGATCAGGTGCCTTGTTGCCCACTCGTAAGTGCATGCAATGGCTGCCCACCACACTCTTCGCTGCAGGAGATAGCTCATCTTCGCCGGAGCCCTGCCCTGCCATTAATTCCTGTCGGCTCCGGAGACTCACAACTCGGCCCCTGGCCCCTTCCTGGATTAAGGTTCGGAGCTGGAGCAACTGCATGCAGCTAGCGAAAAGGCCAGACACCAGCCATCGGAGTCCTCACCGGGACCTGGCGAGATCGCTCCCAGGCCCTTTCCAGGCGATGGAGATGGGTCTGTGTGCAG